ACATTATGCAATAAGTATATATGCAATATGCAATAAGGCCCAAAGCCAATTTTAAATGTTAAATTACGTTCTCAGAGTGATGAAACCCCTTCCATAACTTCAGTTTAGCACAGTTGCCTAGCACCAGCCTCACTATACACATCCTTACATCACTGTCACTCAGTCCACTTTGATCCCTTTGGACCTTACGGTTTACGTACATAATCTCTCCCTCGGACGCAAGCATATTGGTGACAATCACATTTTGATGTCCACTTTGGTCACCGCCTCGCTCCCTTTCTCTCCTTCTTCTCAGACCTCCCCTGCATTTTTAATCAGGTCAAGCCGACTGCATTTGTGGAAGCGCGTGTCTAAAAAAGGAGAGGGAGAAAGAGGGCAGGAGACACCGGGGGAGGAGGAATTGGGGGGGGGTTCAGTTTGTTTTTGTAATGAGGTCAGTTATCAGCCTTACAGATAAGAAGCATGTGTGCGATTAAGCCCTCTGTTTGAGTTTGTCGTCAAAGTGTATCTTTCGAATACTTTGATTCATGCGCAAACACACTCCAGAGGACATCAAAGGGGCTCCGAGAGCGGAAAACAGCAGCAGGGATCATAATTTTTGCTCTTAGAACGCAGAGCTACGCTTGGCTGTGTGTTCTTTGCTGAAGCAGCACATTGCGATGTGGACAGGTATGCGGACAGGGTCCACGTGAGGGGGCGCGCTGGTCCTCTGCTGAGGGTAAACACACATCATGTGATGGGTCCCGAGCAGAGAGGCAAAGTACAGGGAAAATTCATGACTCCACTTAACATTAGCCGACTGGACAGTCACAAGTAGCCAGTGGACAGAAGATAGGAGGATAACAAAGGTCACGCATAGCTCGAGTTATGTTTGAGAGTCAGGGGGAAACACTTAAATCTCAATGTGATATTTGTATTTATAGCGAACAGCTCCAGTTTTCAATTTTAGGGGCTTTCATGCTTGCAACAAAAAAGCTCTATTTACAAGTTTAAGATGAGGTGTGTGTGAGAGCCTCTCTGTGAAAACACAGTTAAAGTAATTTTGTTGTGATTCACTGTTTTCCACATAAAATCATTCTACACAGAAAAATATAGAGTTAAAATATAACCTCAGATGATTTCAGATCATTTCAGAATTTCAAATGTTGCTCAGGTTTTTTATCTTATTTTTTGCTGCACATGTTTCAGGTTTATGCAAGTGCGCACCGTACAGGCATGAGTCTAGGGGCCTACTCACACTATGCCATCCGTACCGTGCCCAGGCCCGTTTCCCGGATCGTTTGAGAAGTGTGAGTGCGCTGAATCGGGCTCAAGCACGGTTCACTTGGCCGGCCCTGGCCCGGTTGGAAGAGGTGTGCCTGAGCGCGGTACTCTTGGGCTTTGGCGCGGTACGCTTGTGTGTGAGCGCGAAACGCGCCAAAGCCCGAAACCGAAAGCGAGATGTGACTTTTAAGGGACTGTTTCATATGGATTTATTAATCATTCTTACTGTTCAGTGATCGCAAACTGCCTTAGTTTATTAAAGATGCAAACTCCTCACTGCACGCCAGCTGCGCGCCTTCAGCAGACCTCCTCATTCCTGCAGCACGAGAGCTTTGATTGTTTGAGCGCCAAAAGTGGCGGATCTGTTCGGTAAAATATCTGACTGCGTGTCCCTGCATCCCTAATGACTGTTTGGCGAAATATTTGACTGCATGTCACTGCATAACAAACGACTGAAACGATATAACTAGAAAAATCTCCACTGTGCTGCTGAGTGAGAGAGCGTATGGCAAGCCGTTTTAATATTTAAACCTTGTTCTGACTATCCATAAATATATTTAGAGATATAATTATATATTTTGATAAGTCATTATTATAATTCGACTTGTCAGAATGACAATTAGAGATATCTGCAATTACAATTGTACTAATACGAAATCAGATTGGAGATATCTGCAAATAAATTATGACTAGTCATATTCCTCCATTGACTTCCATTGAAAAATATTTGCAGATATCTCTAACTGAGTTTTGACTCGTCAAAAATCCAATTCAAGATATCTACAACTGTAATTCGACTATTAGTAAATTAATTAGAGATATCTTCAAATATATTTGTAAATATCTCTAAATATGATGAATTAAAGACATCTCCAAAGGTATTATGACTAGTAAAAACTCAGAGATATCTCTAATTACAATTGTGACTAGTCAAAACTCATTTAGAGATATCTGCAAATATTTTTCAATGGAAGTCAATGGAGGAATATGACTAGTCAGTCATAATATATTTGCAGATATCTCCAATCTGATTTCGTACTAGTACAATTGTAATTGCAGATATCTCTAATTGTTATTCTGACTAGTCGAATTATAATTATGACTAATCAAAATATAATTAGAGATATCTCGAAATATATTTATGGAGTCAGAACAAAGATTTAAATGCTAAAAAGGCTTGCCATAGAGAGCGCTTCTAAACAGCGCAGCAGCGATGACGTAAGCGTGCCGAGGCCCGATATGGTGTGAGCGCGGGCCGTCGGGGGAGACGGGAGTGGGGACAAGCGTGCTTTGGCCCGGTTCGAGGCAACTGTACCTAGTGTGAGTACGGCCTAGGTTTGGCATCAGTACGGCTAATCACCATTGGATTCTTTTATTGTTGCGTATGTGTCTATTTCAATTTTGGTGTGTTTATCCCACAGGACTGACTCAGATGACTAGTTTATGACAGATATAGGAGATTCTAGCATAAGAGTAATTTTTTCCCCTTTTTTGTGCTTTTTGTTTTTATTTTGTGTTGTATTGTCACTAAGGGAATGCTTACATGACACAATTTTTAAATAAAAATCATTTTTTGTTTAATTCAGAAAATTAATAGACATTTTTAAGTGTTGCCTAGTCCTAAGGTACTGTCCCTGACCTCCATGAGATAAGAACTGGGCAACTTGGGTGGTGGTTTTCATTTTTAAGAAATGGAACAGAGGGTGTTCTCCAACTATTGGGGGATCACACTCCTCAGCCTCCCTGGAAAAGTCTATGCCAGGGTACTGGAAAAGAGGATCCAGCGGACGGTTGATCATAGGATTAAGGAGGAACAATGCGGTTTTCATGTGGGCCGTGGTACACTAGACCAGCTCTATACCCTCACCAAGGTGCTCGAGGGTTCATGGGAGTATGCCCAACCAGTCCACATTTATTTTGTGGACTTGGAGAAGGCATTTGATCGTGTCCTTCGTTGAATTCTGAAGTCAGACTTTTTTCCGGTGCATGTTGGACTCTGGCAGGGCTGCCCTTTGTCACCAATTCTGTTCATCATTTTTATGAAGCGCAGCCTTTGGGCTGGAGGGGATCCAATTCAGGGACCACAGGATTTCATCTCTGTTATTCGCAGTTGATGTTGTTCTGTTGGCTTTGTCCAACATGGACCTTCAGCATGCACTGGGGCAGTTTGCTGTCGAGTGTGATGCAGCTGGGATAAGAATTAGCACCTCCAAGTCCGAGGCCATGGTGTTCCTTTGGAAAAAGGTGGCTTGCCATCTTCAAATCCTTACCCCAGGTAGAGGAGTTCAAGTACCTTGAGGTTTTGTTCATAAGTGAGGGAGAGATGGATCGTGAGATTGACTGGTGGATTGGTGCAGCAGTAAAGCTGTCGATGTACCAGTCCGTTGTGGTAAAGAATGAGCTGAGCCGAAAGGCAAAGCTCTCCATTTACCGGTCAATCTACATTCATACTCTCACCTTTGGTCATGAGCTTTGTGTCATGACCAAAAGGACAAGATCTTGGATACAAGCAGCCGAAATGAGTTTTCTTTGCAGGGTGGCAGGGCGCACACTAATGGATATGGTGAGAAGCTCTGTCACCTGGGAGGAGCTCTAAGTAGAGCTGCTGCTCCTCCACATCAAGAGAAGTTAACTGACGTGGTTCAGGGATCTGTTTTGGGTGCCTCTTGAAAACTTACCTAGAGAGGTGTTCCAGTCATGTCCTACAGGGCATCGAGGAAGACCCAGGACACGCTGGAGGGACTATGTCTCTCGGCTGGCCTGGGAACGTCTCTGGATCCCCCGGAGGAGCTAGAGGAAGTGTCTGGCAAGACTGCCTTGACTGCTGCCCCTTCAACCCGGCCCCTGAAAAGCAGTTAAAAAGAATGAATTAATGAATTTTTAAGTGTTCTTTGCAATATTATTTTGCCTATTTGTAAGTATTTTGACATTTTAAAGTAATTTTTTAAATGATTGTAAATATTTTATTGAAATGATACTACGTCACAAATGTGAACAGTTTTTCCTCGTGAGCATAGTCATTGTTGCTGACATGGCATTAAGTCATAATAATTTGATAGTTTACAAGTAAAATGCAAAATATGTTGGTTTCAGGTAGCAAAACTTGCATGATTGATGCTTCATGAAATTAAAAGTCATGACTTGAACACACATTTTATAGTTTCATCATACGTCATGAGCTGCTCCTGTTGTTTGTGATTTTTGTTATCAAGCGAGTTGTTTTCTTATGTCAGTCAGACTCGGCAATATCACGATGGCTCACTTTATTATCACCGTCTCCTCCCTGACTACAAAGTCTTCCTGCAGGCAGGGTGTTTGCTCTCTCCATCCCACATGAATAACCTCTACCAGGACACTCCTCCAAACTGTCTCTGTCCTAACACTGACTCACTCCCCTGAAGGGAAGACCTCGGTTACCCTTGACATTTTTGTTGGTACACTGTGGTCTGCATTAGCTAGTTGATGAGCGCCGTTTTGCTTTTTAAGCAAAACGTCATCTGTCTGAAGCCTCAGCTTTTGCTCTTATGATTTTTCAGAGGCATCAGAGATCAAAAGCTTCTCATTCAGTGAGTTTCTGTCCCGTGGGCGTTCGGCATAAGTGGGCCACGAGTGCATATGATGAATAAATGAGCAAAATAAAAAAATAAAAAATCGAATTCCCTATGGTCTCTGAATCATGCTGAGGTTTAATTTGTTTGTATGCATGTGGTGGTTAATTGCTCTTCTCGTCTGTCTAGGTTGCTGTGGTAAAGATGAAGCACACAGAGCGGGTTTACGCCATGAAGATCCTCAACAAGTGGGAGATGCTGAAAAGGGCTGAGGTAAAAATGATTCTGCTCGTGGCTCGTCATTGTTTGTTGTCTTTCAGGGTGCAACTAAAATATTTGCCTTTTTATATTGACACATTCGTAACCACCAGTCATGGCGCCTGAATCACAAACAAATGTCTCCGAGTGTGAAAATGATTCACCAAACACAAAGCTAGTTAGTATTTTGTATCACACACACTGATTTAATGGATCTTCCATATCTAGTACTTGAGCTCTTCACTGATTTTTGTTAAATCACAATTCAGATTTGTGTGCACTGTAAAAGCATTCTTGCTGCCTTTTTTTTTTTTTAGTTGAATCAAATCAACTTTTTTAGTCATCTCAACTTGCATCAATCCAAACGGCTAAAAATATTAAGTTAAACTTAATATTAGAAGTAGAAGTTAAGAAATTATTTTAAACCTTATTAAAGGACTACAATAAGTTAAAGCAACATGAAAAGGTTTGTTGTCTGGACTTATTGTCGTACAATTCTTACAGTGTGTGCTTGAGGTGTGCTATGCGTACTTAAGATTACTAAAGTCAGCTTTAAAAAAATAAATAAATAAATTTTAGAAATGCTGAGCTGACTTTAGTCATTTTGGCCCCAAGCAGGGCTGACATCAAGAGTTTCCAAAATAGAAATTTTGACCGCATTTATTGAAACGTTATTATTTCTTGTAAATTGTTATTAAATAAAAAAATAAATAAAATCAAGTCAAATGAATTGAAATAATTTATTTGTTAATATATATTAAAGCAATAATAAAGGTGCAGTAGTTGATTTTCTTCAGCGACATTTTTTGTTGTGCTGGTTGAAAGTCTCTTCACATTATAATATTAATGATTAATCTAAATGTATTTACATGTGTTTTTATATTCTGGGTAAAGTATACGACTAAAAATGTTCATCCAATTAATATTGTCGGGCTGACAATTCCCATAATTCTGATAAGTAGCCCAAACCGTCTGTCAGTTACTTTTGCACGCTGGAGGAAGGATGACACCATGGCTGAAGGATTTCTTACAAGTTATGTTTTAAAACTATTTTAGTCATGCAAAACTTATGTAGATTTAGTTGTTACAAATGGGCTATATGCACAGAAGTGCTGTTCAGCCACTGTAATCTTCCGGCGAATGACTGATGTGAGTATTTTCAGTTTCATAAGGCAGAGATTATCAATTAGTGGTCCGCGGGCCTCAGCAATCCTGCATTAACTTAAATATTATACTATAATTATTTGATTTTAAAATTAAATGAAATATGCCATAATGAATAATAGTAGTTATGGCATTCAGGTTAGTTCGGACTTTTGCACTTTGGTAAAAACAGCCTCACTGCTAATTACAGACATAACTGTGGCTTAAATTTACAACCACTGCACGTCAACTGGGACCACGTTCTTGTATAAAGCAAGCAGTCACGCGAATGTAAAGGTAACGATGATTATAATAACCAGCTCGCGTGTGCCTCACGTCTGCCACTCGTAATGTATCACAAGTCCGTTGATATACAAGTCGCACAAGTCCGTTGATATACAAACTATGCGTGCTCTCTCTGTGTGAACACTTTAAAATATCCGCATAGTTGTCCAAATTAATGGCCTGCGAGTGTTTTATTATGGACGTGCGTCCGTACAGTAGAATCCAGTGAGACTCGGTGGTGTTTCAGTAGAGAACAGCTGTTCACTGTTCATGTCAGGGAACTCCAATAATGTCCAGCTGCAAACCAAACTGCCTTCAGATCGATGTTTCAACAGATTTAGGTTTTTTTAAACTGTATTTTACATTTTAGGGTCATTGTAAGGTTTTTTATATTAATGGATAATGATCAATAGATGAATAGAAGTCCGTCTAATTCAAAGCAGCAGCAGTTTTTTGTCATTTTCTGTAGTCCTGTCAGGTTCCTTTACTGAAGAAAAGGCTCAAATACTCTGCAGTTGTAAAGAATAAGTGAAGAATTCAGCAGCATTGAACCTGTCTGCATTAAAAAAAAATTAAATGCATATTATTATATTTTATATTATATTAAAAAAAGATTTTAAAAAATTTGAAGAAAAAGGTGGGCATCAAAGTAAAAAAAGTATCCACAAGTGTTGCTGTAACAGCCGAAAGAGGAGAGGAGAGGAAACGTTACCTCACGAATACGCCACCAGGTCAAAGGTCCACAGTGATAGAGAGATAGAAGCATAGATGGAGTTTACAGCTTTCATAGCAGTGAAATAGTGGCTTCTGAGTTCTACTGTAACGTCAGTGTCAGTGAAAGACTATAATTGTGCACAGCTGTCGGCTATTTAAGTAGTTGGAGCATTTTATTTACTCGCCCTCATCATAGTAAGCTACCGCGTCATTACGCATATGAGATAATTGATGTCAGTACGTAATAACTGGTTATAATTATTCATGAACCAATACCAACTTTTCTGTGTCTGCATCGCAGTGCGTCTAAGAAACTATTATTTTGGACACTACTATTTTTTAAAGCCTTAATTCTCGAAAGAAAATTCTCTCATTTGATCTATATTCAGTCAAACCGCTCTAGTCATATCTATAGAAGCGCAAGGTCATTTTCTTTTCTACTCCTAATCTTTCTTGCCCCAGATTCATCCCGATCAGTCCTGACAGTGCCCACGGGCTTCCCACAGGCACGTCAGGAGAACTTTTGTCACTTGGGCTTGTCAGTAATCCTCTTTGAGCTTCACTGCGCTCCTTTTATTCCACCTCGCATATCCAGAGTCTCAGTTTAAACAGCGAAGATCTGAGACTAACATCTGAAATATTAGGAAAGTGATTCACATTATCAGTGCAGGTGGATTGAGGTTAATTTATTGAACGAGTTAACAAATACTCTTGATCTCTAAAAACTAGGGCTGCAAAATAATTAAAGATAAATGACATTTAATAAAAAAACAAAAAACGCAAAGAGGTCAGTCAGCAATAAATTAAAGTAGAAGCTTGAGAGTCCATTTTCACACTAATATGTTTTAGTTTAAAAATATATTATTTTCTCCACCTCTCTTTCTGTCCGCACTGGGACAGAATATTTTCAGGCAGCAAAAAAAGTATCTTTATAAAAAATGCTCTTTTCACAGCTTCCAAAATATGGTAACTTTTTAGTCATGTGACCAAGTCAGCTAAAATGGTGGACAACATTGTACAGTCAAGGTTCCTACGCGCTTTGTAAAACCTTGGAATTAAGAAGATTTTTTCCAGTTATGAAAATTGCCTGCAATTGAAATGACCAAATGTCCTGGAAATAATCCTCGTTTTTTTTAAATAAAAATAAAGGAGAGAAAGCTTCTTATAGATGCTACTAGGGTTGTGCTATATTTAAAAAGGCTATCTCAAGAATTAATGCTGTTCTAGGATGCTGATAACAACCCTATTTTGCTTGATTAAAAAAGTTTTTGAAAGTTTGAGATATTTTATTAGCTTACTTTCAAAATGTCTATACGATTCTGATTAAAGACACCATGTAGTACTTTTTTTTTTAGATTTTAACAGATAAGTGTGTGTTGAGCATCAGTTCAGACAACGCTAGCATCTGTCAGCTATAATTGTAAGTAAAAATGGATAATTTCCAGGTTTAAAATAATTATTGGGGTGGGATCAAAATCGGTGACGTAGCGCAAATCTGCAAGTGGAGTGATGAAGCGTCGGTTTCTCATTATTATTCATAGCTGAGTTTTCTGCCCTATGAGAATACCCTGCCTGTTAATTATTCATGAGAGCAGGTGCTTTCCGTCTGTGTTGCATTTTGATGACAAACCACAGACCTGCCAAGCTGTGAAACAGTGCATGGCATGCAGTATTTAGCTTTTCATGAAGGGTCGTATGTGTTTGTTTCCATGATCCACGGGGTTTGCTGCATGGTTTTCCCAGCGATGCTGTAGGGCTAATATAGCAAAGCTGTTGGTTTGCAGCAAGCATTTTTGTCTGAGTTATACAAGAATTGGAGTGGTGGATTGTTGTCTTTTATAAGTTGGGTTCGTTACCATTCAGACACATCACCTAAATCCATGCTGCTGTGTTCGCACATGTTTAAAATCCTCCAGATTAATGACAGGGATATTGGTTGGAATAGACATGCTGCACTGCTATCCATTGTGTCTACCTTCAGACCTGGGGATTCAGCCATTCTCATTTATAGGGTTTAAAAAAGATTATCTTTATAATGACAAAACAAATTGTGCTTTTATGAAATTATGAATAACCCAATGTAGATGTCACAGCATTAAATTATTTACTGTTTATTTCTTTGCATTTTTAACTTTGTAAACTATAAAATCATGCGTCTCCTCACATTTTGTAATTTTTTTTTTTGCATTTTTTAGTTTATTTTATTGTTTATTTATTTATTTTTTATAGTTGGTGAGCCCACTGACACAAATTTTTTTTTGCCCCTTTTTTTGTCCCTCTGCTCACAGCTTTCCACGCCCATCATAAAAACATTTTTTTTAAAAAGTTCTGAGATAGAGTAGAAACGAAAGTTTCATGACACTTTAAATCAATATTGAAAAACAGTAGATTAATAATTTAAAACCTGAAGTGGTCAAAAAAAAAAAAAATAAATAAAATAAACAAGATGGTATTATCATACATAACTTCCTCTCCACAAATTTTTTTTTTATTCCACTTCATTTAACATTCCGACTTTGGTAACATATTGGTAGTTACTGACTCAGTACTAAGCCTGTGACTGATGTATTTGACTGTTTGTGACAAACTTTCATCAGGAATTACCTAAAACAAATTCTGCAAAATGCTTTCTTAAAAAGAGTGGGAAGCTTTCTGTACTTCAGTTGGTTGGGACGCATTTTAATTTGACAGCATTATTGAAGATTAATGTCAAGGGCCGTTAACATGTTGTTGTCAGCCATCGTCTTCTGTTTTGGTTGTTCATTTACATGACAACTGCATTTTTGTGATGATTTTTTTTTTGTCCGTGTAAGCACCTGAAAACTAGAGAAACCAATGACGTCATGCACATTTAGGCAGGTGTTGATTAAAAGCAAATACAAACCAACACACATCAGCTAAGTGAATTTACCTAACATAATAACTGACAGCGGAGGACGCATTTTGCACACAAAGCAAATTATACATTCACACCAGCCTTTTGTAAAAAGGTAACCTCACCAACTATTGACCTGGCATACATAAAACAGCGCATGTGTAACGTAAAACTTTTAAAAATGCAAAGAATTTAAAAAGGAATGAACCTTTATATTTTTACCTACATGATTGTTGTGTAAACGTAGCTGCAGTCTGTATAAGCTCCAGATTGGATTTATTCAAAGTACACAGATAGTTTACTCTGAGCTTCTGTTTTGGCACATCTCCCAGTATAAATTCTCACTTGAATTTGCAACTTTATACTCCTATGCTACTCGCAGCAACAACTCCAACTCCCGGTCATTTCATTTAAAAATGTCAGAGCTCAACATAATGCTGGAACCATTCAAAGATCTGTGAAGTAAATAAACAGCAAGCAGAAGTGATGCTGATCAAACCGTCTTAGATCTTAATGCATGTGCAGTACAGTATGAATGTTTTTTTAACCTTTATTATATTCACCATGATATACAAGTCATGATATATGAAATGCTGTTTCCGGGTCCAAGCCGCTACACATTTAAATTGAGAAATTATTTGTTTATGACCACTTTTTAGTCCTATCACACAATAAAGTGAATTTTATATAAAATCAGAGTGTACACAGCAGTCTCTGGACTTGCTGCATCACAAATAAATGCTTTGCGTTGCGTCACACTTAACAATCGGTTTGGACAGTGTAGTTGAAACTGTAATACATGAGAAGCAGACAGAGAGGAAATATCGACAAAGGGCGACGAGCTGTGAATCAAACTCTGGTTGCCGTGAGCACCTCAGTGCTATATGTTGGTGCACTTTAACACTAGGCTATTGGCACCGACATGAAAGCATTTATAGTCTTTTCAATGTGGATGACCAACTTTTGGGAAACAATTGAAAATGATAATGTGGACAACAATTGCCTTTTTTTCACTGAAAACACACTTATTTTCTTTAGCTTTTAATCATGTGTTGTGAGTATGTATTTGAGCTGTTTTATGTATTTTGTGTTTTATGTACAGTACTTTCGTAACCATTGTGGTTGTCTGAAAGTTATTTAGGAATTAAGTTGAGCTGAGTTAAAAATCACAGATGATGGATAACCAAGATGTTGTTACTCTCTAAAAAAAAATTCCAGTCGTCGATGTTGTAGTAGCCTAAAAAGTTCATAATGTATTCATAATTTATATAATGTAATATTTCAAGTGCTGTTGGAAAAAAATGGTTTTAACCTAATTTGTCTCTGCAGACGGCATGCTTTCGGGAAGAGAGGAACGTCCTGGTGAATGGAGACTGCCAGTGGATCACTACCCTTCATTATGCTTTTCAGGATGACAACTATCTGGTGTGCATCTGTCCCTACACACACTTATTTGCATGGAATTTAACTGAACATAACATATAAAAAACATTATTATTTTTTTGTTAGGAATAAGTTCTTTTTAATTTATTTTGAATGTTTAATAATACAGGGCTCGAAATGACCCTTTTTGCTTGGTAGCACAGGTGTTCCTAACTTTAAAAATGTATGCGCACCAACCAAGATTTATTGCATTTAAAATCAAAACTAACAAACAACCAAAAATCTGCATGCACTTGTAACTTTAGGTGGTTTCTAAAACAAAATCTGTCAGTGTTAACTCATTCTCTTGTATCCGACCTCACATTTTCATGGCTGTAGCTCCCTGTCATCTGAAGTAAGACATTCACTGAGAGATTGACCGCTGATATCAACCAATCGATTTGCGTGCAGTGGGCCAATCAGAAGAGCTTGAAGGCGGGGCAAGCATTACGGGAATTGTTTACTGCAGCAAGTTGACATGACAACTGTTTTAATCATTCCTAAGCGCTGTTTGACGCTTCTAGATGCAAATATGCATGCTGCATAAATGTCTCCTAAATCTGTGTATGCGATGAACATTCACACAAATGCTCCCAAATATATTTTGAGGTCGCATGGATAAAATTTCGGGCGCATATGCGACCAAAACGGTAGCAATTTCGAGCCCTGTGATTGCTTTATTTTTTATTATGTTTCTATTTTAAAATTCTATTTGTTTTGCAAAGTTTACATTTTTATTTCAGGGAATTGGCAAGGCAAGTTTTTCATATCCTGTTTTATTAAAGCGTTATTTTAATTAACTGAAATAGTTTTTAGTTGTTTTAGTTAATGATCTCTACCACTTATATTTGTGTATAAGATAAGCTAGCCTGTAATATTATAAGTTTTATAATAATAATATAATAAGTGTTTATTTTTAGGCTGTTATTTTAATAGTAATATTATTATTGACAGACAATTGTTTAATAAGAAGCAACAATCGAGATCATTCGCCAAAACTTACATTTCACCGAATTGGCTCCACACTGACTCTCCGCTCCACCAATAGCTGGTGTGTGGATGTAGTGCGCACTGGTGCTGTTGTCCTGTGGCAGCCGTCACATCATTCAAGTGGATGCTGCACACTGGTGGTGGTGTGAAGAGACCCCCTCATGATTATGAAGCGCTTTAGGTGTATTGCCATACACAATACATGTGCTATATAAATGCATATTACATTACATAACAAACTACATTCATAAATTAAATGTCAATTATTATCATATAACCTTAAGTTTAATAAATTATTGAGCACGTGTACATTATTATCAGGGAAATGGATAAGTTTACCATGATGAATTTTTTTTTATTTCGCAGCTTCTGATAGCACAGCCTCTAACACAGTAATTCAGGAGGTCACGGCACAATGCGTCCTGTGTGGTTTAATGATAAATATATTGCAATCACACTGCTCTTTGATGTCTTGCGTTTGATATTATGAAGTGCTGAGTCGGTGTTTGTGTAATTGAATGGTGTTGTGTGATAAGAGATGATAATGTCTCCTCCTGCAGTACTTGGTGATGGATTATTACGTTGGCGGTGACCTGCTGACGCTGCTTAGTAAATTTGAAGACCGGCTGCCGGAGGACATGGCCAAGTTCTACGTGGCGGAGATGGTTCTCGCCATCCACTCCATCCATCAGCAGCGCTACGTACACAGGTGACACGAATACTGTGTTTGTGTGTATGAATGGGAGTAGTATGAAGTGCCACATAGAATTTAAATCAAACTTTGCTTATCGACGTATACATAAAACACGTGCATATACACCTATTCACAAAGTGGCACAATTTCCATCTAAACCTGAAAGAGATAAAATATGATCTTTGTGGTATTTTAATAGGGACATCAGAAACTTAATTTACCTCTTGTAAATAGGGGCGTAATAGGTCCCCTTTAAATAACAAATAGCCTCTTGCCTATTTCTGTCTGTTTTTAGTCAGAATAAGGCCACATTTTATGCATATGGCCATGTTTTTAATGCTAGACTAGTTCCAGACAAAACATCCCATATCCCACATCCCATAACAAATTATGTCTATATGTTTGAATGTAATCACAAGCAAGTCAGAGTGGTCATTAGCATGGTTTGAGTGATGGGCACACTGGTGGGATCTCCTGTCCACTCCCACATGAAATATTTAATGAAATGACCGCAGATGGCTGTAGTGTTCAGGTTTTGGGGCCTCTTCCTGGCTTCTCTGTCCTGGGCTGCCTTCCGGTCCAGCTGAGTCCCCTCTTCCTTCCTTCTGTGGAGGCTTATGAGGGGCTTCACCTTTGATACAGTAGCAGCATTGTTGCAGTGGTAGTTCTCCAAAGAAAATGAGTGTCTACTTGTCCTCATGTTAGCTAAATGAGAAGTCACAAAAATAGATTAAAGAATGTTCTGCTGCACTCGATAAAACTAATTTGTGAAATGGAATGTTAAATGATCAAAAACAAAGGCTGTGAGGACTTGTTTGGCCTGGGTGTTTCTGAGTAAACATGAGGATTATGAGCAACATTTGGTCTCTTTCATGATGGGCCTTTGCTCTTTCAGCATAAACTTTTTATTTTAGAATTTTTATAATTTATGTTAGGATTATTATACGTTGTTTGTTACCATTTAAGTAATTTACATTATTTGTAGTTATAAGCAGGGCTTTACATTAACACTCGCCAACCTGCCAAATGCGGGTAGATTTCAGCTCTGGCGGGTAAGACAGCCGCTCCCACTAGCCACTTTGGCTGGTTGGAAATAATTTTTACATTGTAGTTTTCTTAAAGCACGGTTCGACAATAAGAATGGACCAATATGCATGCTAATGTGATCTTTGAGAAGCAGCACGGCTGACAAAAATAACTGTTTGCGCATGCAAAAGCGGGTGAATAACTTATGAGAGCATGACTGTTAAAAAGCACTCACGCTCCTGTTTACTTGCGCGAAACAACTGTGTGTAGAGGTAACACAACTGCAGTCCGTTCTTCGTACCTCACTTAAATGATCTAAGATGATTTGGCAGATCCTGGATCTGTTCATCTTGATAACTGATCTCGCTAATTTGGTTCTTCAAACAAGATTGTGAATCAGAATAAAATGTCGGAATAAACTGATCTGAGATCCCTGCATGTGCTGTGAAGGACAAATCTATCGGTCCTCAAAATCATGATCAGTAATGCAATGATTGGCTGACGGCACAGCAGCGTAATGACATCATCTAATTAATATTCAATTATCCATGTGAGTGAAATTACTTCAAATTAGCAGTAAACGGTTTGTTAAATATGACACGCAATAACTTTCCATGTTTGTTGTGGGCTGCAGGTTTTACACTTTCATGTGTCAAGAGTATTCATCATGTATTTCAATGCATATCAATGTATTTAGTTCTACATTTAGAGAAGATTTTCTTTACTATAGTAGCCTGGGTCTACTCAAGGTATTTTAATTGGAATTGTATTGTAAAGGAATAACTGTATAAAATGATTTTGCATCAAAAATCATTTTGATATTGGTAAAGGTATCAACCATCGGCATATTAGTGTTTAAAACACGTGCTTGACTGCATACATTATTATTCTTAAAAAAAAAAGGCGAAAATATGTGTACGTGTTTGCATTTAAAAAGTTCATATCAATAAAATTTCTCTTTAAACCACCAGGTGGCAGGCTTTTCAATTTTATTTTGGAGTGCAGATTGTATAAGTTTTATATAACTGTAAGAAATGATCAGCATTTGGTACATACTTTCAGTATAATCTTTGCTTGAACTGACCAGATCTAATCCTGTTTGTATGAAATTAACCTGCACCTACGCAGGTTTGAGCTACCAGAACTGTTGCTATGAAGAACTCGAAGAACTAAATGATCCTGGATCATGTCAAATCGTCAATATCCAAATCCAGCTAATTGAGTAATCCACGTACGAAGAACGGACCCCTGGTATGATCGTTTCTCTTTGAAATAGACTAGACAAAAATCTATGCTCGTGTACCCACAGTCCTGCTGTTTTTAAGAGCTCAAGATTAAAAAAAACTATATACATACATATAGGCCTAACATTAACTGTGCGTGTGATCATCCTTTCATTATCACACACGGTATGTTTTTACCTGCTTTGATTTGCTTACAGGTATTTTTGATAACATGGTTAAATTATCATCCTTTACGATAACATTGCTTTAATATGAGATTAACTCCCCATTTATGTGTAGTTACTGCTGATCTGGCACCTTTAGCCAGGACAGATGACTGTGCATATTTTAGATACATGACATTAGATCTTTTTAAATGTCAATTAAAAAATAAAAAACAAAAGTTATGTTGATTTAAAAAAAACAAAACATGTCTGCAGCTATATTTTGCTTATTTTGACATTTAAAATGTGTGGCTGAGAAATAATTATTTCTTTTTGATGTGGTCAGAGATAAATTTGGTAAATCCTTAATTTTGAGCCCTAAAAAAGTAATGTGAAATAAAAACTAATTGCAATGTGACAACCCATTTGCTCATGCACAGTGAGAAAGCTCATACACAACACACACAAAAAGTGAAATAAATGATTAGGCATGTGGACAACACAACATCTAAACCAAGTAATTTTAGCATATCACATTCATATTTTTTCATATAAAATATATTTTCCAAACAACAAAATTGTGGCTACTGAAAATGGCAAGTGGCTAGTAATGTTGGAAGTCTACTAGCCACAGTGGCTGGTGATCAAAAAAGGTAATATCAAGCCCTGGTTATAAGCATTATTTTCTTGTCATATTGATGTATAACCACAACATTTTTACAAACTTTAACAAAAAAGCATGTTTTTTTCCCCCATTTTAAATTGGAATTGCAGTTTTTATGAGAAATCTCATGGAGTAGTCGATAGGCAGGGGCCGGAATAAGATTCTGATGCAATGAAAACCTTGGATGAAAATATCAAGGTTTCACAGTATAACGGTATTGTGATTACTGCTCTAAAATAAGTTCTTTTTAAATGTTTGGCTATAAAACAACAATTTTTTCCCCCATTGAACACAATATATTTTGGTTGAGGTCTGCTGACTTAATCAGTTTTAAAGACGCAAATTTCTTTACAACTTTTTTTTTCGCATATGAGCAATTCCAGCATTATGGATGTGACATTTGCAGTAAGATCTCAAAACAAATTCACAGAAAGTATATATTAACATTATATTGAAACATCTGTTTATATTTTCCAGAACAACTTACTACAGAGTTATGGAATCAGAAAAATATCTGTAAACTGTAAGCATTTTTTATACTTTAAAAGAGGAAAGTAAACAAGCGTTAAGGATGTGACCAAAAAAGTTTGCGAGTTTACAGTCTACAATATACTTTGTTGAAATTCTGTAAATTAAACTGCACAACCCAAAATAAATATTGCTAATTAAAGGATAAGAGTCGGCTCTCTATTAAAGGGCCATGAGACCCCCCAATTTCGGTTAAAGTCTACTTCAGAATTTTTTCAAAAGATGCACGATTAATGGGCGTGGAGCTCCGCGAGCATCGGGCAGGACTGGGCGTAGCTAGCAGGGGAGAACGTGAGCAAACAAAGCTAGCTCACAAAATGAGACAAACCGTGAGGAGACGCATGAGTTTATAGTTTACAAAGTTAAAATGCAAAGAAATGAACAGTGATTTAATGCCCTGCTACATTTGTTATTCGTAATTTCATATACACATAACCACAATTTATATCATTATAAAGATAAGTGTGTTCATGTAAACCCTATAAATGAGGACTTCTCCCTCAATCCCCGTATCCAGCAGACTCAGTGCAGCAGGTCTCCTGACCTGTCTGTTTTAACCATTAGTCCTGCTGGTAATCTGGAGAATTTAGGCAAACACAGCAGCACGGCGATGTGTCTGAATGTGAACGAACTCCTGGTAAAAGACAGCGTCCGCCATTCTCTAATTCTCGTGCTGCTCTCCCGACAAAAAATGCTAGCAGCAAACACACAGCTTTGCTGTATGATCGGCCCTGACAGGATCGCGGGGAAAAAACATGCAACAAACCCCGTGGATCATGGAAACAAACGCATATGAGCCTTCATGAACGGCTAAGTACTGTGTGTCGTGGGTCCGTCCGTGTCTCACAGCTCGGGCTTGACACTGGCAGGTCTGGCAGGTCTGATGAATAATTAAGCAGCCGGCTCTTCTCATAGGATAAGAAAACTCCGCTATGAATAAACTGACGCGTCATCATTGCACTTGTAGTACTGCGCTACGTCGCCGATTTTGATCCCGCCCCAAAAATCATTTTAAACCCGGAAGCTGAAATTAGCTGAAAAAAGCTCAAAATTATCCAGTTTTCCCCACAATTAAAGCTGACAGATGCTAACATTGTCTTAACTGATGCTCAACACAAACAAATCTGTTAATATATAAAAAAAGTTCTCCAGGGTGTCCTGAACCTTTAAACAAAAATGATTGACTTATTTTATTAGATTTTTTTTTTTTTTTTTTTTTTTTGCATTTATGAGAAAGAATTTCCTTTATGTATGTGAGATCTCTCCTTTATGGATGTGACAGATGTGAAATTGGCACTTGTGTGATTTTGGTAGATCAAGTGTAATAGTTTGAAAATATTACCAGAGATATTTTTGAGTATTTTTTAAAGCACTGTAAAATACTTGCTTAACCAAAAAAAAAGAAAAAAAAAAGAAACAGTTTCGATATTTTGCTTCAAATCTTTTTTTTTTTTTCGTGGCAAAGTTGACATTCGCGTGGAATTGCTCGTATAAAGAAAGCCACTGCACTGTTCAGGCCTATAGTATGCTTGAATGTTGGTGTATAAGCCATTTGTTTTTCATGTTTTCTGAATCATGGGCTGACTAGTACATTTTAATGTGGAGGGTCCTTTTCTGCTGGAGATACTGTTGCTCTGAAAAATAATTAAAAACAAACTCATACATAACTTAGGAACGCTATAACAGAATTTTTGTTCATTGTTTTTTTAAAACTGTGGTAAACCTTGAAGCCGGTTATCGTCCTATGCCTAGTAGTCAACTATTATGGGATATTTAATGCTTGAAACCAATTGTGAAAGCAATATCTCAGATTTATAGATGTGATGGTTTCATATTGTTTCATATAAAAAACATCAGTTGAATAATAGGATTTATTAACCAATGCTGATATTTATAAATATATCAGCCACAGCATTTTGACCACTCATCTCCATTATATTTTTTTGCTGGTTCTTGCAACCTTAGAAGTATGTTCACACTTTTTTTTTAAATTTACTTACAATGGACTGTTGCATTAACAGAGAAAAGTTACCATGCAAAACTTACAACAGAAAACTAATGCTTCTGATGGGCTTTTTTGTGTCCTGTCCACCAGCACAGTATGGAAAAAGCAGGACATTCTTCAAAACATTTCTCTTTGTGTTTTCCACTAATTTACAAAAGCCTTATGTTTGTATAATAACATAAGGGCGAATCAGAGATGCTATATTTTATTTTGGGATGAAGCACCCTTTTGCTCCCTCAACCAATCATCACAGCCTCTTTAACCCTTCATTCACACCTACTGTAAAGTCTCCAGCCTGTCAGGCCGAAGCAGCTGACTAAAGTCACGATTATGCTCGTAAACGCACATGTGGCGACTGAACGACCCCTTCGTGCTTCCACTGACAGCCAGTGAGGTTGTGAATGGTGTGGATTGTGTGTGCGATGAGTTTTGACACCATGTTTACTCTGTACCCGCTGTGCTCGCCATGGTGCCAGTGCTGCGAATCAGAGGGCACTGTGTGTGTGGCCTAGTGGTGGAGAGAGTGTGTGAGTGTGTGTGAGAGTGTGTGTGTGTGAACAAAGGCAGGCTGTTTACATGGAGAGCAGGGCATGGCTGAGCATGGCAAAACTGTTGCCCACTGGAGTAATAACATCTCCCAGTCAGCTGCGGGATGAATGGTGTGTAGGTCTACTGGAGTGTTGGTTTTTCCCTTTTTTTTTTTTTTTCAGAGCCGTCTTTATAGCGCGGGTACTCAACTGGTGGCTTGTGACCCAAAAAATGTAACGTTATGTTGATAAACGTTTGCGCTGACCCATTGTGTTTGTGTAACTACCGGGAGCATGAAACCACTGAAATCCAAGAGACATTTACAAACCCAAATTGTCGATTTTCTCATCAGCTCATCATGTTAGTACTTTTTGCATCATTTAGGCCAATGCTTTTCTTTTTATTTCAATAATTTGATTATTATTTATTAGAATTTAAAAATTTTTTACCAGATTTTATCGTGTAATGTAAAAAATAATGTAAAAAGCTCTTAAAGGGATAGTTCTGCTTAGCAAAATAAACATCCTGTCATCATTTATACATTCACTGGTTGTTTCAAACATTTATTGGTTTTTTATGTTGGACAAAAAGAAGATATTTTGAAAAATGTTGGATTCGATAGCCACTGGCATCATTATTAAGAAAAAAATTCAATGGCTGCCGGTTTTTATCATGCTGTTTCTTCTGTTGAAACAATTGCAGCGAAAATAAATTAATGTGAATTTTAGGTGTTTAAAGTTAATGTTTTTAAGAAACCTTTTTTATAATTGTTTTATTTTTAAAGGCTACTTAAATTACTTTATGCTTAAAGTTGTTTCTTGCTCCCACAGGGATATAAAACCCGACAACGTGCTGCTGGACATGAACGGCCACATCCGACTCGCTGACTTCGGCTCCTGTCTGAAGATGATGCAAGACGGCACGGTGAGTGTGGCTCAACTTAAAAAAATAAAAACTGGGGTGTGAGTCCAAAACCAGAGCCTGTTTGTCATCCTCTCAGGGTGGTCTCCATCTGTTGGATAAAATCACTGCCCCTGCCCTTTTTTTTTCTCTCTTCTTCTCTCTGTTTCTCTCTTTCTCTTTGCTTCTGACATTAATGGAGCCACTGCTGCCCTAGAAAGAGAGGCTAATTAGAAAGGGCCGTTGCTGCCACTCCTGTACTTACAATCTGATGAGTCACCATAGAGCGCTGATACCAAGGCCAAAACAGCTTTTATCTAATGTTGTGTGTGTGTTGGTGTGTGCCAGCAGCATGCAGATGAGGCGTTATTTATCTATTAATTTTTTTTGTTTTACCGGCTTGTTTTACATGTGAGGAGATCCCTTATTGTTTGGGGATGTTACTCTTTTAATTGGATGAAGATGAGTAGAGGTTGTAATGATGCACAATTGACTGAGATTTAAAAGGGCTAGTTCACCCAAAAGTGAAAATGTACTCACCATTTACTCTCCCTTAAATGATTCCAAACCTTTATGAGTTTATTTCTTCTGTTGAACACAAAAGTTGATATTTTGAAGAATGCTGTAAGCATTGAATATCATAGTAGAAAAAACAAATCATATGGAAGTCATTAGCTATGTTTCCATCCAAAAATGTGTGAGTAAAGCAGCATTTCTATCCGAGTCAAATCGAACAAAAGCGTCACTTCCAGATTAACTGGCTCCAAATATCAACAGTAAAAATGTAATTTGCTGTGCTAGGACAAGCAGCATGAATCATTTCCTCATCTAATAAATGAATTGCACCTCAGAAGGCAATCCTGACACGCGTGGTTGCGTTTGAAGGCGTGAGACGCGGAGCACAGACACTCTTGATTCTGAAGGTAAATAATAATATAATAACTCTAATACTGATATGGTTAAAGTATTTTAGAATGACCTAAACAACATTTCAGTCATTTTACAGGGTGCTCAGTCTGCTAATTTATCCATTTGCACACATTTTTTTCATCACATGATCTCTTATAACAAAATCACATGAGCTTTTTTAATGCACATACTGGAATTTGTTTGATAAAAGTTTTTCCATCGTAGTTTATGCACATCTTTTCTTATCGAAGTTTATCTTACTCAATAATGAGTAGGGGTGTAACGATTTATCGTTGTACGATTTATTGCGATGCAAAAATGTCTCAATATGCATCGTGGCGTTATGACGATTTGATTACGATATGACGTCCGTTTTCTCTTATTAGTTGAGCTGTTTGCACGTGAGCTACGTTCCACCTGCTGTCGCATGTGAGTTCAGATTGCAGCAGCAGTAATGTTAGCAGACCAAGATGAGTGGAGCTGAAATAAAGGATGGCCCATCCTTCAAAGTCAGACGTCTGGCAACATTTCGGTTGTACAGTCTTTGCTTTAGACTCGTCCGCTTTTTGACACGCATACTGGGTCAAACATCCTAAGTTTTAAAGTTTTCACAGTGATTTACATACTTTGCACAGCGACAGGGATAGCTCCTAATGGTGTTGAAAGAGTCACATACTGTATTTATAAGGTACAATTCACCCTAAAATATCATTCTGTCTTCAAATAATGTTCCCGCCGCAAAATCACACATGACGTGAGCTGACTGTGAGCTGTTACTACAGAGGGCGGACTTTGATAGACGCGCGCATGGCAAGCCGTTTTAGCATTTAAACCTTTGTTGTGACTATCCATAAACATATTTTGAGATATCTCTAATTATATTTTGACTAGTCATAATTATAATTCGACTAGTCAGAATGACAATTACAGATATCTGCAATTACTATTGTACTAGTACGAAATCAGATTGGAGATATCTGCAAAAATATTATGACTAGTCATATTCCTCCATTGACTTCCATTGAAAAATATTTGCAGATATCTCTAAATGAGTTTTGACTAGTCACAATTGTAATTAGAGATATTTCTAAATGAATTTAATTAAATATGAATTAAATACCTGGAAATGTGGCTAATAAGTTCAATAATGGCTAGTAATGTTCAATAATATTTTAAGAAGTTTTTTAATTGTTTTATTTTCCAGAGACAGGCCTGTTTAATTTATTTTCTTAAAGAAGGTTCAGTTTAACAAGTTGAAACAAAAGAAATACATAAAAAATAGTTTACTTGGTAAAATTAGCATTTCAGTTTAATTTTCAATTTTTATTCCAAATATCGTGATACATATCGAATCGTGAACATTATATCGTGATACACATCGTATTGTGAGCTGAGTGTATCGTTACACCCCTAGTAATGAGCATATGTTTTTATGCACATTTTCAAAATTTATGCACATCTTGGCGTTTCAATCAATCGATTTTTAAAAAAAAATTATTATTATTAATATTTTTTAGTGGGCATATAAAAATGTGGATGGAAACGTAGCTACTGATTTTAATTGCAATTTAAATTTTTGGGTGAACTATCCCTTTGTGACTGAACTTCAGGTATTTGTATTTGTCCGATTTATAGTGAATCACTGCAATGCGTTTGTGAAAGCTAGCAGCTCTTGGTTTTGGGATTGCAAATTAAGTTTAAATTCTCCCAAATCTATTAAAATTTAAGATTATACACTGGATATACACTGTTTGTCAAAACAAATATTTAAATGTGTTTTGGATCATTAAATTTTCGCAAATATGAAAAATAAATAAGCTATAGTTTGTTTATTATTATCATTATTATTATTACTATTATTATTATTATTAATACTATTATTATTATTATTATTTTATTGTCTTAAAATATATGATAAAGTAACATTTCAATTGTAATATTCATTAATTTTTTTGTAAAAATTAGATTGCTAGAAATGTAATAACAACATGATGAGGATTATAAGAATAAAGTATCCAAATTAATCTAAAGTGTATTACTTATACAACTACTGGGTAATTGTACAATTAGAAACCCAACATTATTATTGGTAAATAAACAAACAAACAAATAAATAAATAAATAAACTAAATTATTCTATTTTATTTTATTACAATTTATACCATAGCACAGTTTTGTTTTGTTTAGTTTTGCTCATTGTTCAGCAATACATATAAATTTGGCTTAAAAACTAAACTAATTTTCTATTATATATATTTTTTAAAACGTGCAGCCCAAAGAGATTATTGTCTTTAGATTAGGAACTTATTTTTGAAAGGATTTGATATTATAACAGATTATGTTATGAGTCATTTAGTATTTTGCCCCATTTTACCGGAAAGAGCAAGAGCAAGCATACTTTTTAATAGACTTGCTGTCTAAAAGTGAATTTTGTCAACAAGCATAGAGATGTTTTTAACATAGAGTAAAAGCCACAAAACCCACATTTGTTTTCTTGGTGTCTGTAATATTGCTTGAAGATATGTTTATGCCTGACTCAATGTCTTTCAGTGTTATCTGCACAAGACAGTCTTCTGCAATTAAACATTCTACAAAAATAACCGGAGGTCAAGACATGTTTTGAGGGCTTGTTTTATGATTGGATTGAGCAAGATGTCTTCTTTTTAGCAGCGCTCTTGTGCAATCCTGGTTAACATGTCTAAAGCTGTCGTCACTCATTTAAAACACGTTACCTGTCAAAAGTTTGGTGACAGTAAGTTGTTTATTTGAAATGAAAATCTTTTGCGGCAGTATAAATGTCTGCTTTTGATCAAATTGATCAATAAATGCTTTCATTTGCACCTTTTAAGAAAATTGAAGAAGTTGCACATGGGATAATTGAGATTTATATTAAAGTAAATGACCCAAAAAACCTTCAATCAAGTCTTCATATTAATTCCCTTTGTATCTTGTAATTATTTTCTCAGGTTACACCTATTTTAGACTTTTATACAGTTGAAATAATTGCGTATTAAAACTGTTAATTACAATAATCAGTCATTTTTTTGGGATGTCGAGCGCAATGTTATAGGGTTGCACGGCTTAACAATACTATGGCAGTATCGTAATACTATGGCTCCAAAATACTGCCGGTGCAACTGTAGTTTGTAAATGGTAGTATCGTCATTAACAGTCTATCTACAATACATAATGTTGCATGTAGAAAAGTGACTAAAATGCTCACATGTTTGTGCAACAATAGACCATTTTATTTGAAGAGTCTGTGGACCCCTTAAGGCCCGGTTTACACTAGTGCGTTTTATGCCTGACTTACAAATTTACATTTTGAATTACTTACGTGATAAGACTGAAAAATAAACAATATTTGACCACTTCCTTAAGCCTAATTTGGTTGGAAAAGTGCTCTTTTTGTTTTGAATTTCGTTAATTTGGTATAGTTTGTGTTTTTATTTAAATGTATTTTTTGTTGGTCCGTTATCTACAAAATAAACAAAAAGAACAAATACATTTAGGGGATGTGACATGCAAATACTTTTTTCAATATTATTATTGATTCAATTCAAGTAGGCCGATTGTTACATATAAAAATATAGTTTTTCTGTTCACTTTATTTTATGGATTTGAGTTAAGAATTATAGTATCGCAATTAGAGCTGCTCGATTCTGGCTAAAATGTGAATCGAAATTTTTTTTTTGCTTAAAACAAAGATCACGATTTTCTCACGATTCTGTAGATGTAAAATAAAGGAATGATAAAAACAAACATATGGCACAACATCGATAATAATATTATGTGTAGGTCTGCTGGTTTCTATAAATAATCCTATTATATTTATAATAATTCTGATGTTGAATTATGTTTGAGATATATGCATACAATCTGTCATATTAGACAATTTTATTCACTGATAAAATCAGACATTTGCCTTTATCAGATTATATTCAACATTATATAGGCTTGAGTAGTTATACTGACATTTTAAACATTTATTTTCATACACAGCTGTGTGTTCACTATGAAAGAAAACACATATCAAATGCTTGTCGTAATCATAACTCTAAAATGCGATATGATCATTTAAATGAAGTGCACACTTTCAGTGTCATTTTGACTGTTAGTGCTTGTTCATACTTCGTGCGCGGCTTCCAAACGATCACTCTGTGCATCAAACTGAATATTATTTACAACTGTATTACCTGTTACTCGCAACATATGCAGGTTCAAGTACATGCACGCGCGTCTATCATTAAGTAGAGCGCGCGCGCGTGCGCTCCCTCTCTGTTATAACAGCTCACGGTCAGCAACTCGCGTCACGTGTGATTTCCCGGCTGTGAAAACATCATTATATGAAGACAAAAATGACAATTTTAGTTGAATTATACCTTATAAATACAGTATGTGACTCATTCAACATCATTTGGAGGTGTCAATGTCACTGAGCAACATATGTAAAACAATGAAAAGACTCGTGCAGCCGCCTTTTCTTCTCTCCTGAACTTGAAAATATGATTGACAGAATCGTAGAAATACTGGATTAAGATCTTCTAGGGGATCGAATTGAGATCGCGATCTTTTTACGATTAATTGTGCAGCTCTAATCGCAATACTACTTGGTATCACAATACTTCAGCTGGTATAGTATAGTAACATAAATTAATGGTATCATGGCAACCCTACAATGGTACTATCTAAAAAGTAATCTAACCTTGTGAAGATTTGACATTAGTGGTTTTGTAAAAAAAATTCTTAAGATATTGATGATAATAAGAAAAAAATGTTATTATAAGTGAGTATTACCTCATAATTTCACCCTGCATACACAGATGCAAACTTGTCCCGTCTCATTTGCGACGTCACTTATCCTCTGTGCAGGTCCAATCTTCAGTGGCTGTGGGCACACCAGACTACATCTCTCCAGAGATCCTGCAGGCCATGGAGGACGGCATGGGGAAATACGGGCCGGAGTGTGACTGGTGGTCGCTGGGCGTTTGCATGTATGAGATGCTGTACGGCGAGACACCCTTTTACGCCGAATCCCTGGTGGAGACCTATGGAAAGATCATGAACCATGAGGTGCGTATATTTTTGGTTTCACCCAGTTTAAACGTTCCCCGCCACTGACCCATATTTGAGTCTAGGGAAATAGACATTTTTCATTGTAGGAAAAGCATGAACTGCAGCGAATCCGATTAAAATATTTATTTATAGGCAATAAAAATAAAGCTTAGGCTAATTATCGTGACAAATAGCATCCCGCCTGGAACTCTGTTGGGACATATAACATGGCTCATAAAATCTGAACTGCCCTAATTTTTATCAGGACATCTGGCCGCCCCTAAACCACCACTGTTTTTTCCTATTTGTCTGTGCTTTGGTTCTTTTAATAGGAATAGATGCCCCTTTACAAGAGATGCAATTCTGATGGCTTCAAAATGTTTCTGTGAAGTTTCAACCTTAAAAGCCCCACATATCACATATTAAAGCTTGTCAAAGTTGCCCCTTTTTGGGTGTAAGTGAGTGTATGTCTCTTTAAATGCAAATTAGCTGCTGTTCCAGAAGAGGGCACAGCTATTTTTATAGAAAATTTTGAGGGATGTAAACAATAACAATGGTTCTGACCTGTTTCCTGTTTTACATTTTTGATTTTCCATAGCTTCTGAGAGTCCAAAAGTTCCACATATTGATAAATAATATTACAATAGTTGATTTAACACCAAGTTATGATTGAATCGCCAATTGTTACAGATATAAAATAGTTTGACAACAAGCAGGAAATGTTCATGGGCCAATGGCACAACCACATTTAAGTGGTTTATAGAAAAAAAAATAATATTATCTGTCAGAAATTACATGTTGAAACCATGTTTGGACAAGAACGATGAGACTGAGAAAGAGTTTTAAATCTTTAAACTGGACCAGGATGTTTTTTAATGGTTAGTGGATAAGTTTAAGCAGTTGTTATGGGGTAAATTTGATTTAGCTCACCTAATGTTTTACAGCTCTATTCCGATGTGCTGGGCTTTGCAAATAAATACTATTAAACAAATCTACTACTAGAAAAACAAAACGTAAAGGCCATCACCTGACTATACAGTACTGAAACATTAGTTTAAAGTTGTGCATTGATAGAGGCTGTTGATTATTTATTAGGCTTAGTTCAAATTAAAAATAAAATAAAGAGTTGATTTTTACTGTTATAGGTTGGCTGTTCGCATACATCGTGTATCCACTCTGTAAAAAAAATTCTGCCTTAAATTAAGTTGAATCAAAGTCCCCCTTTTAGGGAAAATCTTTGAAGGGCTGCACGATATTGGAAAAATCTGCCATTGCGATATTTTGTTTTTCTGCAATATAGAGTTGAAGTCAGAATTATTAGCCCCCTAAATTATAAGACCGCTTGTTTATTTTTTCCCCAATTTGTTTTTAACGGAGAGAAGATTTTTTCAACACATTTCTAAAAATAATAGTTTTAATAACTTATTTCTAATAACTGATTTATTTTATCTTTGCCATGATGACAGTTGATAATATTTGACTAGATATTTTTTAAGACACTTCTATACAGCTTAAAGTGACATTTAAAGGCTTAACTAGGTTAATTAAGTTAACTAGGCAGGTTAGGGGAGTTGGGCAAGTTATTGCATAACAGTGGTTCGTTCTGTAGATTATCGAGATAAAATATAGCTTAAAGGGGCTAATAATTTTGACCCTAAAATGGTTCATAAAAAGTTCAAAACTGCTTTTATTCTAGCCAAAATAAAACAAATAAAACTTTCTCAAGAAGAAAAAATATTATCAGACATACTGTGAAAATGTCCTTGCTCTGTTAAACATAATTTGGAAAATATTTAAAAAAGAAGAAAAAAAATCGAAGGGGGCTAATAATTCTGACTTCAACTGTATATACTGTATATAGCGATATGATTATAATTTCACCAGAAATAAAGATATCATTAATTAGGATTGATTAAGGTGATTTTCCAAGGGTCTAAATAATGTATAAAAATAATAAACAAATCGCAAGTGAAAAATAATCACAATAGAGAAACAAAACAAGTAAAATACACTATGCTTAATGGTTTTCTGGAGAGTCAATCAGTATTCAGGTATAGAAGTTGAATGATGAGATGTCAAGTAACTCTGTAGTCTTCATTGTATTCAGTAATTCCTCATTAAAGTTACAAATGTATTTCTTTGAGCATGAATGCTTTAAACTCTCTAGAAATGCATTGCAAATGATAAACTTTAACTAGTTATTATACTTTGCAATGTAAATCTCAACTGTTGTGGTGATCAACTATAATCCAACTAAACATTGTCATGTCCTGCAATGTGACTATTGCCAACACACATTGCGATATCGATGCTGAAATGATATGGGTTGTGCAGTCCTACCTCTCCGGCAGTATGCTCGTGCATGCTGTTTGAATGGGGAGACATCAAATTCTCCAAAATTGCTTGCCAAGCTTATGATTAAATTTCATATTAGGAATCACCAACAAATTTAAACAACAATTGTGTTATTAGTTTAATTTCTAAACATTTGAATCACACAAAATCTGCAGAAACTCATCTTGTCCGAGCCCCTCCTTCAGAGAAATCAGTCTATATCGATTGATGATTGGCTCCTGTACTATAAGGCGGGCTTTATTCGCTATATTAAACGTTACGCTTTTCTCCATTCAAAACCATACGAGTGACATGTCTTGTGTATTCTATAGTCTGTGGTTGAATTAACTTCAACCTTAAGCTAAGTTAACTTTACAAGTCGTTTCAACTTGCATCAAGTAAACTGACTTGAAGTTAATATTTGATGTTAAAAATTGAAACATAAATTTAAAACCTTTGAAATTTTGAAACGTTTTACAGATTTGTGTTTAAACCCTTTAAAAGAGAATTTTGCATAATAGCCAAAATTAAAACTCTGTGCAAAATGTTAAACTGGTCTAATTGGGACGATTTAGGAGCGTTTCCAGTTCCCTTCCCACATCACGGATGTATCCGAGGATGCTAAAGACCTGATCCAGAGGCTGATTTGCAGCCGAGAGCGCCGTTTGGGTCAACATGGCATCGAGGAGTTCAGGAAGCACGCCTTTTTCTCCGGCATCGACTGGGAGAACATCCGGAACATGGAGGCGCCATACATCCCTGACGTCAGCTCTCCATCAGACACCTCCAACTTTGATGTAGATGATGACGTACTGAAGAATCCAGTAAGTTTTTCCCCTTAATCATCTCAAACTTTTGTCAAAATTTCCGCTCACATTTTCAGCTTTGATTCTTGGCTTTCGTTTCCTCTCTGCAGGACATTGCTCCTCCAGTTTCTCACACGGGTTTCACCGGGCAGCACTTGCCCTTTGTGGGCTTCACCTACACTACAGAGAGCTGTTTCTCAGACGGCGGCAGCATGAGGGGTGTGGCGCTGTCTGACGGGGGCACCGGGGAGGATCTCCAGGATGGAGGCATGCAGGTGGAGGCCTTTGAGAAGAGGATTCGCTGCCTGGAGCAAGAGAAATTGGAGCTTAACCGTAAGCTGCAAGGTATAAAAACACCTGACATCTTAGAATAATATTGTCAGGGTTTCCACTCTTCTTGAAAGAACGTAAAACTACTTCACTTTCAGACATATGGATTCAAGGCCTGAAAATTACTTAAAAACAAACATAGGTCTTTGAAAGTGATCGAATTAAATTTGAAATTATGGTTTTATTTTAACAAGTGTACTCAATTGTCAAATAAAAAATCTCAAAGAAATTCTTGAAGAAATTCTTAAATAAAAAAAATCTTAAATATAAATCTTGTACAATAACACTGACAAATATTGCACATTACATCAATATTTTAGAAGCTGCATTTAAATAATAGCATTGATTTCAACAAAATGTATTAAAGTTCTTTGAATGTTCTTTGAAGTTCGATGACTTTTTAAAGCGGTCAAACTTTTTAAAAATGACTTTTTTTCGTAAATATTAAGTGTAAGTGACTTCGATGGCGCTACATATGCTGGAGTATGAATTACAAAGGTGCTTGAATTAAAATCAATAGTGCTTTAAAAAGTCCTTGAATCTGCCGTTTATTAAAGCATAGGAACCCTGTATTATACTTCAAAATTTTCGGCCACTCAGAAATTTAAAAGGTGTCATCAGTTGTTGATCATTACTCCAGATTTATAAAAACATCATTAAAGTAATTCTTATAAAACAAGCAGGTTATATATGAGCTTTGAATTCGCAAAATCTTTGTTTATCATTAGTCACTGTCTATGTAATGGATAGCAGGTAGCTGAATTAATTAAAACTATTCCATGGCCCGGTTCTTGATTTTGATTGGCTGGAACTTGTGCTATAAAATAATTTATTTCACAGGTAGTTCCAGTTATTTTTTTATTTTTTAAAATTTTGGAAAATGTGCTACCTTAAAGAACATTAGTAGCATGGGTAAAGTTGCCAGAGTATTCTTCTGTGTGACCTCAAGAGCAATGTCTGCGTTCTTCACCAGCTAGCTAATAGGGATCAGCCCACTCGCATATATTTTTGAGAGGTAGCTAATGCATGTTACTATGAGCTATGAGCTTGTCTTGTGTTATTTATACACACACACGCATACACAATCTCTTTATGTATGTGGGCTTTCTTTCTGTTCAAAGCAGAGAAACCCCAATGTCATGTATGAAAAATTCTGTCAATCAATGAAATGGAAAAACATGTTGTTAATAGTCTCTTATGCGGTCAAGACCTGCTTGGAACTACACTGTAAAACAAAATGCTGGGTTCCACACAAATCCTACATGTTGTCCTTGTTGTTAACTTAATAATTTTTTTTACTAATTTAAGTGGATAGAATATAAAACAAGTCATTTATGTCAAAAATGTCAAAAACTGTTGTTTCAATTCTATTCTAAGTAGTTTAAACAAGCAGCAAAAGTTATTTTTCGAGTATATTTTAGCTGTACATTTATTAGAAAATAATTGCATACCTTAGAAAGCTCATTGGCCAATCAGAATCAAGCATTCAACAGCACTGTAGTATAAATATAATTAAAAGCCTGTATTAAGTCTGTTTATCGTTCAGAATAAATTGTGTATCTTCTGATAAAGATCATATAACTTTATTCATATAGATTACTTTTATGAAGTCTTTATGTAAATGATTGAAGCATAGAAGTATTGGAGTGAACTGTAACTTTCAGCTCATGTTCTTCAATGTTGAGGTGTTAATAGTTCTCTTGTTAATTTTATACGTGCATCAGTGAAATGTATTTATAATATGCGATTCCTACTTGCTCTATGCATTTTTCCCAGAATCCACTCAGGCTGTTCAATCTCTTCATGGCTCTGGTCGAGGAGCCGGCACTCTCGGACGAGATAAAGAGATTAAAAAACTTAATGAGGAAATCGATCGGCTTAAAAAGAAACTGGCAGGTAATGGGCCTCTTGTTATTATCTCTAGATTTCTGATATGATCTGAAGTCGGTTATTATGAGTCATGTCAAAGCACTATGCACAAGCTTGCGTTATAGTGTAACTGTGACCACACTTTCATACAGTTCTGATAAGAATATTAGGATCAGTCCATGCTGCTCTTACTTTTCACAGTTTGTTCATTTGATTTGGCTATGCATTTGTGTCAGTCTCATCCAATCAGCCTGTCTCTTCAGACTCTGATAGGCTGGAGCACCAGTTGGAGGAAGCAGTGACTCTTCGACAGGACTTTGAAAGTTCCTCCACCAAACTAAAAGCCCTGGACAAGCAAGTCAAAGCTCTCAAGCTGGAGAAAGAGGATATTCATAAGGTACGAGTGGCTTGTGAATTGAATTAACAGCCAAAAAGGATACATGTTGGTTTGACTGTGTCTAATGGCCCGTTTACACTGAGTGGTACAGTACGGGTCACCTTGTCTTGTGTTTCCACTGCCAAAAGGGTACCAATGGTGGGTGTGGTATACGACAAATTCTCGACGTCATTCTCGCCCGAGGACATGGCTACAGTAAAGCTGTACGGGTCGTTCACATATCATATGAAATGCACTTCGCACAAAATAGATGCTTTATACACATAAATGCTTGTGTATAAATGTTCATCATATAACTTTCTGTGAACTTGATTTGATTATAACTGCATAAAAATAGCCTACTGTAACATCTGCGATTATACAAAATAAGTAAATAAATGCAACATGTGAACACAAAAAGAATCTTACAGTCTCCTATAGTTACCAATTACAAAAAAAACTACATACAGCATAAATTTAGTCCTTATTTGGCTTCAAAAACCACACGCAACATATAGCCCAGTCAGTGCAAACCTCTCATCTGTATTTTTAATCTTCACCAGCACATGTCACCTGTTAGAAAGTAATTCTGTCATTCAGAGTTTATAATAGTCCAAAAGGTGATGGCAGTTTTTTCATCTTTTGGGATGCTGAAAGAATAATTTTCTGCTGTTTTTTTGCGCTTTACTATCCCGTTTCTGAAAGGATGTGTGCTGCACTTCAATAATTACGCACACGTTATTATCATCAGCTAAGAAGTTCGTTATTTCAAGTATAGAAGTGCAGCGAGCACACAACAACAGGACACGGCAGGTTGTGTTCTTCTTGGCTTTGTGGTTGTTTATCTAGACAACGACAAGGTTTGTTTGAAGTTGGATCTACTATGGCTCGTTATTATATAGTATTATGATGTTATGTCTCGCCTTGTATTTAAAAATGTCACTTCCTTTGTTTTCGTTCTCCTGGCTTATGTACGCGTTAGTGGCGCTTCTCTGTAAACGAATAGCATTCAGTTGTGTGTCTAGCTCCGCCTTTTGGTACCCTTTTGTCATGCTAGGTCTCCCTTTGTAAAGTGTACCAAAAAAGTGGTACGATTCGCTTTTAGGTACTTTTTGACTGTGGAAACGGCCATAAAAACGTACCGAACTGTACCACTGGAAACGAGCCAAGAGAGCTGCTGCATATAAAGCAGAATTAACATTTGATCAGATTAGTTTCCCATTAAACTTCCATTCTATTTATTTTGCAGTCATTTAGGGACTGTTGTATCTGCTTGAATTATTTTCTACTTTTGGTTTTTATTTTATTTTTTGTTTTTATTTTATATTTTTAGCATTACTTTTTTTATATATATAAATTAAATTAAATGAAAATGAGAGATTTCACTAGCATCTAGATGAAATACTGTAACAGTTTTCATGTATTTTATTTATTCTATCTACTGTTTATTCTATTTATTTATTATTTTGTTAACATTTAATAACCTTGGTTCTGCTTCCCAATCCATAGTTAAATATTCCATGCAATTATTGACAAATTATGAGATGCATTTAATCCCGTAGAAGATCATTTTTGCTGTTGTTTATTAATTTTAATTATTGTTGGTAATTATATCTCACAATTCTGGTAGAGGTTATAGACACAATAAAACGAAAACAAACATATTTTTTCTTTAGGTTAATTATAAGTATACAGTTTTATGCTCAAACAACAAAATCTGTATTTGAAACTATTATTGTCAAGTCGAGCTTTATTGTTATTCCGTTACATGTGTTGACATACAGAGAAACAAAATGTCATGACTTGCAGGACAACGGTGCTACATAAATTAATTATAAATACAAACACAACACTGGACATAAGAATTATTTAAAAAACCCATGCATAACTAAGATGTACTATAAAAGTGATGCTTAAGTAAATAGCAAAGTAAAACATAGTAAATATTATTACTATTAATTTCATTTTTTGTCATGTAGCTGCTTGTGCTTCATAATAACCAAGTAACTCAACTTGGTAAATCAAGTTTGTTTACTCAATTATTCAGTTAATTATTATAAATCTATTAAACTACATTCTTTTTTACTCGCTGAAATTAGATGTATATATATATCTTAAAGCATTCAGTATAACAACAGGTTATTAGTTCTCAACTATGTTTTGATGGTATTGAGTTGTAATAATCTCCTGAATGGTTTCAGATTGAGTGTCGTCACGTGCTTTAAGTATATCATCCAGCTGCATTTTTTTCCACCTCTCCTCGTGCTAAAGATTACATGTCCTGCTCAGCTTTATTCAATCAGGATGCTCATAAACACTGGGCCCCTTAATCAAGATTAATGTCATCATGCCCCTCACACAGGCCAGGTCAAAACTCTCACCCCGCATCACATTTTCACCTAATCACATTTGTTGTGCTGGTTCCACTTGACCCATGGTCCCAATTGGCTCATACCAGTCAAATCTATCCATGGTCGGTGTGTATAACAATCATCCAAGCCTGTTTTTTAGTCAAACACTTCCTGTAAGATCTTTTTACGTGTGCAGCTTACAAGCGTGTGTCCCGCTCTTTCAGCGCACTACTCCCAATTCTCCAGATGATTTCTATTTCTCACTCAGCCTCTTTTTTTAGTCGTTTCTCTCCAGGCGCAGCTGCTCTTTCTTCTTGTCTCCTCACACACTCATCCACTAACGTTTTTCATCCGTTTCTCTTGTTCAAAGCAACTGGTGGAGTCTTTGGACCGCCTGAAGTCTCAGACCAAGGAGCTGAAGGACGCGCACCAGCAGAGGAAGCTGGCCATGCAGGAGTTCTCGGAGGTGAACGAGCGTATGGCCGAACTGCGCTCCCAGAAGCAGCGTCTGTCGCGCCAGCTGCGGGACAAGGAGGAGGAGATGGAGGTGGTGATGCAGAAAATCGACGCCATGCGCCAGGACATCCGCAAAACCGAGAAGGCCCGCAAGGAGGTGAGCAGCATGATTAAATGTAGTCACATGCCCCCTCTTGTAATGTTGTGAGGGTTTTGGATCCAAATGGAAATTAATTGTTAAGGGCTTTCAATCAGGAAGATGGATTTGCATTATACGTGTCATCTTGGTATTTCAGACCAGTACTAATAATAATAATACTCCATCATGTTAAAGGGATCGTTCTCACAAAAATAGAAGTTTAAATGTCATTTACTTAACCTTTACTTATTTGAACCCACCTATTTGACTTTATTTCTTCTGTTGAACACAAAATAAGTTTTTTTAAAGAAAGCTGGAAATCTGTAACCATCGCTAGTTGACATATGCTTTGGAAGTTGATAGTTACTGGTTTTTAGCTTTCTTAAAGAAAAATAAAACGTGATAAAGGTTTAAAATCATACAAGGGTGAGTAATTAGTAAATAAATATATATTTTTTTGTGTTTAAACTATTCCTTTAACATCCATGGGTCTAACAGGGGAGAAAAAAAACTTTTTTGAAATGATCTGATAAAAAAGCATATTTTAACAGAATACATAACCTGTAATCAGCAAAAATCACATACAAACATACAAGAATAAAGAAAGCTAGATAGTGATAAAGACCATACAAAACTAGAGGGAATAGAGGAAAATGCAAACAGAGAGGAAAAAAGAGATCCAATGAGCACACAGCAATAATGAATGGATGTGGTACTTCAGTTGTGCACATGGGTAAAAGTAGTGGGCGGGTCTTTTTAAGTCAGGATCATCAATGGTCACTAATTTAATTGCCTTTCATATATTTAAAGTGTTTTGCTAAATTATTATCTGTCTAAAAAACATCAGTCACAGACAAAGCATAGTGCTTCCCACACTGAGGGTGCTTTGACAACTACACTTTTGTTTCGGAACCTGTCTCGTTTGCCCAGTTAACGCGGTTCATTTGGCATATATAAATCCAGCAATCCCGCTCAGATCCGCGCCAAAACAATCGCTCTGAGATTGCCTGAATGAGGTGGTCTCAGCTCGATTAAAATTAACTCCTGAGCGGATCGATTGTAGTGAGAAATCGATACAATCCAAGCAAGGCTATATCACAGTGTTTTATGTATATGTAATAGGATGTTATATGTTATATGAAGAGAGAATTATGAGTTGGGCGGGAGGTCATTACAGACATCCCAAGTCTCCTGGAAGTTCCGGGAGTCTCCCGCAAATGCACAGAGACTCCAGGATACTGGCAAATAAGTAATAATCTCTCGGTAATCGCGCGTTTCCCTCCAGGTCTTCAAATATGTCGTGCACCGTTCACACGCCTCCCCACCGCATCCCTCCTCGCTCTTTAGACACGTCGTGCACACCTTGTCAATCCACCAAACCACCACCCCTACTGACAGCTGAGCGAGCTCTGCAAAATAAACCGTGAAGCTCTGACCAATTTGAGGAGAGTTTACTCACACCTGACTTGTTTTAGCTATTTTGGTCCGTTTAGAAACTTTGCCGTGTGAAAGCAAACAACACCAAGAACAAAGAGCAACAATGTAACAATTTTAATCCCTGTTTCGGAACAAATTAATCGATTCACAGGTGTGAAAGCACCCTATAGACTTTACTTGGACTGGCCGCCTAGGTATATAAACGGCTGTCCAAATATTGGTGACATTTATTATTTTACAATTATTATCCTTTTACAGTTCTTTGTATCCACCCAATAGCCAAACATCCGCGATCGATTAACCTGTGGAAAAATCTTCTCTCGCCCTACACATTTCCTACTTCTCGTTGTGTATCCTGTCAACACTGCAGCCGTGCTTTGCAGAAACCCACAGGACCCACGGAGACGTGCCTTTTTGGGAATTAAAATGCGTTTACCAAGTGTTTCTAAATCTCCTAAAATGTCTGGGATTCAGCTTTTGGTTTCATTTTTCAAAGTCATCGTTACTTGTTTGCGTTTCTGCATTACATTTTTATTTTAAGCCTGATCTACTTTTGCTTGGCTGCTAAGCTGACATTGCGTGGTCAGCCACAAGAACAAGAGACACATGAAATAATTCTTTCTAAATGACTCAGAGAGGATGAAATGACATCTAAACAGGCTGCGAAATATCTGTACGCCCTTAATAATGGTTAGTTAACTCGTTTGCCTTACTTAAATAATCTACACTTCTTATTCTTGTAATTATTATACTTTTTAGATCATTTCTCTGGTTTTATTCCTTAATGTCATTTATTTCTCATTATTTCTTATTCTCTGATGTTAATATTACATATTTTACACATGTAGATTAGGGCTGTGCGACAAACAGCATGTCGGTAATATGGAAATATCTTGGTTTCAAAGTCACAGACACCGAACAAAAACTTAAAATTTGTAAGAGCTGTCACAGAATTGTTGCCAAAGCATGAGGAAATACAACAACTAGCACCTAAAAAAAGCACCACAGATGGCTATATGAGGGGAGTGTCTTGCTAAAGAGTGAACTAAAAGTATTGCCAGTAACACGCAATCTAGTAGCTAGCAAAAGCTAGGTACAATTTCAGAGTTGTTTGCAGTTGTTGCACCATATGTAAAACCATCATGAAGGCACTTGAAGATAACTAACACCAAAACTCACTACTATTTGCTCTAGAGAACAATTAGTGTTTCATTTCTGAATATTTATAAACAAATTTAAAAAAAAATAAAGAGTACTCACTGAATTTTAGCTGTAAAAAGCTACAATACAGAATATTGAGCTGAAGCTTGACTACAAAATTAAATCGCGAATTAAATCGAAATCGCAATATCTTTTTAAAAATTAAGCAATTAGATATTTTAACAAATCACACAGCCCTAATATGGATTTTACCTGCCAGTGGGTGCACATGGTTTCTGAATAGAATAAAAGTAAAACAAATAGTAGAGTCTTTTATTACACTTCAACCCATTGAAAAGAAACGGTGCATAACAATGTCATAACTAATAAAAATATTGTTACAAATCACTTTTTTTCTCGCATGAGATAAACAAGTGCTGTGGGTACAAGGTTTGTTTCAATCTGGACACCACCGCAAGTATATTTCAAACCTGTTTGAAGCACTGAAGCATTTTAAAATGATTGCTGATGCAGCTTTTGTTAGAACCAATACATCGGTCTGCCATGACTAAACAGGGCCGCATCCTCCTAATTTAATGTTATGACTATTTTGGATCTAAATGGAGATGTATTGTCAGTGGCTTTCAGTCGGATAGATGCGTTCACCCTATACTTGTCATCTTGGAGTTGTAAAAAGCGGGTGTTTAATACTTCACGTCATCATGTTAACACCCTCGGGTCTGACAGAGGGCACAGATGAAAACAAGGCCCAGGAATGCGGCACATTTTTGAAGTTCATCAGTCACGCTCTAAAAGAGAGACTGGCTTAACAGCTCCAGATCTCCCTAGACGACTGCAGGAATGTCTTTACACCCCGGCCAGCCCCTGTCCCGTCCCTGCAGACCAGCCTGACGGACCCCATGACCTCCTTTGGACCTCAGTGGCTAACTCGAGCCAGATGGACGACACTGACCACGATTCAGACCCACTGCTGACTGCAGCTGGATCTAGACCTTCCCCCATTTATACACACACTTTTTTTTTCTTTCTTTTATGTTTCTTTGCCGTTAGGCGGAAATGTCTTGGGGCGAATGAATTTTGTGAAGTCTTCATGTGTCAGGAAAACTTGAAACACGATGATGTTTCAGAGATGTGTGCAGTTGAAATTAGGTCAAGGGCTTTGGAGGATGTCTTTACAAGTTCTGTATCTTCTTTTTTTCCTTCTTGTACATTGATTGTTTTTCTTATGTGTGTGTGTACGTGACAGCTGGAGTCTCAGCTGGAGGATGCGCGTGCCGAAGCTTCTAAGGAGCGTAAACTTCGAGAGCACAGTGAGGTTTACTCCAAACAACTGGAGAGTGAACTGGAGACACTCAAGGTCAGAAGACACTCATTCATACACTGCTTCAATACCGTCTAGACTTGTGAACGAGGTTAATGAGGTTATATCATAACTTATTATTATTTTTTTTAATCTTATGTCTGCATTCTGAGCGATCTTGAGGGGCAAATAGGATCCCAATGTCAATAAGTTGTCACAAAATTTGAATATGTAACTCAGTTTTGAGCAAGAATGTCAGATAGAATGTAATAGTTTCAGGTTATGGTATTTTACTACTAATATCACACGATGAAAAATACTCTTAATCAGGGGGGCCCAAACTTTTTGCTTTAATGGGCTAAAAGAGAAATTTGATAAAGGACTGTTGGCTAAATATACAGTTAAAGTCAGAATTGTTCGTCCCTCTGTTTATTTTATTTGCCAATTTTTGTTAAATGGAGAGAAGATTTTTCAACACCTTTCTAATCACTTTAGTTTTAATAACTCCTTTCTAATAACTTATTTATTTTATCTTTGCTATGGTGACAGTAAATAATATTTGACTAGATATTTTTAAGACACTTCTATACAGCTTAAAGTGACATTTAAAGGTTTAACTAGGTTAATTAGGTTAACTAGTCAGGTTAAGGTAATTAGGCAAGTTATGCCTAATTGGTTTGTTCTGTAGATTATTGATAAAAATACAGCTTAAAGGGGTTAATAATTTTGACCTTAAAATGTTTTTTAACAAATTAAAAACTGCTTTTATTCTTGCCAAAATAAAACAAATAAGACTTTATAAGACAAATAAGACTCCAGAAGAAAAAAATATTATCAGACATATTGTGAAAATTTCCTTGCTCTGTTAAACATCATTCGGGAAATATTTAAAAAAGAAAAAAAATTAAAGGGGGGCTAATAATTCTGACTTAAACTGTAAATCAAACTGAATTTATTAAAGTTGCCTTTGGTAATTTCCTAGTTTATTCAGTAATATTTAAAAAATAACCCCAAAACGTTGCTTTAACTCATATGAACTATCGCAGTATCATTTTCAACATTTTATAATGAACTTATTACAGTAAAAACATAATCCCATTTTTAACACAATGAAGTTCAGTGCTGAGTACACTAGTCGAGCTGCTCCAGCCTTTACATTGATTTGCTTGCAGATGTCCTGTCAAGTGACAGTATTTACATTAAAAAAAAAACATTAATTTACAACATTTAATGGAATGATTTAATTTCAGTTGGCTTTTTTTGTAGCTCAACAATAGATCAAAGAAACAAAAGGTTATGTTAATCTTTGGTAAAGGCATTCGCCCCAACTACCTTCACATAATTCTTCCTCTTTACAGATTGGTTGGTGAGCTAAAATAAATGTTACCATGGGTCAACTTTGTATAAATAAAGACTGTTTATTTATTAGAATTTTATTATATTAGCATATTTTTTACAAAGTATATCACACCTCTATAAGTTAAACTGGATAAAAATACAATATTTGGTTAATTGGCATTTGTGCATTAGTCATATTTTTGTCTATGCATTCATAAATAATGTAAATAGGCTACTGGTTGTCCTTAATTTTATTATAAACAAGCTATAGATAGCTGTGTACAATATTTTTAGGGATTCTTTTATTAATAGAAAGTTGAAGAGGAAAAGCTAGGTTACATAATAAATCAGAATCAGAAAGAGCTTTGTTGCCAGGTACGCATGTTCACACAAACAAGGAATTTGTTTTAGTGACAGCTACAGTGCAATAGAATTACAGAGACAGGATAAAAAACAGATAATAAATGTATTTTAAAAATAGAAGCAGTGAATGCAAATATATGCACAGTGTATGTATGGGTGTGTTACGGTTTACAATGTTATATGTGCAGCTGTTGTAAAATGAAATTACTGTAACTTTTGCTCAATTTAATATGCAAGGCAAGTTTATTGATATAGCACATTGTATACACTATGGTAATTCAAAGTGCTTTATAGAAACAAGAATAAAAGAAACGCAAAATACAAGTATAAGAATTTAATATTAAATAATTAAAAACTGAAAGAAAGACATAACAGTGTGATGTTGGACGTAGCACAGTGCTCATTCAGTAAAGGCACAGTCATTAGACCCCAAATATTACCAAAAAACTTTAAGACACATCCATTAGACCACAACTATTTGTATGGAAGTGTCAATATGGAGCAGATATATTGCACTGAACAAGTATACCAAATAATTGTTTCTTATTCTCCTGATTAATGTCTTTTTTATATGGCATTCCTCAGGAATTTTATCTTCCTCTTTTGTGTCTTCAACCCTGTTAACCTCACACAGCACCTTACTTTCCCTCCCATCTTTCTTTTTCCTCCTGCCTATGTAGGATATCCTGTGGGGTTATTTTTAGTAGGATGTTACTGCTTTGTTTTATGTGTTTTCCATCTGCATGAAAGTCAAGAAGACTCTCTCTCCTTTGCACTTCTCTTCCTCTGCACTCCATTGTTATGTGTCTGTTAGTATATACTGTAGTAGTTGGGCTGTAATTAATTACAATAATAATAATGCAGTTGGTAATCTTTAGTATTGAACCAATCCGATTGCATATTTTTTCTTAAACAGCTTGTCATATATTTGACAGGCTTCTCCCGAAAGATAAGATGATGTCATCATTGTGTATTTATTTTTTTCTATTCTCAGATATTTTAACCTTTGAACAAAAAGTGGCAGTCAGAATTTTCTAGGCATTTGTGTAATTTCGGGCTTGACTGTATATGTATTTATTAAATAATTTATAGCAAATTGATTGTATAATTTATCTCTATCAGAGTAAAAACACAATGTTTTGACTAGCCTTATCTTGTGAAATTATCGAAGACATAAACATACATGAACTTTTTTGAAGACAATAGGTTTCCCCTTTAAAGATAATTTAATAAAACCTTACACTCCCAATTTAGTAATTAGCATTTCATTTCTTTCTTGTATGTATTTCTTTTCCCAGCAAAAATGTTATTCTAATTTTCTATTTAAAGTGCAAACAAACTATTCACACATAATTTAAAATCAGCAGATGGACATTTATGAATGAAGTCCATGTTTAAGACATTAAGAATAGATTTTACTGTAGCTTTAAATAGAGATTTTATCAAATTAAATCAATGTGTCCTGCTAATTTGTTCATACTTTTTGAAGTCTTCAAAAGATTGCCTTAAAATAATCTTTAAAGAAAACTGGCAAAACAAAAGTCATATCTTGGGATGCTCCAATTAATCGGCTAGAGATATAGAGGTATCGGCTGATAATCACTTTTTAAGACTCGATCGGTACTTGCCAATTTTTTCTGATCACATAAACCGATCGTGTTGTTTACGGGTTTACAAGCAGAGGAAGATCCATTTTAACTTTGGACTCCAAACTTAAATTATTGAATTATTATTATTGAACACGTTGAATTATTCTCCCATCATTTCAGTTCAGTTATAGTTGATTTCTATAGCGCTTTTACAATGTAGATTGTGTCAAAGCTGCTTAACATAAAAGTTCTAGTAAAGTATCGGCTCCAAAAATCCTGATCGGAGCATCCCTAGACATATACGTACAATTTTTTTTTGTTCAACATATCTCCTGTTATACATTTTAAAGTATTAAATTGTTTGCAATGTGGTTTATAGGCAAGTCTAAAATAAAAATAGGCAAAATTAAAGGAAAAACCCATCCAAATCTGTTTTCTGACTGTTCGTTTAGTGCATCTCTAGGTTTATTTCAGCACATGTATAATTGCTACGGTCTCAGGATTGTTTGTTTGTGTTTCAGGTGAAGCAGGGCGCAGGTCGTGCGTCAGGCCTCGGTGCAGAGACTCAGCAGGAGCTCACCAAACTCAAGTCTGAGCTAGATAAGAAAGGACTGTATTATGAGGAAGAGCTGGTGAGACGTGAAGCCAGTCACACTACAGAGATGAAAAACCTGAGGAAGGAGCTCCAGGACTCTGAGGGTCAGCAGCTCTCCCTGCACAAAGAGCTGCTTGCGCTTAAAGAAAAACTGGAAAAGGCCAAGAGAGAACGGTAAGATAATCTGCTGTCTGGGTTGTGGGTTAATGCCAGTTGATTAGATTTTTAACTAATGTAATAAATTGGCCATGTTTATTATTTGGCTGATATTTAATTTAATTATGAGTTTATGAAGGTCAGCACTTGCCTAATTGTGATGTTTACAATGTTCATATAATTTTTAAATGCAGACTTTTTATTTACTGTAAATAAACACACACTGTACAAAAGATTTGGGGTCTTTGAAATGTTCAGAGTTTTAGTGGTAACATAAATTGTTCCAACAGTTTTTATTTTATTGTTTTTAAATGTGATGCATTTTATTTATTTTAAATACGATACACACACACATACAGAAACACAACTTTACAAAACAATTTTGTGTTACTGATATTTACATTTATATATAATTTGACCTTCTACAAAGATTTTACATCTAAATATAAATAAACATTTTCTAAAGTACAAACATGGCTGTCTGTATTTAAATTACAGGTGGGTATAGATTCATTGTTTTAATCTAGATTCATCTAGATTTATCTCAGAATTAATCTAGATTAAAGTGGCTCATTTAAATTCTGCTGAAGGCATTCAGAATCTGCGCGCTACCCAAATAATAAGTCTTTGAGAACGGGTTTCTCAAGCCAGGTGGTGCATTAGACCAGGGCTCATCTTCTGCTTGCAAAATGCGTCACAAACAGCTTGAGAAACTGTTACTATAATAATGAAAATAATTTATGTTCAATAAGATGTATTTGTTTTTACTAACTGTTTATTCAGTTAAACGTGAATTTTGAACTGTAGGCCTACATAAGGTCCAAACAGCGATTTTTGATCACCTTAATCCGGCTAAAGTCATAACTGAACTAAACAGAAATGGAGTTAAGATGTGGAGTATGCATATATTAGTGGCATTATTGAAGTAAACATCGCAATCTATTACCGTCATGTAGGACTTTTCGTAACATTTTCCACCAAGATCCACACACACGGCTTACAGTAAAGGACCACACAAACACGCACATCGCAAAATGCGGAAGTATTTTTTTCTTTCCAGTTGTCGTGCGTTATTAAATTCCATAATAATCTCACCTGTCCTTAAAGCCTATAACAGCCCACCACTAATTTATACAAAATAAGTACACACATTGCACACATTTAAATTATGCCAAAACAAACTTTTATTTTGGATGCGAACAAGCAAAATAAATTCTGGCCCATCACTAATTTTTATATATTTTTTAAAATGTCATTTATTTCAAACTGAATAAAACTGAATAATAATGATCTATGAGAATCTTTCCATTTGAATCTGTAGCTTTTACAATCTTTAAAAATTTGATAATGCACAAGAGATGCTTAAGTTAGTTTTTCAGAAACTGTTTAGTTTTTGGTAAAGGAATGAAAATGAACAAAAATTCTGATTTTTAACTGCAAAATGTATTTTTCAAATATATAACAATTTTTATATATAAAAAAACCATTTTGAGGGATGTAAGCAATAACAATGGTCCAAACTTATTTCCTGTTTTACGTTTTTCATTTTACAAGAATCCTGAAAGGTCCACATATCGATAAATAATGGTATGACAGCGTTTGGATATGATTTAATTGCCTCTTGTTACAGTTATTAAAATAGTTTTACAACAAACAGGAAATGTTCATGGGCCAGTGACATCACCACATTGAAATGGTCTAATGAGCACCTTTAGGTCCAAAAACGGTGAAATTGTCTGTGAGAATATATTAGTGTGACAGACTTTTGTGAAATTTATTTTCGCGCACTAAGATGTTTTTGGGACGCAGTTTTATTGATAAGGGTGGATATCTAATTCTTTTGATGTATGTAACCATTGCAGCAAAGGTTTACCAGATTTCTTTAATCTAAGGTAATATATATTGGTTTGATTTTGTTTCATTAACAGTGAATAGACTCGTTTAATCAATCTAAAAGTTTTTAAAAGTCACTAATTATAATTTTTTATTATTTGAAAATGTATACTTTTTTGAATAATTGTAACATCATAACTGCAGAAACAGCACTTCTCAATACTTATACAATACAATATGGATTTCAGATGTTTTTATGTGGATTAAATAAATATTGCATGTTCAAATGAACCAAAAACACTGCTCATTTTTAATATTTTACAGACAGAACTTTAATCAATAACTTTGATTTTTAAATCAAAAGACAAAGTCTTGTAATACGTAATAAACTTAAGTCGACCACTCATGCCCTCCCATTTCTGTACCCACAGGCAAATTGAGATGGAAGAGGCCATTAATGCCCTGAAAGAGCAGTATGAACGTGAACGCAACCTTATGAGTGAAGACAACCGCAAACTCACTGCAGAAACAGACCGGGTAAGACACAGTATTTCAAGCCACTTGGAATAATCTATTAGAGTAACATTCAGTCCTTGACACTGAAATCCTGAAATCTCCTCCCCTGCAGCTCTGCAGTTTTGTGGACAAGCTGACCGCTCAGAACAGGCAACTGGAGGACGAGCTCCAGGAACTGGCATCAAAGAAGGAGAGCGTAGCACACTGGGAAGCACAGATCGCAGAGATTATCCAGTGGTAAGATCAGCTTAGTCTTTACACAGTCCAAGAGACATTTGTAGCCAGAATAAAGTATCTAATACTCAAAACCTACATGAAAGAGCTGGGGGTGATGAAAGCAGACTGTGCTGTTGCCTTTGGTTCTTTTTCTAGTTGAACATACCGGAAGGGCAAAGCACAATGGCCAACTAGCACATTTTTTGCAGCATGATTATTAGCTTGGGCTGGATGATTTTATTTATTTATTTATTTATTTTCAGATTTTGTGTATTCAGATGTTGTTTTGCCATTATTGTATTTCATATTTGGATTGTATGTGGGGCTGTACAATATATCATTTCAGCATCGATATCGCAATGTGTCCATTTGCAATAGTCACATCGCAGTATCTGCAATGTTGAGGTGGGATTATTCAGCAATAAAGACTGTACAGTGTTATTTTACTTCCCATTTGATTATTTAATTACTGTACCTGAATATCTGACTACAGTTTGACTCTCCAGAAAACCATAAAGCACGGCTTATTACACTTTTATCTTTGCTCTTCGTTGTTTGCAGTTTATTGGCTTCACTCCGCTACAAAATTATCCCAATCAATCTAAATGAATGATTTAATTCAAAATAGAGCCAATCAAGCCATCTGCTGAAACTGTATTCATATCGCAATATACAGTGGAAGTCAGAATTATTAGCCCCCCTGTTTATTTTTTTTGCCCAATTTCTGTTTAACAGAGAGAATATATTTTTTAACACATTTTTTAAACATAAAAGTTTTAATAAATCATTTCTAATAACTGATTTATTTTATCTTTGCCATGATGACACCAAATAATATTTTACTAGACATTTTTCAGTATACTTCTATACAGCTTAAAGTGACATATAAAGGTTCAACTGTGTTAATTGGGTTAACTGGGCAGGTTAGAGTAATTAGGTGAGTTAATGTGTAACAATGGTTTGTTTTGTAGACTATCAAAAAAATATATAGCTTAAAGGGGCTAATATTTTAACCTTAAGGTGGTTTTTAACAAATTAAAAACTCCTTTTATTTCAGCCAAAATAAAACAAAAGACTTTTTCCCAGAAGAAAAAATATTACCAGACATACTGTGAAAATTTCCTTACTCCATTAAACATTATTTGGGAAACATTGAAAAAAATGTAAAAAATGAAATAAAATTCAAAGGGGGTTAATAATTCTGGCTTTAACTGTATATCGCAGAAAAATAAAATATCGCAATGTCAGATTTTTCCAACATTGTGCAGTCCTAATTGTGTGTATTTTTATTGCGCTGCATTTCCACTATTTTGCTTGTAAACAGACACTTCTCAAATTGAATTCATCTTTCATTCATTTCAAATCTGTCTAATTGTAATGGATGGTTAAAATCAGGATTCCACATTATTTTTTTTATTCTTACTTTTTGGAGACTTCCAGGTTTTAAATGTATCTGTTTTCACCATCAGAAGTATTCAAATGGTGTACTGTACCATACCACTTTTTTAGATCCTTTCATAAAGGTGCCTGGCACAACAGTATGGTACCCAAAGGGTGGAGCTAGACTCGCTGCAAGATATTAAATTTACATATTATTGGTAATTATGCAGTGTATGGTTTAAGCTAAAGTTTGCTGGTTATAAGGTCTTAAAATGGAAAGACGTATGGAAAGAGACTTAATAAAGGTCTTAAAAGCTTTTGAATTTCACTTTCTGATTCCTCTTTATACTCCGAACAATCAAAATCAGCATCTGCTCTTCATTCATTCATTTTCTTTTCAGTTTTCTTTTCATTTGCGGCTCAGTTCCTTTATTTTCCTGGGGTCGCCACAGCAGAATGAATCGCTAACTTATCCAACACATGTTTTACACAGCAGATGCCCTTCCAGCTGCAACCCATCACTGGGAAACATCCATACACACTTATTTACATGCATACACTATGGATATTTTAGCCCAATTCACCTATACCACATGTCTTTGGATTGTGGGGGAAACCGAAGCACCCTGAGAAAATCCACACGACTATTAGAGAACATGCAAACTCCACACAAAAATGCCAACTGACCCAGCGGAGGCTCGAACCAGCGACCTTCTTGTTGTGAGGCAATTGTTCTATCCACTGTGCCACCGTGGTGTCCAGGATCTGCTGTATAAGCTTAAATGTTGTTTACGTGCCACTTTTAATGTCACATCTAAACATGTGGAAAGCCCAAAGTGTGCCACTTAAATATTTGCATACTCTTGCCGCATGCCTTCAATTGAAATAATGAACTTGAGGGTGCAGTGAGAATGACATCAATTGCAACTTTCTGGTGTACACCACACCCACCAAGTAAGCAGGGTTAGAGATTATCCTTTTCAATCACCAGCCACTGGCAACATTACTAGCCACTCGCCATTTGCATTAGCCACAATTTTGGTAGTTACACATAAATGGGGAGTTAGTCTCCTCATAAAGCACTGTCATTGTAAAAAAAAAAAAAAAAACATAATTAAACCCTTATCAAACCATAATTAAAAGCCTAATTAAACCACATGACCAAAAATAACTAAGAAAGCTGATAAAAAACAATCGGTGTGCAATAATAAAAAGATGATCACGTGCACATGGTTAATGTTAGACCCATAAATAATCTGGTTAAAGATGGTTAAAGTGAAAGCTACAAAAGCTGCATAAGGAAATATATCTGGAACTCTTGAAAGCAGCAGGACTTTGAGTACTTTTCCCGGTCTATTTCAAAAAGAGAACCAATCACAACAGTTGCTTTTCCAGGCACGGTTGCTTCGGGTTAGTAAATGGGAACACGCACGCACACGTATGCGCGAGTGATCATCCTCTCATTTGTTATTCACCTGCTTTCTTTTGCTCGTGCAAACACAATTATTTTTTTCAGTCATGCTGCTTCTCGATTCTAACATGGCATTTGCATGCATATTGGGCCATCCTTATCGTTGAACCTTGCTTTTAATAAAACTTCAGTTTGAAAATAATTTTCAACCAGCCAAAGTGAAATCTACATGCATTTGGTGGGTTGGCAGGCGTAAATGTCAAGCCCTGCAAGTAAGAGCCTTATTGGGGGTGGAAACACAAGCCTGATAGCGAATTGAACTGTACTATATTGTACCATACCACTTAATGGAAGCAAGACATAGAGTCTGCCTCTGAAACTGAATGTCGTCATTGTCTACAAATACGTCCTTGTTGGAATTCTAAGAAAAGATGATATTATTAGGAGAGCCCTCTGTGTGGCCCCTTAACTTCGTTTTTCTCATTAATCAAATGAGCTTTTCTTCTTGTACACTGAACAGCTAGTCAGAGTGATCTGCCTCACACTAGCCTTTCCATTCAAAATTGAACATTAAACTAATACACACAATTACAGTATTATATTAATTATTTGTGAAAAAAGCACTGTTTCTAACGCACATGATCAAGACAATAAAAAAACATTACTTCATTAAACTAGAATTAAATATTAATAATAAATATATTTCTGCAAGCAGGAAATATTAGAGCTCCTTTTCCTTCATAGTACCTTAGTAATAACACTTTACCTAAAGGGGTGTTCATAAGACTGTCATTAATCCTTTATAATCATGACATGATAGATGTCATGAATGTGAATGAGAGTTTATGCATGCTTATGACAAATGTTAGTAATGTCATTTTAAATCCAAAGATAACATTGCTTATGATAGCTTCACAAGCTTTGTGAAGGTGTTTTGTATGTTGACAACAAATACATGTTTGTTTACATACCTGTTGATAACAAATACATACCTGTTTTAGTCTGATAACTTGACATTACCAAGAAAACACAACTTTTATTCATAAATCTGTCTAGTCATAAATCTGTCATAAACATAATTGTCATAAAGCCATTATAAATATTATTGTTATAACACCATCATTAATAAATTGGTTGACCTCACTTACAATGTTCCAAGCTGAATTTGCCAAATAAAATGCCATTAAATAATAATAATACTGTTAAAAGTTATTTGACAGAGTAATGACACTTTTATTTGACATTTTAAGGAGAAATGCAATTTGTTCTACTGAAAAAGTGATCAAAAATATATATATTTTTTGATTAACTTTGTTTTTTGTTAATATCAAACAAAATCAAGGCTTGCTTTTCTGACTTTGTGGTCTGTTACTTTTTTGCAGGGTGAGCGATGAGAAAGACGCACGCGGCTACCTTCAGGCTCTGGCCTCCAAGATGACAGAAGAGTTGGAGTCTCTGCGCAGCTCCAGTTTGGGATCCAGAACACTGGTATGCATCACTGCCTTTTGATTCAGAATGAATAGAGGCCAAATTATGTTTGACACCTAAATCAAATGATTGAAGTGCTACATAATGAAGCTTTCTCCTGTTAAACAGCTGATCTGCTTGTATGCTCCAGTTTTTTGGGGATTTATAGGACATGTGCTATGATAGAGTGAGACTTCTAATTTTGTATGAAATCTCTCTCTCTCTTTTTCTCTCTGTAGCTCCTTTGAGCCTTTGCGCAGTAACATTAGGTCTGCTATTTAAAGCAAATCTAATGGAAATTGATTGAAGGGAAGTGACATGTTAATGTTGTAGGTGATTGCGATTACTTTTGATTTAATATCCTTTTCTAGGACAGACTGTAGGAGACTGGTATTAGTGCTTTTTCCTCCTGAAAGTGCTGTTTTTGTGTTGCCTTAGCAGGATTTGGTGATGAAAAATATTGATTGGAAGCCCAAAGGTTTGGGTTGAAGCCATCGTCCAAAGTTGTGGTCGGTGTTGCTTATTGTCACATTGAACTAATTGGCTTAATTGCAGGGTTGCTGATGATCTGGTACAAACAGAAGTTTGCCATAAAGTTCCTGTGTTTTGGGTCAGAGAGTTCGAAAATTCACAGATTGGACTCATTAAAATGCCATGTTGAGGTTTTGGTGATTGTAAAGATAAACAAAATTCTAGTTTCTAGTTGGAATATGACTTCACACTCTCTTTATAGGCTGTTCTGCTGTATATATTTGCTCACATTTATATTAAATTAAAATTCAAAAGTGTAAAAATAGGAATGTTTCATAACATTAATAATTGCTTTGCTTTTACATTAAATCGGTTTATTCAAAAATAAATAAAGGCTTATAAAAATCTGGCAAAAATTTGTATATATATATATGTATATGTATATATATATGTATATGTATATATATATATATATATATATATATATATATATATATATATATATATATATATATATATATATGTGTGTGTATATATATATGTATATATATATATGTATGTATGTATGTATATATATATGTATGTATATATATATGTATGTATATATATATATATATATATATATATATATATATATATATATATGTATATATGTATATATATATTTTTTAAGACAAACAACAAAAGCTTCTCAGTTCTTTTGAGATTTTGTCAATGTCAGTATTAAAAATAAAAAGTTATTGTGATTTTTATTTCTCAAATGTGGAACTAAGCCACTAAGGATCTCATTTCTCTACCTTAGTTTTAATACAGTTACAGAAACTTCAGGTTATTATTAAGCACATCTCTCAAGTTTATTATTATTATTATTATTATTAATTTATTATTATTTTTATTTTAAAACAGAGAATACTGTATGAACAATGTACAATACATAGACCTTCTTACAGTAAATGCAATACCAATCAATTATTAAAAATAAATAAATAAATTCAACAATGCAGACATATGTAAATATTGTGGTTTATTTAGAAATGCTGGCACAGCGCACCTGTGTATATGCTACTTCAAACTGTTCCACACTCCACCATCTCGCAACATAAATAAAAATATAAAAAGTTAAACTCTGCTTGCTGTAGTTTACTCTGGGCTGGTGCGAAATATGCATTGATACAGGTTTATTATATATGGTATGGGGTTTATTTTGGTAGGTTAACTGTTTTTGTGTTGTTCCTTCCTTACTCTGTCCTTCCTTTTGTTCATGTCGGCTCTCCTTTATTTGCAGAGGATTTGCCTTTTAATGTCCAAAGCGGACATGACAGCAAGCAGCATCTTCTCTTGTCTTAGTGGACATAAACGGTTTTCCCATGTGGGCTTATTTCATTATTTTAAATGTTTAAACGCAGACTCTTGGTCATGCGAAAATATCCCAAACTGTTTCTGTATGCAAAGTTCACACATACAATTTTTGGACTTACATGGTTGTGTTGCACGCACTCATTTATTGGCCTATACATTGGTAATCTGCTTTTTAATATAAGCATTGGTTGTCAGTTATTGAATCGGACAACATTTTTTATATTGGTGCATCTCTTTTTGTGATGTTATTGCTGAATACAAGATACCTTTTCCCCAAAACATTTCAATTATTTTACCATCTGCTTTTATTTGTTAGGTGTTTAGATGTATAGATATTTGAAAACTTACTCTACACAATTTGTTTTTTGTGTGTGTGTGTAATCTTGACCGTATCAAAATATTTGGTAACATTAATTTCTTTGCTTTAACATTGAATCAGTTTATTCAAAAATAAGCAAAGGCTTATAAAAAGGAGGCTGAAAATTAAAGTCTACAGTTATATTTAATGTCCTATATGTTTGTTATCTGCTTTCAAATATAAGCATTGGTTATTGATTCAACCAACATTTTTTCCGTAATTATTTGGTTTTAAAGTTGAATGGTTCAAAAGCATTTTCAAACTTTTTAGGATAGTGTATTTTAATATTTGTAAAGTGTATAGATAGTTAAAACTTGATACACACATTTTTTGTGTAATCTTGACCATATCAGCAAGGCCCAGGAGTAAACATCCCAACCCAGAGGTCAATGGTGGCACCTCGAGTGACCAAGCGGGTGAGTTTATCCATCAAACCACCTAAAAAGCAAGCGGAGATTGTTCATTTGGCTAATTGGCCAATCAATCTGTCATTCATCTCTCCAGGCCCTTCAATCAGCAGAATTTACATGTTTTACAAACTGCAGATATTTAAGGCTCAATATTTCAAAGGGGCAGATGAATGGAAACGCAGCATCAGCTCTCCTCATCGCTGGTCATAATTCATGGAAAACATCTGAGATACGCTCGCCTCCATTGTTCTTATGAGGTCAAGTGTGCATACCCTTAACTTTCCGCTTGCACGCTATTGGACGACATCAAATCAGTCGCGCCGAGAAGTCATTAGCTCGATAAGCCTGAACAAAAGGGCCGAGTGTTGCAGTGTTATGCCGGCGCTGGAAAATACCGGCAGCTCTAATGTAAAGTTGATGAGTCGTGCCAGGAACACTCCCCATAAACGCTCCCTTCACCTTCTCTGGCTTTCCATCCGCTGTGGCAGACGCAGTCACTTCACGTGTTTAATCAATGAAATGGGACGTAATCCTCTTCTTTCATTCCACCATATTCAGCTGTCCCTCAGCCAATCACTGTCTTTTCTTTGGTAAATGACTGTCTCGTCGCCACATGGCTCACTGAGACAAATGTTGCCTTGTAGCCACACGTGTAAATAGCGGAGCCTTGGTGACAGCTGAGATCAATAGCCATTAAACTGTGGGAGATCCAACATAAGCCCTCGCGAGCCATCGGATTGATGGAAAATGCATTTTAAGGGATTTCATTGTAGTGCTGGGGAGGATTTACAGTATCTGTTATGATGTAGTCTCTTCAGCGTGCTTTTTCCATGCATGCTGCTTTCTCTGTGCTTTATGGCTTTCACCAAACATTGAATGACTACATTGACTTGCTGCTTTATGCTGGATATAGTTTTATGTCCTTAAATAAGTCCAGAATGATCTGTCTTTAAGTAATGCTCGTTTTATATGACAGAAGAACAACCGTATTGATCGTAAAGACTGTCAGAAAGTAATTGTTTTTTTGTTTTTGGCATCTTTTCAAAATGTGCATCTCTATTGCTTGGCAGGATCCGTTGTGGAAGGTGCGTCGCAGTCAAAAGCTGGATATGTCTGCCCGTCTAGAGCTGCAGTCGGCCTTGGAAGCTGAAATCCGTGCCAAGCAACTGGTTCACGATGAACTGCGCAAGGTCAAAGCTGCCAACATCTCTTTCGAGAGGTCAGTCTATGATTCTGCTGTGATAAGCTGTGTAAAATTATGAAGTCTTTGCATTTAAATTTTTTGGAAACCTAATAAAACAAATTGTACATTATACAGTTACATTTATGCAGTTTTACATCTTATTCATTGATATGATTGTGAACTTCAGTTTTATTTGTCAAAATTAAAATGAATAAATATTGTGATTAGTCCTTGAAGCTTTTAACATTCATTTTTATTAAAGTATCACTGTAAGGACATTCTGTGCAATTAATTTCTTGAAAATAAACTGAACTTTTATCTTGAGGGTTTTCTTAGAGCAGTGTTTCTCAACCACGTTTCTGGAGGACCACCAACAATGCATGATTTGCATGTCCCCTTTGTCTGTCACTCCCATTAACAGTCTCTGCTAATGAGCTGATGAACTGAATCAGGTGTGGTTGGTTTAGGAGACATGGAATGTGCAGAGCTGGTGGTCCTCCAGGAGAGTGGTTGAGAAACATTGTGTTACAGGACACTCATTTCTGTCTATATGATTTATTTCTCCAAAATTAATATAATTTAAATGCCTTTAAAGGAATATTTAGAGAAGCAACGGGAAGTTAAATCTGAACCATCCCTTTCATCCACATAAAATATGGTGACTTCAAATGATCTTTTCAAAATTTCATAATAAAACATGTTCATATAAGACTTGTTCATATGTTCAAAATTTCACAATTTATTTTTTTCTCCATTATTCTATTTTTCACTCAATTTTGTGATTCTATCCACATTTTCAACATTATGGAAACCATAAGGCTTGAATTAAAATCTTGGTATTTTTGACATAGGTTTACTTTTCTTTCTTTTATCTACAGCAAACTGAAGGACACCGAGGCCAAGAACAGAGAGTTGGAGGAACAGCTGGAGAACATGAAGAAGGAGATGGAGGAGAGCCGCTCACGATCAGACAAAGGTAAAAAATAATAATAATGATACATGTTATGACTGTGCATTCTATATGTTAATATACTTGCATAAACTATAAGCAAGTTGTCACCTTTAAATTCTTTTTAAAAACTGCTTATTTTTAATATTATTAATGTTTCTTTTGTTGTTTGTTTGTTCCATATCAACTGTAGGCCTGAAACTGCCAGACTTCCAGGACTCCATCTTTGACTACTTCAATACCTCTCCTCTTGCCCATGAGCTGACATTCAGAGTGAGTGTTTCAGATTAAATCCCTGCAACTGCTTCCGCATTACATGCCTTAACAAGCCCTCCTCTGTTCATTTCATCATCCTAATGACATCCTACTTCTTCAGAACATCAGAGACCTGTTATATTGTTTATCAAAATGATGAGGTGACGCCTGCAGTAGCCAGATACAAATACTGCTGCATTTATAAATATCTTGCAGCTAAATACTGGTTGTAGTGTTGCCTGATCCCCTCAGTCGCCTCTGGGTTCTGCTGTCTTAAATAGTCTTTTTTTTTTGGTTGTATTTTTAAGGTATATAAATGTCAAGAACAGTGCATTTCAGATTAGGAATGGGGCGATAACCGTGTTTAAGGTTTACCGTGGTTTGGAAAATTCAAGGTTTTAAAACTGCCAAAATTTTCTGTTTTGAATTTTTTTTACATATACTGTAGGAATACCATTCCTACAGTATATGTAAACTTTATTTTATTAAAAAAAATTTTATTCATATTTAGTTTTTTAGGACTACAGTATCTCCAGCTAAAAAGATATCCAAATATGCCATTTTAAATTGTAGAGAAATCAGTGTTTTTAAGACTAATAAAGACAGCAAAAGTCAAAATGTTTTAGAGCAGTAATCACAAAATCGTGAAACCGTCAAAATCTGATACTGGCCCATGCCTATTTCAGATACTTCTGCTACTTTTTGGGATTTTTTGGTCATGTTTACCATATTCAAATGCCATTCAAATGAATCTGTTATGCTTATTTAGTTAGGTAAAAAGATAAAGAAATCTCAGAAGAGAATTGACAACCCTTAGAGCAGTCCTGGAGGGTCGGTCCTGGAGGGCCGGTGTCTTGCATTAAGTTTCAACTTCCTTTAACACACCTGCCTTGAAGTTTCCAGTATACATAGAAAGAGCTTGATTAGTTGGTTCAGGTGTGTTTAATTGGGACTTTAATTTGGAACCAAAATATTGAGGACACAGGCCCTCCAGGACTGAGTTTGGACACCTCTGCTTTAGAGAATGCTAAAAATCGCATTTGTTTTATCCTAGATCTGTGTAATATGTAAAAATGTTATTTTCTTTTTTTTTCTTTTTTTTAAGCAGAGCACTACTTGTATGAAGGGTTAACCAGGGAACCCTCTGTATTTCCAGCCTGATCTCATGGGGAATTTAACTATTTTACATTTTGTCAGTTTAGTGGCTAATTTGTTCTACGAAAATATACAATTTTAAAAAGGAGATGTGGCACCAAACCCCACCGTCATTTGGGGATAAGCAAATTTACTACAAAATTGTACAAGTGAGATTGTACAAATCCATACCAATTAGCCCTCAAACAAAAAGTTACGAATTGCCGTGAGACTGTGTTGGTGTTTCTGCTTTTCAGTAAGCCCTACCCGCTGTCAGAGAGTCAAATACAGCCTGACAGCTGTTTCTGTTCATACCAAAAGAAAGAAATAAGAAAATATTAAATGCTGTCAACAGTTTAAGATATTACTTTTAAGAATTATTTTTTTTATTTTTTTTTTTACCTAAACATGTCAATTTTTCCTTTAAAACGGTTTCCATTTGTTTTTGTTTAAATAATTGATACTAATATGGCCATGATTAGCAGATTTCAATTTGTGTTTTATATTAAATGCAACAATTTTCCCACTATTAATTAAAACATGCAAGAAATGATTCAGTATTTTTATAATGTTTCCAATCATTCTCCCTGTTAGAATTTTCATTTCTTTTGACCCATTTGTAGTTTGCAGGTATCATTTCAGATGTTGAATTAAGTCCAATAACATAAAAACACACTAGTTAAGACATCTGAGGTCAGTTCCTGCTCTTTTGGTCCTAACATTAAATCCTGTGTTGAACTGGCCCCACTTTACCCTGCTGATAGATGTGTGATATGAGGCTTCCTGCTCAGCCTCATCCTGGAATCATTGACTCCCATCAGTTATTATGTAGCTCTCAGTCACAGTTTACATTGGTACAGTAGTTGATGATGACTAAGACTTGAGTGATAGAGCTAATATAATCACAGAGTCACTTCAGGTCATGACCAAATGACCTAATCAGAAACCAAAGCAACTTTTGGACAACCTTCTGTTTATTTAAAGTACTCTTATATTGTGGCATTTTAAGACACTACAGGGGAGAAAATTACTTTTGTAAAATGTTATTTCAGTCTAATGGAAGGAAGCATTTTTTTCTACTTCCTTCTACTTTCCTTCAAAATTGACTTGGTTCAATGTGTATAGCATGGTTGATATGAAACAAAAATAAAAAATACAAATTATATATGTACACACAAACACGCATACATACATACATATACATATATATATATGTGTGTGTGTGTATACACAAGGGTAACCTGGCCAAGAGCTCCACAACACACGACTTATGAAAAAATAATATTAATAATAAATAGAAAATTAAGATAATATAAAAATACAGTTTAGTTGTTCAGCTATACCACATTAAAAGTAATAAAAACACATACATTGAGAAATGGACTGTTGTTGTTTATTAAAAAGAATAGAGCGATGTAATTGGCATGAGCTCAGACATTTTGTGTTTAGACTGAAGAGTATTTCAGGATGAGGGGGCAGCATGACTAAAGGCTCACTTCCCTATTTTAGTTTGAACCCGGGGTTTTGATTGTTTTCTTTGCAGCTGTTAATCCTGAGAAAAAGTTTGTTTTTGATTTAAAGTCAGAGTTACTGAAGAATCGTCATTCAATAGGAAAAGGCAAGGTTCAGGATTAATGATTTTTTCCAATATTTGCGACAAGATGGTGGAGACGTTAACCCAAATACTTAAGCAATTTTTAAGTCACACTTGATTCATTTCCTCCTTTAGATTTAAATTACAATACATATTTTTAGAGACCGTTCTCTCCAAATTGTTTTTTTTTTAATCTCCACTTCAGTAGCATTTACATGCATACTTTACCTGATGAAACAGAACATTTTTATTCTACAAAAAAATAAGCATAACTATCTTCTGAGTTATAAAAAGGTTTCTAAAATTACTTCTTACGTGTCAAAAAATAAATAAGAATATTGAACCTGATTTAATCTTAAGTTTCTGTGCACAGTAGCACATACATTTTAGAAAACTTGTACTACAGAAAATGCTTGCAAATGGTGATAACATTTTTTTCATCCTATTCACCCATAGTGTCTTGCCTTAAATGAAAGAACTAGTGATATGAGTGCAAGTAGGGTTTTTAAGACTGTAAACAAAGACCTTATCTAATCAAAAAAGTTGAACTGAAAAACAAAGGCCAAAGCTGTGTTATATTTCATCTAATTTTTGTCCCCCTCAACAAAAAAGGACTCTGTCTCCTCCTCATCTGCATCTTCTCTGCTTGCATTTTGGGACGAAGTAAGTTTGCTAAACAAAGCTGCTCCCTCTGTGATCTTTAACCTCTGCTCGAGTGATCGGTCAGCAGACAAAAGGGTCTCAAAAGTTTGCATGATGGTCAAGTATTGCATACTGGAGCTCTCGATAAAGTAACACACACATTTATTATTATTTGTTTATTTATTATTATTTATTTTTATTTGTTGCTAAGCATTTTTACTCACCATTCACATTCCCTATATGCCTAACCAGCATGGTTTTGCTGCATCTATTTTGTCTGCTGACCATGTTCCTCTGCCGTATCGCAACCGGACCCTAGATCCAATTCAGGCTAATTGTACAGTAGGTGTTAAAGGTTAGCGACTCACGATTAGCATCCTGCTGAATTATTAACAAAGTCCCCTCTGCCCTCTAACCTCTTAACCGGCTAACGTGAATAACGTCACTCTTTATTTGTCAAGTCTGCAAATGCACTAAGCTGCTAGTTAACTCCTAGATCCCGCTAGGACCATAAACATCCATGATTTAGATCGAATCAGCCATATAATGAATCCAATTAAAGAAAATGAATGAGAAATGATTAAATTGTCGGCGGGTGTTTCACGGGTATTTATAACCCAGCAGAAAATATGATGGTGGTGAGTATGTGAGCTAATTGAACATGACAGTAATTCTCTGGGGAGAAAAGTGTGATGTCACTAAATTTCATGATTATTTTAATTACCTGCCAATCTTTGTGTTTTCTTAAAAGGCTGTGCTGCACTTAATTGATGTGATATTGTGCACATAATTGTTGTATACATCTATGCACTATTAGAATCCTTTTGCAGGGTTGTGTTGTGTTTGGTAAGTATTTTTTTGGGTGTAATTTTGGGTTTTATTGCAGAGGATCATATGCATCAACGATAGTGCTTTAGTGCACGGTTTTTTTGAACAAAGGGCTGCACTGAGTTTGTTTTAAAAAGTAAAAAGAAATATGTGTATTAGTAGTAGTAGTATTAATAAAAACAAAATGAAACATTTTAATTTGACAAACACACATTAGTGTAAAATAAAGAAATAAAAGATTAGATTGTTAAATTTGTTAGAACTATTAGAATAATTTAACAAATTAATATTCAAATAAATGAAACATTTTAATTCAATTAGATAATTACAAACATAAAAGTGACTTACAATTGAGAATAAAAGAAGGATATGTATAGTTCTAAAAGTTATTATAGCAAAAAATATTAAGTCACTGGAAAACTAAAATAAGACTAATAGCGAGTCCACACTGCATGATTTACTCTCGATTTTGGCTCACAGTAGATTTTGAGAAATCGCTGACAAATGTCTGAAATCACAGGCAAATCGGTGCTCGTTTATCTAAGTAACAATCACACAGTGCGAAATATCCAAGACACAATCTGAGAGAACCGCAGATGAGTCGCAGAAACCCTTCAGATATTTGGCATGGTAAATATCTGGAGCTGTCGGCTCTTCAAAATCATGTCGTGTAAAATGTGTTCTGATTGAAAATAAGATTGGCGATCAATGTGAGAGCAGCACCTACTAATGTGGGTATCTGAAGGCAAGCGGGAGCTTGGGGGAAGAAGATAAAAATCCTTTTTTCAGTCTATTTTTACCCCAGAAATGTAAGAAAAACTAGTGGAAAATTGGCAGGAGCACCCTTGTCTGTTTGACGTGTCATCTGAGTAATCACAACCGGATCGAAAAATAAATAAAGTTGAGAAGAAATTGCTAATTCCCTTTTAAACTCAGATGAGCAAAAGAAGTACATTTTCTACCCCACCAAAGGCTTCTCTCATTAAGTAGTTGATAACGAAAGATATACTGCCTCACCTTACATTGTTTCCATGTCACTTTTCGAGTGTGTTTGGTTGTGAGGCGTAGTTTGTGGACCGAGACAAAGTTGTCGGCGATTCTTCCTATTTTAAAGTCATGCAGTGTGAAACCCCATGTCGCTGATCCATCTTGCAGTGTGAACACAGCACCGACAGAATGCGGAATCCTGATAGTCATACAATGTGAAAACATCTGTGATACGACTTCTTTGAAAACCGTGCAGTCTGAACTCGGCATAAAGTACTTTTTAAAATAAACAAATACAGTGAATAGAAAAAGTAATAATTTGACTTATTTTGTAGCAATTAACCCAATCATATTTTGTTATATATATTTTTCACAGGAAAAATGTGGTCATTATATGGGGTTATAGCTACAAGAACTTTACATTTTATTTCATTTAAGTTCTACACCATGAAAAAGTTTGCTTTAGCGTGCATAGATCCATCTTAATTTAGTCATGGCAAGATCTGTGTAATTCATAATTGCTTGTAAGATGAGAGATTATAAATCCATGTAATTATTATATATTACTATATATATTAAAAAGATTAATTTTATTCAGCATGGATGTATTAAAATAAATTAAAAACAGTAAAGACTTTCATATTGTTACAAAACATTTCAGTTTTATACGTAATTACATTTTTTCAAAATAAAATTGCTAGTCTAATAATTGTAGAACCATGTCATCACAGTCTTTCCATATGACATTAACCATGTGCATATGATGGTCATGTGTTAGCACATGACTTCTGAATGCCTATTAGTTATGAAATAATATGATTCCCAAATGGCGTCACAAAGTGATAGTGTTTGCATGACTTCTGTTAGTCCAAATATTTCTAAAAGCGAAAGCACATATTAGATCTAATCTGCTGCCCAGTCCTTTATATGGAATCTTTATGTGCGTGCTCATTTTAAACTCTGGTGTTTCCCCTCAGACCAGCTCTGTCGGAGATGTGGACGTCGCACCTCAGAAGACTGACATTCCCCCTTCCTCCCCATCAGCAGCTACAGAACAGGATGTGAGTGTCCACCTAACACTTCCTATTACATTCTGCCCCTGTCAGACTTCCTTTCTGATACATTGGCCATTGATTTAGTCATTTCCTGAATAGTAATGGATAGCAGAGAGCTTTCAAAATTCAAAAACAATACAAAGTCTCTTTTAAAAGATACAAAAGAAGGTTCTAGTAGGACACACTTTACATTCCTTTTTAATTTAATAAAATAGATGTATATTGATTGATTTTGGAATTGTTTTTTTAACTTTTTAGGAAGCAGTCAAGCCTCAAGCGACCACTCCTGCTACTCCTTCTCCAATGTATCAGCCCACTCTCACTGCACCAAAGGTAAAACCACCCTCCACAAAGTAAATGAGTTGTGTTTGTGTCGAAGACTAATGCTGGGTTCACACATTACATAGTACATTTCTATCAGTATTGGTTTTCGGAGATTTACTTTATATGCACGCACCTCTGAATGTTTAAAAAAGATTGTATATTGTTTATCATACGATTTGTCACTGGTTCAATTTCACACACATCACTGTAATTTAAATGAAGTGACCTTGTTGCAGTCAAGGAGAAAACAACATACATTAGTTTTGTTATTAGTAAAGCTTTAGTTGGTAAATTTCCAAAGTATATACAGGGCTCGAAATTAACTTTTTTGCCTAGTGCTCTCAACTTAAAATATTTAGGAGCACCAGGAAAAAATGTAGGAGCACCCACCATAAATAAATGAGCACCATTGAAATTTGTATTTTAAGGGATTTATTGTGTTTAACAACATCAATTAGGACTAACAAAAACCAGAAACAACTGTCTAACTAATGCTGAGATGGCTTATTGGTATTTGTGTGCAATAATTCCAAAATGTATGTTTAATAATTATTAAATATTAATGATAACGATGATGACAATAATACTATTGATGAATTACATTTCTCATTATGATGCTGCCCTGAATGTGCTCGAATGCGAGTCATCTGCTAAAAAAGTCTGTTACTTTACAAAAAATAAATTAAATTACAAACTAAAATGAAGCATTGCTGTAAGAAATGTTTATTTTTCACTATTGTTTTTATATAAATGTCAATTTAATAAATAATATTTTTGCTACCAAACAAACAAAAGATTATAATAAATCATTTAATTCAAAGCTGAAAGCTGCAAAACTGTTTTTTTAGTTAGTAACTAAATAATAATATACATCTCAAGAAAGAGTGGACTAAAGAAAGTAATAAAAGTCTCACTTCTATCACTCTTTAAAGGTTTTGGTTTGCATAATTTTAAATGCTCAGTCAGTTGAACCTTGGTAAAGGAGAGCTTCTTTGGCGATGATGTGTACAGTGTTAGATTTCACATTTAGCGGACATTTGCGCTGAACACGCAGTGAATGCAACGCATCGAGATTCAGGCACCTCTTTCGAAAACACTCGAGTGATCTCGGCTGATGGATCAACATTCACCACATGTCATGATCGCTGTCATCGACGCAGTTACGTTTTAACTTTAGGTGGGGTTTGCAAATCTGTGTGTACTTTTCACTCTTCGGCTGTTTGCATTTTCCGCAGTAACAAAAGCTCTCTGTCGTCTGACAGCGGAAAGCCTTGAGTGATTGACAGCTAATATTAACTGATATAGCAGCAGGGAAGAGCGATTCAGCATGTTTTTAGAAAAAAAATCTTAACAGGTCGCACTACACCCATTATATGCAGTCGCACAAATGCTTCCAAATATATTATGAGGTCGCATAAAATAAATTTCTGATGCAAATGCGACCAAAATGGACGCAATTTCGAGCCCTGATATGTCTAATTTCTTGGATTACTGTTCAAATACTTATATTACCAGATCAGCGGATACTGTATGCTCTCACTTAACATGCCATTTTTTAGTTTTAACGAGTTAGGTCTTTCTGCAAGTATGCTCTTAGTATAGAATGAGCTTCAAGATATACTACATATGAAATCCGTACCATCTATTGCTATATTTAACAATATTTTACAGACTGTCAATTTAGAACAGTGCACATGTTTTAACAATTGTATTACGCCCCAAGTCTAGGGGAAACAACATGGGTATAATAAACGAAGAAAACAAATGTGTTGGGGTGGTGGATTTCCCAAACAAAACAAACAAAAAAAAACGTAACGCCAAAGATTCCCTTCGGTCGACAACCAAACTCAGACCCAGTTGAGATTAAATGAATAGATTTATTAGAAAAATGTAGTTAATATAAATGACCATCTCTTCAGTGTGACCACAGGCCAAAATAACAAACAAAAGAATCTATAAAGTAAATGCACTAAATTACCTTTTACTATTTAAAGAAAAATACAGGAAGCTTACCTTTCTCCCTAAACATAAACAAAGTCAAAGGTAATCAATAGGCAGGCCACCCCTACACGCTCAAACTCTCAAAATAGGTTAACGTATGAACATTAGTACAATATTGGTTGTTGGTCGTCAGGGGTGAGGGAAATCCAGGAGCTCCACTCCCAGCACCGAACGCAGCACAAATGAGCTCCCCGAACCCTGCCGGTAGCTCCTTTTTATACATTCCTCCGAAACCAGCAGCCAATCAGAACTGGAGATCACACCGGTATGGGAGCCTATGGGATAACATAAAAACAAGAAGGCGGGACAAAGAAAAAGACATGCAATTCGCAATAATAAATAAATTAATTAATTTCAGTCGTAACAATGTAACAGTCGTAATTTATGCAATTTTTGTGTGTCGGTGTGTTGAGAGATGTGTTTTTTGGGACTTGACCAGGACTTCCTGGTGGAAGAGATATTGTATCTCAATTGGACATTCCTGGTTAAATAATTAAATTAAATAAATAATAAAAAAAATTGGGATGCTTTTTGCCTCGCATGAATTTTCCAGTTGAAAAGTCAAGATTGAGGTGAATTCTGAATGTTTGTGGCACACGGATCTCACATTTCACTCAGTGAATATTTGTCTCTATTTGCGTGTTTGCGTTGACTTTGTAGTAATAACAACAACAACAACATTTATTTATAAAGCAAATTTAGACAATCAAATTGATCCAAAGTGCTGTACAAACAGATCTAGGCTATTAAATACTACTAATCTACTTGTGCAAATACTTAAGGCATACTCACTGTGTACAGTTGCCTTGGACCCGGCCAAAGCATGCTTGTCCCCACTCCCGTCTCCCCCGATGGCCCACACTCACGTTACATTCGGGCCTTTGCACGCTTACGTCATCGATGATGCACTGTTCCATAAGTGCTCTCGCTTAGTACAGTAGAGATTACTTTAGCTATATCGTTTAAGTCATTTGGTATGCAGTGAGACGCAGTCAAATATTTCACCGAACAGATCAGCCACTTTTGACACTCATAAACAGTCATAAAGTCCTCGTGCTGCAGGAATTAGGAGGTTTGCTGAAGGTGCGCAGCTGTCATGCAGTAAAGGGTTTGCGTCTTTAATAATCTACGACAGTTTGCGTCCACTGAACAGTAAGAATTATTAATAAATCCATATCAAACAGTCCCCTAAAGTCACATCTCGTCTTCAGTTTCGGGCTCAGTCACGCTTTACACTCACACTACAAGCGTACCGCGCTTGAGACTAAGTGAACCACGCTCACCTCTTCCAACTGTGCCAGAGCCGGCCAAGTGAACCGTGCCTGAGCCCGATTCAGAGCACTCACACTTCTCAAATGATCCAGGAAACGTTCCTGTGCACGGTTCAGATAGCATAGTGTGAGTACACCCTTAAATTTGGTGCAAATCCAGAATAATCCATATGAATGAATCTATAAACCACAAAAAAAACTTTAGATCCACGAATTCGAATCACTTTCTCCATGTGATTTACACAGGTTCTGGTGTCTGCAATTGGAAATCACATGATGTCTTTAATTATTAAGCATATCAACTAATAGGATAAGAAAACATCATGAATAATCTATCGATGCAAGTGATGTTTGTGTGTGTGAACTTAAAAATTTAATATTTATATATTTTTTAAAATCTATTTATTCATATTTAGCGGAGTGTGTTTTGTGCTTATATTTTGGCTGATTTAGAGCTGTCATAGATAAATAAATGTTCCACTAAAAATTCCCTCTTCAGTAAATCAGTCATTCCAAAAAGTCTTTTTTGATGAATATTTGAATCATTTTAGCAAATATTTAGCTAATTTGTGTGTAATATTGTTATTATGTACAGTAAAATCGAACTATTTTATTTCTATATACACACAGACGCACATATATAATGTTTTATAAATGTAAAAAACAGAAGCCCATCACGATGACTTTAAACCGAGAAGATGAAAACAAGCTTCAAAGTGAGTTTTTGAAAACAATTGCACCATGCGCGTACATAGTAAATATTTGGGGGAAGTGTAGATTAAAGGAAAATACAAACATTCCACTCCTCAAATTCCAGAATAATCTTAACCTTTCCTGACTGTTTAAGTGTTAGCATCAGCATGCATGTATTGTCTGTTAATATAGTGTTTGTGTCAACAGCCCAAAGCCCATCAGCTGAGCATCAAGACCTTCTCCAGCCCGACTCAGTGCACTCACTGTACTTCACTGATGGTGGGCCAGATGCGTCAAGGATACGCCTGCGAGGGTGAGCTGAGCGCACATGATAAACAGCATCACAGAACACTGGCTCAAGGAGATTATTAAGAGCTTTTGATCTCGGATAAAATATTTATGCGCAGGTTTCACTTGTCAGTGTAACGGAAGTCACGCGTGTGAACGTTTAGTCATTTTCTCTCTGCATCTTTCAGTATGCTCTTTCATCTGCCACGTGTCCTGTAAAGACAACGCACCCCAGCTCTGCCCCATTCCTCCCGAGCAGACCAAGAGGCCTCTGGGTATTGATGTGCAGAGGGGCATTGGCACTGCGTACAAAGGTTTTGTCAGGGTGAGAGTCTGCTTTTGTCATGTTTTGTGCTGGCATAATGAATAATGAAAATGTCACATATGTTTAACTCACCTGAACACTTTCACTGATTTTCTGTTTCATGTTAATAGCTAGGGATGCATTCCACAGAATGTTTGAAACACAAAAAAGGCTTAAAAATACAAACTAAAAAATACATGCAATGTTTTTTTTCACTTGCAAGCACTCAAATTACAATCTTTCTCTATTATTATCATAGAGCTAAACATTCCAGATGCTTTTGATTGCTTTCATTTTCAAAATGTTATGATCACAGACTGTGTGAGAATGTTTTTACTGTGACATCACCTATTCTGTGTCTGTCCTAGGTGAGCACCCAGTTGAACTTGTTTGATCCTTTTTATTTTGGTAGAATGCAGTGTCAACTAAGCTAACACTATAAATTAAATATTGTGTGCACACATGTTTATAGTTTTTAAAACAACAAAAGTACACTATTTTGGCTTTTACATGTGATGGGAAGTCACTGGTTGTGTGAATGAACCTGAATCTTCCCAATAGAATTTCTATTATGCATTATTTTCAAGAAGCTATAATGGGTCTTGTTTTGTCTGTACTAATAGTTATTTGGATATTGGTAAAACCTGAATGAATAACAATTAACTTGTTGAATAGCATATTATATATGTTTGTTTTCTATTTTGTTGTGATACTTTTATAATTATTTATGAATTGTTATAAGTTATATTAATTGTTATAATACAGTTTAATATCAATATAAGCAATTATTCAAGAAACAAATTCAGGTTTTAGCCAAGTGCATTTTTGAGTTTTTAGTTTTGGACCAGAGTTTTCGTTTCGATGCATCCCTGCTAATTATCCATTAGCTTATACAGCCTTGTTTGTTGCTCCTCTTTCAGATCCCGAAGCCCACCGGAGTGAAGAAGGGCTGGCAGAGAGCATATGCTGTAGTGTGTGACTGTAAACTCTTTCTCTACGAGGTGCCAGAAGGGAAGTCCACTCAACCTGTCGTGATGGCCAGTCAGGTCCTTGACTTGAGGTGAGGACTAGTCACATTTATTTTTTATTTTTTTATTCTTTCTTTTATATACACACACACACATAGATAGATAGACAGACAGACCGACCGACCGACCAACCGATAGATAGATAGATAGATAGATAGATAGATAGATAGATAGATAGATAGATAGATAGATAGATAGATAGATAGATAGATACATAGATAGATACATAGATAGATAGATAGATAGATAGATAGATAGATAGATAGATAGATAGATAGATAGATAGATAGATAGATAGATAGATAGATAGATAGATAGATAGATAGATAGATAGATACATAGATAGATAGATAGATAGATAGATAGATAGATACATAGATAGATAGATAGATAGATAGATAGATAGATAGATAGATAGATAGATAGATAGATAGATAGATAGATACATAGATAGATAGATAGATAGATAGATAGATAGATAGATAGATAGATAGATAGATAGATAGATAGATAGATAGATACATAGATACATAGATAGATAGATACATAGATAGATACATAGATAGATAGATAAATTAAGTCTTAAAGTGTCCTAAATCTCAAAAGATCAATTTCAGGTCTTAAAGTCTAAAAATCTACTGAAATATTGTGTTGTATGTCTTAAATTTTTTTTTAACAGATCTTTTTCTTTGTTCATGTATTGCTATCCAATCTGGCCATTAACACCCATACAATCACCACTTTTAACTTTAAAGTATCATTTAATTACATTCCTTACAGAAACATTTGCTTAAAAGTTCACTATTTATTTACTACTAATGATACTGACCTGGCCTATATTTTATAAAAATTGAATTATTATTATTATTGCATTATTAAGTTTTATTTGCTTAAGTTATAATAATAGTTTTTTGATAGGTCAAGTGAAGATCTTCCCCAACTGAGCTATTCGGGGGGAAAAAAGAAGTCTAAAATTTAATTCTTGATGGTCTTAAAAATGTCTTAAATTTAATTTAGTGAAATCTGCAGAAACCCTGATGTCATTTTCTGCAAGTAAATTATCTAAATTATTAATTCATTAGAATTTTTCCAAAACGCATAATCAGTAGTTTATTGAATAAAACACAAATAAAAATGTTGCTTAAAACACATGCTTATTTATTTCAAATGGACAATATTGTCGTGAACCGACAATAACTTTCAAATGGTCTCTTAATTTTTTTCAGAGCTGTTTAAATGACACAATACTCATCAAAATAAAGGGTAAAATAAAACACAAAGGAGTACTTTTAATTTTTGTGACTTTGATTCCTCCTCACAGGGATGAGGAGTTCTCTGTTAGCTCTGTGTTGGCATCTGATGTGATCCATGCCAACCATAAAGACGTTCCCTGTATATTCAGGGTAAGCTCTGAAACATGTCTTGTTCTTTAATTCATAACTGTTCATTGCTTGTGGTGCTTAATGTGTGTACAATGTTTGCGCAGGTAACCTCGTCGGCTCTGAAATCCTCGATCCGGCCAGTTCCTTTGCTGATTTTAGCTGAGAGCGAGGCGGAGAAGAGGAAGTGGGTGGGCATCCTAGAGGGCCTGCAGAGCATCCTAGCCAAAAACCGGCTGAAGAACCGCGTGGTGCATGTGCTGCACGAGGCCTACGACAGCAGCCTACCTGCCATCAAAACTACACTTTCTGCTGCCATCGTAGGTGAGTCCAGCGAGATGGTGAAACTGAAAGCTCACTAGACTGACAACCAATCGCTAGAATACACCATAACATCCCTCATTTTCTTGTGAGGAGTGAGTATTTTGTTTATATATATATATATATATATATATATATATATATATATATATATATATATATATATATATTAGTGCTGTCAATTGATTAAAAAAAATTAACTAATTAATCGCACCTTTAAAAAAAAAAATTATCGCGATGAATCGCATTTAAAATACTGAAACTTGTAATTTTGGCTATTCAAATGTAAAATTAATGTAAACGCAAGACAAAAACTATTTTAATTCAAAATAAAATTGTTTATTAGAATTAAAATTCAAAATATAATTGTTTAATACATTTTTGTTTAACTTGTAACACAGATTTCTTCATGTAAACAACATACCCACAATAAACCATCAAGATCCTGGCTTGACAGCCATATTAATTAAAGAAATTAAAACACAGGCATGATAATGACATTTAAATCTCAAAACAATCAATGCCAATAAAGAAAACATTGATTTCCATGTTGGATTCTAAGTGGACTGCAAAAAAATGCCAAAATACAGGAATTGCAGATATGGAAAATGAAAAATTATAATAATAAACTATAGAATACAAACTGTTGCACTCACTGTAAAGTTTTATTTTTGTGAGTTGAGAACATTAGTTATAGAGTAGAAACAATTTAGCTTAATCCTCCTTTACATTCATCTAGTTGCTAAGACTAGGAGTATCACACAACGTGCTGCAGACGTTTTGGCCCCAACGGCCTTCCATACTGGAGCGACTCCCCTTAGATTCAACACGCATGATCACATTCATCAAATTTGCCTAAACTAAGCATCCTAAAGTATTACTGTATTTCACAAGGATTCTGACACAACAACGCAAAGCATACGCCTTGATGAGGAAACACGCTAAACTTGGAGGGCTCATGCCCACACCAATACTCCGATTTTAATATGATTAAGATCATACTCTTATTAAAAGTCTACCGTGTAGCCTAAGCAGTGATTTTATTACCTTAAAGGAACACCGAGTCATGAAATGCAGATGATTTTCTTTCTGTTCGCCATGCGGTATCAACTTACAACAGAAGTCGAAAGTTAAAAATGAAATGCCTGAAATTGCATGAAACTTTGGAGAGCCTGGTAATGCGACTAATTGTTTTATACTAAAACTTGCCTTCAAAAAGTGCTTCCTTGGTCTTATTTACATTTCTTCCATGTTAAACACACGTCCACCACAACAGGAAGTTAAAAAAAACCTGCTTCTGCGTTAATTGCGTTAATTTTTTTTTTAATTCGTGTTTTAATTATTTAAAATTAATCGCATGCGTTAATGCACTAATTTTTACAGCGCTAATATATATATATATATGTATGTATGTATGTATGTATATATACACACACACACACACACACATACATATATATATATATATATATATATATATATATATATATATATATATATATATATATATCATAGACTGTAAAATATATGGACGTAGTGTCCGTGACGTCACCCATAGGTTTCTGAAGAGCGCAAAAGAAGCCACAAGTAGGCGCGGCCAACCGTCGCCATTTTGGTCACGCGTCATCACACCCACGGCGGGATACCAAACAAGGGCAAAGAGGCGGAGAGTGAGCGGAGCTACAGACACCTGCTGGCATTTAGCTTGGACCTGGTTCAGACACACTTTACTTTGGGAGAAATGCTTAATACTTTATCACCTGTGACTCGTTTGTATTCTGACCACTTGTGCTTGGTTGTACACTATATCAATAAAGTGTTTAGACTTTTAAAAACACTGCTGTAATACATTGAGCCACTAAACATTGTTCTTATGACAATTTTTCAACAGGAGGAAAACGCGAATTACATCCAAACACTTCAGATATAGTCTGTGTTAGTAAATGTAAGACTATTGATGAAATCCAGCATAACACTGTATGACAACGCTTCAGATGACTGTTCTAGAGCCTACAGCTAATCAATCTGACAGATTCTGGAGTGCATTACAGCTCTAAATATAAATATAAACGATAAATGATCTTAAATAAAACAAATACATGTACAGAGATGGTATATAAGTATATAACTTTACTCACATGGGAAACGGAGGCCACGTGAATGGTTTGTGAGCACAATTAAGTGCCCTCAGCATGCCATGCCATCTAATAATTGTAGGAAACAAGTCCAAAAGGCAGTTGACTGTGTAAAGCCACATAAAACAACACAGAAATACGATAAATATGCCGAGTCTAGTGGCTAATCTGCAGGATTCAGCTGAGGTGACGTGACGGCGACCAGCGAGAACTAGCTGTCACTCAAGTGGCCACTCCCTTAATTATGCAAACTTAATATAACTTAATATAAAGGAAACGGATGAGTTATAAAAAAATTCACCCCCCTCACAGTTGTCATGAAGGGTAATATTACCTGTATTAACCAAAATCTTTTTTTGTACCAGGCTGTAAACACCTTTTTTTCTGCTGTAAAGTTGGCCATTCTAACAGTGGGCTCAATTGAAATTTGCTCTGTTTTGGAGCCAGGAGGGGCCAGGACTAGCGGAATTTCAGATGAATTGCAGTTTTAGTTACTTCCATATTGGCTTCCTGAGGGAGAGCGGGAGGTTGCCGCTTGATATATATATATATATACACACACACACACACACAAACACATACATATATATATTTATATGTATGTATGTATGTATGTATATATATATATATATATATATATATATATATATATATATATATATATATATATATATATACAAATGCTGCTTTTATTTTTATTATTACCTTTTTTGATCCCAGGTTATTTTGGTCAGCATTTTTTATTGTATAAGTCAGTGTTTCTTCAACCACGTTTCTTGAGGGCCACCAACACTGCATTTTTTGGATGTCGCCTTAGTTTGTCACACCCATCACAGGTCTTTTAGTCTCTGCTATTGAGTTGATTGAAGCCTTTGGGTGGGCGCCCCCTAAGACATTAGTGACTGAAACACTGATGTTTACAAATCACATCCAGGAATGTTCCATTTTTTAAAAAATAATATCTGTTGTTTTTTCCACTGCAGATCGAGAACGAATTGTCTTGGGGACAGAAGATGGCCTTTTTGTAGTCGAGATCACCAGAGATGGTATGAATACTGTACATTCCTCGCTCAGTTCTTATCTTTTTATTTATTTTTATTTCCATTATAAATCCAATCTCCCATGATGTTTTTCAGTCATTGTTCGTGCCGCTGACTGTAAAAAAGTCTGCCAGATCGAGCTCATCCCCAAAGAGAAGATGGTGGCCCTGCTTTCTGGCCGTAATCGCCATGTCCATTTATACCCCTGGGCGGCACTAGAGGGCGCTGAAGGGGGTTTCGATGCCAAGCTGACAGATACGAGAGGCTGCCAGGCCATGACCATCGGTAACCTCCGCCCTGGCGGTCCAGCGTGTCTCTTTGCAGGCGTGAAGCGGCAGGTTTTCTGTTATGAAATCACACGAGCGAAACCCCATCATCGCAAACTCTGGGAAGTGCAGGCGCCAGGGGTCGTCCAATGGCTGGGGATAATTCGAGAACGGATCTGCGTAGGTTACCCATCAGGCTTTGCTCTGCTGGCCATGCAGGGAGAATCGTCGCCGGTCAGTCTGGTGAGCCCAGGTGACCCCTCGCTGGCATTTTTGGCCCAGCAGCCTCTGGATGCACTTCATGCTATGGAAGTGGGGTCCAATGAGCTGCTGCTGTGCTTCAGTCAGCTGGGAGTGTACGTGGACGCGACTGGAAGACGATCACGAACTCAGGAGCTCATGTGGCCCTCCACACCGCTCGCCTGCAGTAAGTCACTCTGAAGAGCTTGTGTGGGAAGTCAAATGTAATTGGGGAAAGTTTCTAAGCAACGCTGTGTGTGTGTGTGTGTGTGTGTGTTTGCTTGTTTTCAACCCTCCTGAAATTCCAGTGTTTTTCATGTGTGGACTTGGAGGAAGGGAGGAGTAGCAAAGAACAGAGGAGAGGAGGTAGAGAGGACAAAGGCGACAGTTTGAGGTTTCATAAATAAGAGAAGAAATTAAGAGAAATGAATAAACAGCAGGGAGCCTGATTTATGGTTTTAATTTGAGTTTATCTTTAGGATGATCTCTTTTGATTTTGAATTATTTAATTAGCACAAGATTTTTAGCTTCACCTTTACTGGACAGGACAGTGGGGAGTGTAGAAAGGAATGTGTGGGGAGGAGAAAGACTGGGGAAAGACACACATTTTGGGGGGGGGGGGGATACATTTTAGGGTTTACAAATCATATTTACAAATATATATTTCATTCACAAACCTGGCTATAAAAACTGAGGGCTGGTCGTCTTAGGGATTGAAAGCAGGCAAGTTTTAAAGATATTTAAAGAAATAACTGATAACCTTTTGACCTTGTTTGCAATATCAAATACAATACACTTATCCAAGAAATGGTTTCTTTCTTTTCTTTCATTTTCTCCTTTCTTTCTTCTTTTTTTTTTTTTAATGATGAGTGTGAGTTCAGTGATTCTGGTCTGGCGTGATTTTGTTTAATATATGTAACATTTAAAAATAGAACGCAGAAGAGTAAAATCACTCATTTAAATGTCAATTAGTAAATGTTAGTTAGTTACTTTGTTTGTTTATTTATATAGCTCTTTTTTTTACAACACAACGTTGCCCAAAGTGCTAAACACAATTAATACTTATTTAAAAAAGTCCTACACCACATACAAAACAATTAAAACTTAAGACAAACCCCTTAACAATAAAACGGCTCGACTGCTAAAGAACAAAGATGCAGTTTCAGAACGTTTTAAATACATATAAAGTTGGAGCGTGTATTATGGGGTGGAAGCTTGTTCCAGAGTTTTTAGAGCAATAACAGTAATAATTCCTTCAATTTATATAGCGCTTTTCTAGACGTTTAAAGTGCTTTTACACATTGGGAGGTGATCTCCTTATCCACCACCAGTGTGCAGCATCCACCTTGATGACGCGACGGCATCCATATTGCACCAGACAGCACACCACACACCAGCTGATTGGTGGAGAGGAGACTGAGTGATGAAGCCAATTATGGTATGGGGATGGTGTGGAGGTCATGATGAACGGAGGCCAGTGGGCAAATTTGGCCAGGATGCCAGAGTTAAACCCCTACTCGTTTCGAGGGACATTCTGGGATTTTTATAGACCACAGAGAGTCAGGACCTGGTTTAAAGTCTCATCCGAAAGACAGTGCTCACTGAGCAGTATAGAGTCCCCATCTATATACTGGGGTGTTAGGACCCACACAGACCACATGTTGAGCGCACCCTGCTGGCCTTACTAACACAACTTCCGGCAGCAACCTAACTTTCCCATGTGGTTTCCCATCCAGGTACTGACCAGGTGCAGCCCTGCTTGGCTTCAGTGGGTGATCATGTGAGAGTTGCAGAGAGCTAGCTGACGGCAAAAGCCCAATCCCCACTTCGCTTACTCCTGGGACATGGGTACAAAAAGAATAAACTAATCAGAAGACCTTAGTGACATACCAGGATTATAAACATGTAGGAGATCTGATAAATAAGATGAAGCCAGACCATGTAACGATTTATGAACTAAAATTAATCTTAATTTAAAATCAATCTGTGACTTAACAGGCTGCCAGCCCAGAGATTAAAGAACTGGGGATATGTGTTCATGCTTGCGAATCCATGTCAGAGGTATCGCATCCGCATTTTGGACTAATTGCAATCTATTCAGGGCATTTTGACTGATTCCCACATACAAAGAGTTGCAAAAAGCAAGTCTCCCCAAAATAAAAGCATGAATCACCTTCTCGAGGTCATTATTTTATTTTTTTATTTTTTTAATTACAATTGCATCCAAAGATGCTTCTCCTTCATTCACTTTTGGTGAATGTATCCTTAGACAGAAAGAGTTGATATCATTAGGCGGTATCCAATAATCATTGGGTGTTTCAACCCTAAACCGAAACACCATCAACATTGGTGGGTCAGCTGTGGCGGCCAAATCACTGCCCATCAACTCCCCTTGGCTAAGCTCCTCTTTCCTGTTCCATATCCAGCAAGAAGCTGTCTCTGCTGCCTTCCCAATCCTGCAAATGGTTATCTTTCTCTCCATAACCTCAATGGCTGTAAGCATCCTCCATACTGACTGAGTGGGGAATCCTTTACAGCAGACCTCAACTGGAAACCCATGCCTGCTAACCTTTCCCCTTGCAGTCATGCAAGAGGTCCTCTTCTTATGGGACTGTAAGTTCGATAAGAATGATCTTCTTTGCCTCTTCAGACCACAGTACTGCAATCTGGCCTCAGAGCTGTCTGGACAACCGGGGGGAATTGTAGTCTTTCCCTCAGGTCTAGCTTAATTTTCCATGATTGGGCCTTTGCAGCAGATTGGTTCTTGTTGTTACTGTGGTTGGTGACTTTTGACCTGCTCTTAACAAACGTAATTGATGGTATTGCTCTGTGGTTGGTTTTTCTTGCATCTCTCTTGCTCCAGGGTGTTTAAAGAGCGTTATGAAGCATCTTGTCATGGCGCCCCCTGTATCTACCTTGGACAAGCGCTATTTTACACCCTGACAGGATGTGTCCTATGGTACCCCTCCAAAAATAAACCTTACACAATGGATCCGCTCTTAAGCCCCACTTGTGCAAGTTTGTTGGAGTTGGGAGTGTCATTCACCGATCCTAACATGAATGAGATACGCAAGTCGTAAATGAAAACTGGGTTTAACTGCTGAATTTACTTGTTTGTTTAATTTCAGATCACTAACGAACTCAAACCCTAGGTTTCTAACAACAGGTTTTTGATAAGTTGATAGCTCACCAAAACCTGATAATTCCTCAGGGACAGGATCCCCAAACCAGACCAGCTCATTTTTTCTCTCATTGAAATGTTAAAAATTTGAGGACAGCCACGTCTTAACCTCAATTAGAAATCTCATAAAGGAGTCAAGGCAATTTTTAGCTTTATTTTTAAGGAGGACAGCGTAAAAATGAAAACCCACCCCATATTTACAAAAAATAGATCCTAAAGTTAAAATAAAGAAATTATAATGTTGAATAGGAAAAAAAAAGATAATTATTTTAACTTTTGCTATTAATATTGAAAAGTGTGATTCAGTTATTAATAAAAAAAATATGTGCATTTCCATTAAGTAGGTAGTTGGTAGCTGGTGGTTTTCATTGAAGAAATTAGTGCAATGAAAAAAAGCTGTTATTGAGAGGCTTTATCACATCGGAAAGTAAAAAATGTGCATGGAAAAGCTGTGGCTATCTCTATTAGGGATGTGAGCGGAAAAAATGGGCGGCGGTAAACAAAATGGAGCAGAAAGGTCAAGGGAAAGCAGATAAAGACAATATAATGATATGCAGCTAGTGTTATGATGTCATGTGAATTATATAAACAATCAACACTGAAATTCATGTGGCATTTACTCAACAATCATTTCAGCAAAAAAAAAAAAAAAAAAAAGCATTTATTGTGATATGCAGTCAGAATAGTAAGCAGCGGTTTCTGACCCAGTTTCACTGTGCGTCAGGTAGCCCTTTGAGAAATGGTATCCTGAATGATTAAGCATGCATTCTTAACCTCCACATGCATTGTTTTCAGGCTCAAACTCGAACTGCCTGACGGTGTACAGCGATTATGGGGTCGACGTGTTTGATGTTCACACTATGGAATGGGTTCAGACCATCTCATTAAGAAAAGTAAGTGACGCATCCTAATATTCGAGTCTCTGAAAGAACAATTGTTTGTATTCAGCTGATCTGACTTTCTACTCTTTATAGATTCGACCTCTGAATGTGGAAGGCAGTCTAAACCTTTTGAGCATTGAGCAACCCCATCTCATCTATTTCAGCAACAACTCCTCGGGTATAATCTTACCCCACAGATGCACACTCACTTCATCATGTCAGCACACTGAGCCTGAAGTCTGCGCCAAGAGTCTCTGATCACAATAGCCTACCTGTGAACAACTATGCGCTCCACAAAATGATGTCAATCATCCCAACCTACACCCAAACTGATGCACATGTGCATGTGCTAGCAAGCTCACACATGCTTTTAGCGCAGTAGTGCTGGAGTGCTTAGATTAATCTGTCTCTCAAATCCGTTCACTAGAATGATTTTTTCATTGATTTGTTCTTTAAATTACATCAGATTGACAGTAGGTGTCACAGAATTGTTCACTCAACAGATTTGGTAATGTTACAAACCCATTTCTGACTGAAATGAGTTGAATTACTCTTCGTTTAATTTGGCATTAGAGCTGGGCGATTAATCTAAATGAAATTGAAAATCACAACTGAGCCAATCCAAGTAGGTATCGCTGCAGCCCGGAGACCTCCAAGTGGGAGGGATTACACCACAAGTAGTTTGGGTTTAGGTGATGTAGGTGGAGCAGATATCAATAAAACACATCAGGTTACTGTGAGGTTGGGTCTAGGGTTGGGGTAGGTGTAGACGTTAATAAAACTCAATAGGTAACTGTGAGGTTGGGTCTAGGGTTGGGGTAAGTGTAGATGTTAATAAAACAACAGGTTACTGTGAAGGTTGGGTTTTGGGTTATTGAAGGTGGAGACATTCATACAGCACAATATTCGACTCTGTGCTATGTACAAGACATTAAATAAATCAAAATTCCAGGTTTGTACAGCCCACACGAAGCCCACTTGGGGCTGGCTCCGACCTCTTTTTATAAACTTCTCAGCAAGCTTGAGATTGTCATGCACATCTTGTCAAGGAAGCACGGCTCTGTGATCAGTTGTAAATACTCTGAAAAAGAAAGTCAGGAAATCTTCAAAGCAGTTCATTCTAAACAGAATATTTAGCTGCTTTTTATTGATTCACTGTGACTAATAATTTCTCGACAATGGAATAATCTCAGAGAAGGATTTATTTCTAACACTCGACTGAAGTTATGAAATAAGTTTGGAGTAAAAAAAAAAAAGAGAGAAGCTATGCAAACAGTTGTAATTATAACTTGACTTAATAAAGCATTTATTAACTTGCACATTAACTATTGATATATGCCTGAAGATATATACATTTTGATTTGAATAGTTTATTAATCATTTACTAATGCATTCTGAATAATCTTTAAAAAACAGCAACTTCTCTCAAATAACTGGTTTATAAATAATGCAATACTTAATTTTGTAATGAAAAAATAATCATTAACAAATTATGAAAACAATCATTGAGCTTTTTATAAAAGTCAAGAACAGAGCATTTGTATCTGCAGTTAAAAACTGCTTACTAACATCTGTTAATGTAGAGTTAATGCTTACCAGATAATGAATTCACTATTTGCTAATGCTTAAAAAATTAGTCATAGTGTGCAGTTGTAAAGTGTTACCAAATTATCTTAATTTCATAGTTGTCTGATTAAATTGTGCACTATGACTCTATGTATATAATACTGATTTATCACAGGAGAGTTCAGGAAGAACTTTTAAGCATCATAAGATGTCCTAACTTGGATTTTTCAGTGGTAAACTGTAACGTTTCTCTTTGAAACTGTTTGTGTAATTGATATGAGACTTTAAGGCTGCACACAGAAGAGTTGCACAAATTAGTTTGTCATTATTATGAATTTTTACAACAAACAAGCACATGTTTTATTACATTCATAACGGCATACCTTTAAATTTCGCAAGTCCATAACTCCTGTATAGCAGTCCCACAATATTCTGACACTCGATGACACTCGAATACCCTGTCAGAAATGTCTAGTGGCTGGGAATGAGCATTTTACAGTGTCTGCTATAATGTTAATGTTGTTTTTGTGTGTTTGCATTGATTAATATGGCCAGAGTGTTAATGCACAGTAAAGTTACGATCTTATTGCCACATTATATTGTTATGATGACATGATATATGCCTTCGGTGATTTCCTGAAGATAAATACCCACAAATAACACAACTGGAATAATTACAGCAGTCGCGATTGCCAATCTCATATGAAGCATGAGATCACAATGACATGATGATGTGTGCAGGTGTTGTAGTGTTGTCCCATTTCTTAGGGGTAAATTTTTACATTTACATTTTAACACATGGAAGGGGTAAGGGTACAAAAATAGAACTGGGATTGGGCCTGTATCTGTGTCTGCATTGTAAACAAACCAAAATATGCAATCTCTAATGTTGGGTGCTATTCACACAAACACATCAACAGTCAGAGTGTAATAATGCATTTGTACATCTAAGCATTTGTTCAATTTTAAAATTTGTTTAACAACGCTAAATGAATGCGAATGATTTGTTTGATTACAAGATTTTTTTTATAAACTCTGTTAATGAATCCACACATTAAAGGGATTGATTTGTTTATTTGCATTAGCTCATTCGTATGAAACACTGATCCATAAAAGCAGCCCAGGTAATGAAATGTACAGCTCCACCCTTTGTGGTCCATTTACAATTCGCTTCCTGCCCACTTTGGCAGACGGCCCTCTTGATAAAGACACTTTTGTTTGGTAAACTGAAATGACCTCATTTGTCACACCTCCTCTAGGCGTACTGCCAACAGTTTGCAAAGCACATTCAGACCCAGCGCCTCCGAGCTCAGAAACATTGGACTGCTGTAGTTTAGCAGGCATAACCGTGGTTCTCAACCTCATTCACACGTGTTTACTCTGATATCTCCACAGATGGCTGTGACCTGGCCATCCCCGAGACCTCAGACAACAGCAAGAAGCTGATGGTGAGGACGCGCAGCAAGAGGAAGTTCCTTTTTAAAGTACCAGAGGAGGAGCGGCTGCAGCAGAGAAGGTCAGCTGGATTCAGATGTACATTTTTCACACTGCTGTCCTTCTCGTGCTATCTTTCTAATTCATGTGATGTTTTTTTTGGTGTTCAACAGGGAGATGCTGAGGGATCCTGAAATGAGATCCAAGCTAATCTCTCACCCCACCAACTTCAATCACGTTGCTCACATGGGCCCAGGCGACGGCATGCAGGTCCTCATGGATCTGCCTCTGGTAATGCCTCAAATCCTGCTATTTAGAGTTGATTTGAATGCATATAGCATACTTGGCGCTAAAATCGACGGACCCTTGCTTAGTAGCACATTTTCAAGTCTGCATGGGGCGACACATCTGCTGAAGAGATTATGAAGTCACCATCCTATACCAGTGTCACCAATTTGCCCAGGTTTTTGTAAGGCAGTGTTTCTGAATTCTGCAGCCTGGGTTTCACACTTGCATGTTGTAGGTGTTTTATAGAAAATCAGGGTATCTTCCGTCCTTCTATATTCGTTTTCAAACAAAAAAGAAAAACTTAGAAAACAGCCGTTTTTCGTTTTCTCTTTTGCTCACAAAAAATGACAAAATCACACACAAAAAACCCAAAAACAAAACAAATATATATATATATATATATATATATATATATATATATATATATATATATATATATATTTTTTTTTTTTTTTTTTTTTTTTTTTTTTTGGGTTTAGGGTAGGAAAAGGAATAAACGACTTTAAAATGCATTATCCACATGTAGGTGGTGCTGAAACGCCCTTTTTTTCTCTGATTGTCCAACCAAATCTGAGCTTGTGATGTCGCCCTAAAAATAATAGTCCTTTGTGAATTAGCACCCAGGCAAGGCCCTTGATTTGTTCAACCTTTACATGCTACCTCTGAGCCAAATAATGAGAAAGAACCAAATCTTCTACCACAGCTATGCTGATGACACTCAGATCTACCTAGCCTTACTGCCTAATGACTACAGCCTCATTGACACCCTTTGCCAATGCATTGATGAAATGAGCAATTGTATGTGCCAAAATTTTCTTCAGTTAAACATAGAGAAAACTGAAATGATTGTGTTTGGAAACAAAGATGAGGTTCTCAAGGTAAATGCGTACCTTGGCACTAAAGGTCAAACGACAAAAAATAAGGTCAAGAATCTTGGTGTGACTCTTGAGTCAGATCTGAGTTTCAATAGTCATGTCAAAGCAGTCAGTAAATCAGCATACTATCATCTCAAAAACATAGCAAGAATCAGATGCTTTGTTTCTAGTGAAGATTTAGAAAAACTTGTTCATGCTTTTGTCAGCAGCAGGGTGGATTACGGTAATGGACTCCTCACTGGTCTTCCTAAAAAGACAATCAGACAGTTGCAGCTCATCCAGAACGCTGCAGCCAGAATTCTAACCAGAACCAGAAAATCAGAGCACATCACACCTGTCCTCAGGTCTCTACACTGGCTGCAAGTTACATTCAGAATAGATTTTAAAGTATTATTACTGGTCTATAAATCACTAAATGGCCTAGGACCTAAATACATTACAGATATGCTCACTGAATACAAACCTAACAGATCACTCAGATCTTTAGGATCATATAAACTAGAAGTTCCAAGAGTTCAGTCAAAGCAGGGTGAATCGGCTTTTAGCCACTATGCCCCTCGCTGCTGGAATCAGCTTCCAGAAATGATCAGATGTGCTCCAACATTAGGCACATTCAAATCAAGACTGAAAACACATCTGTTTACCTGTGCCTTTACTGAATGAGCACTGTGCTGCGTCCGACAGATCGCACTATTATGTTTTTCTCTTCTTCTTCATTCTTTTATATCACATTTTACCTGTTTTTATGTTTTGTTTTGTTTTTACGCATTTGTATTATTTGTTTTTATTTTTATTTTACTTGTTTCTTTTATTCTTGTTTATGTAAAGCACTTTGAATTGCCATTGTGTATGAAATGTGCTATATAAATAAACTTGCCTTGCCTTGCCTTATAATAATAATTCAAAGAGACTAAGCCGAAAAGAAAATGAATGAATGAATAACAATAATATGCCTATCCGCTTGTTGAGTGTGACTTCCGGGTCCAAGCGCTCTATTAAACTGTATTGGGAGACACAACAAATGGTAACAGTAAATGTTTACAAAGCGCTGTAACACTTGCAAAAATCACGGTCACAATATATATGTTCATGCCTAATATCCAATTACCAGAAAGTGATCATTTTTTTATAAATTGTTAAAATTTTGGTATTTGTGAAGCAGTAAATCCAGAGACTTTTGTGTAAACTATGATTTTATATAAAATTCACTTTAATGCGTGATATGACTAAACAGTGCACATGAAAGAATATTTTCTCAATTCAAAAGAGTTAACAGCTTGGACCCGGAAACAATATTCCATACATCACCGGTACGTCACGACTTAACAAACGGATAGTTAGCTGCCAAACTTCTTGTGTTTGATTTGGTTGGTCAATCAGAGGAAAAAGTGCGTTTCAGCACCGCCTACATGTGGATAAGGAATTTTAAGGTTGTTTATCCGTTTTCCTACCCTAAACCATAAAAAATGGTCTGCGCAGTTGCCTAGCAGTTAGCGCGCCAACATATGGTGCAGTAGCAAGCAGGGCGTCCTGAGTTTGAATCCCGGCTCAAGGACATTCGAATTATTTTTTTGTAAACTTTGAAAAGATTGACTTCACACTGGGATGGAAACTCTGCTACTGTCACTAATTTAATAAAAAAATGTAAAATAAATAAACAGTCATTGCATAATAAGGCAATCATTTTTTAAAAATGGCTTTTTAGCATTTATGAGAGGTATCAAAGTAATATCCCAGAATTGCTGTTTCCCTAATATTGTTATATTTTATACACAATATTGTCTTTTATTTATTTTACACCATCAAAACATTTCCAGACTAGAAAAGGAGCAGAATATTTTGGGCATTTGCACTGCGTTCTGTTGGTTTTATTCATCTATGGCTGGCTTAAATCAGTCAATATACCAGCACATAAATAAACACAGCAAAATAACTTTTAGAATTTCAATACATATATTTTTGTCAATATCACACATTTACAGTGTCTCACTAATTTGACACATCCAGTTCAGCTCAGAGAGCCACTACTAATGGAACAGTTGTGTAATAAGTTGTATAATGAGCAGGTTTGCTAAATATACATCAATATACAAAATGTGCAGTGTGATGAAACCCCGGAGCAAAGTTCAGAAACACTACTCCAGTTAGAGGAATCCAAGAGCCACTTCTTTATTCTCAGACCATCTTCATTTTTATTCCATGCCATGGAAAAGAAAATCATTTCACTTTCCTGCTATTAAGCTGCACTTTAAACACCACTAATGCATCTATATAACAAAGCATACAGTACAGCAATTGCAGTCTGTAGCCAGATTCATAAAATCCTTGAAATAGTATTACAGCTTAACCATTTCTAAAATATTAATAATAAAAATATATTTATAATATAATACAATAATAATAATATATTTATTTAAATATATTTTTATATCAAAAACTGCTTATATGGTCTAACTGGTTATAAGATATAAAAAACACCTCAGAATAGGTCATCATGTAGCTAAAATTGACAGCTTTTAATTTGTAGTTTATATAAAAATTCTTATGAAAGAATGATTATGGAATGATTATGCAATTGATGTACTGTAAGTTGTTTTTAAGAAAGATCTCCTGACCAGGTAAAACCAGGTAAACTTGGTGGATTCAGGTCAATTGCTGCTTTTTCACTGTTGGGCCAGTGCAAGCCAGGGCTTACAATGAGCAGGACAGGTGCTGTTCGCAGGAATATACTAAATAACTCCATTTTAAGTCCAAATGTGGACACATTTAGGAAGATTAATGAAATGATAAATTTACTTATATTTGGAATACATTTCTTTATATTCTTTATACTTTCTATTTAAAAAGAATTACCATTCGTCACAGATGATGGCACTTGCTTCACACTTTACTGTCAATACTCTCCTTTGTCCTATCCATTAAAGATGAAAACCCAGAAAAAATATTATTTAAAAATAAATAAAAAAAATTTATTACCAAGAATATTGACAAAATTGTGTGATCTGTGGAGGTCTGATTGCTTTCTGCTATATTCAAATTAGTCAAAAAAAAAGAGAGTTTACAAACCGAAAAGTAGAGTCTCATGCATTAAACAAGTAAAGCAGAGTTACAAAACTTAGTCACGTGGGTGCAGAAGTCTGAGATCATCAAAACACAGGGAAGAGATGAATGAAATATGAAAGCAGATAAATGCACAATTACAGTCAGACAAGATTTGTCCTCATTTCTTCAAGTGGCCTCTGGCATTCTAATGTGTATTAGTCATATTTAATACACATTAAAGTGTAATATGTGTTTGTTATGGCAGTTGTTAGTTTAAAAAGACTTTAGTATTGAATATAATTCTATTATTATCCTTCGGCCTCAAATGGGTATTAGATTCCTGTCAGGTAACCGGTTATTTTTTATACTGTATGCTCGCCAGTGTCTGAGAAAAACCTTCTTCTTAGACTGTTATGAAACCAGTGCTTCGCCTGTTGATTAAGTCTTCTCAAGCTGTCCCAATTTGGCCAAAGTGTTTGACAAGCCGGATACCACTATTACTCTTAATGTTACATTGTTAAAAAATACCCAGAGGAAGGATAGATGAGGTCTGCTCAAGACTAAAAAACACTACTGGCCAATGAGCATGCTTGCTGTAAGCCTAGTTCACACTACAGGATTTTGAGCCAGATTTGGAAGTTGAAAAGCGCCCTGACAGATCGGGCTGTGATCAGGGAAAAATCTGGGGCTGCTCGGCAGTCTTTATGTGTGAACTACTGAACAATAAATCAAAGAGGCTTGCTTATGCAACGCCGGCATCTCACAGACAAATCCAATATCTATTATGCTAAATATTTCAGAACCTACGTGCGGTCATATGTAGTGACTTGGTGCAGCCAATGAGAGAGCACATCAGAATGAGCTGAATTGCCGTTGTGTTCAGGAACGCAACAGAATTGTCTGTGGTTGGCCAGAATTGTCATCGATGCACTAGCTTCACTCTGTTTACACTAAAAAATATGATCTTTTTGGTAATACAGCCTATGTAACAGGTTCAAGCTACTAGAAACTCACAAAGGTATGGGCCTAGCTTTCATTTTCACTTTCATAAACTGGAGCTAATTCATGGCACAGAATATGATGTTTTTAAAGACAAAGTTAATTTGTTTTTGCTATCAAAAAGTTATGTTTATGTTAACAGGACTTTGCTAAGCAAAAAAGACACACGTGTTTAAATCACAGCGGAAAGTAGCAGACATGAATACTGTTATTTTGACCTAAATGGTAATTAAATGTAAAAGAACTTAATTCTTTTTGGTTTTGTAATTTTCAGAAAATAACACTTAGAAATATACAAACATTTTAAAAAGTCTGGGTGTTATACAGGAGATATAAAATAAATGTTAATTTAAAGTTAATAAAGTTAATAAATGACAATAATTAAAAACTCTGACTACATCTGTAGTTCTAGTGTTAAAGCCACATCTATCCACTTGAAGCTTGCAGAGGAGCAATTGATCTGCTAACGCATCAGCTGATTGATGTTGTTTTCAGCTTTTTCTGATAGCTCATCCCTTAACATTTCATTGGCTGTGGTTTGGTAACTTGACAGAGCTGTTGGGGAACGAGTTGTTGTCAGATCATGTAGTGTTTGACCCCCCTCTTGTGAATCATTTACATAGTGCTTAGGGGTGTAACGATATTAAAACCGAACCGAAATATCGCGATACACCAACCACGATACGTATCGCGAAACTCTCGTGGCGTACCGCGGTACTCTCACGCCCCCTGCTGCCCATTGTTGAGGTTGACGTCACTTGTCTCTAACTAATTGAACCAATTTAAACACATCTTTATTATCATATTTGATTAAATAGTTTTAGTAATGATGAGGATTTGTTCTAAATATTATATTCTAAAGTTAGTATTTTAGTGCATCTTATGTCATGTGACTTGAGTAAGCATCACACTCGTTACCACTGGACGCAGGATGGCTGCTTCACATAGTACTGAGATTGCAGATCCCCAAGACACATTTAAGTCATCTGTGTGGAAACATTTTGGTTTTCCAGTTGAGTACAGGAATAGAATTCGTGTCGTAGACAAAGCCTTACTTGTAAGGAAAAACATTTAAAAAGTGTGGTAATTTCACAATGTGAGGGTGTAAGCAACAGAACTGGCAACAAAAGTGATTTAATGTACAAAAGTGACACCAGAATAATGCCCAAATATACAAAAAAAGGAGAAATATTTACACTAAAAAAAATAATATAATAAAGTAGCAAATTCAAACAAAAGTATCAAACAAAAATTAGTTAAACTCGAGCAAGGGGATGATAGTGAAGACAAACAAAAGAAATAAATATAACAAAACAATTCTAACTCATGAATAACCCCTCTTACCTCGCTAAAACTGATGAAAAGAAAAAAAAGGTCTTCAGCGCCGTATTCTTCCCTATACTGAATAAAATAAACAAAGATGACCTTCACCTCTTACCTGATGTCTTTAACAATACATTTTCTACGTGTTTGCAAAATAGAAATCGTATGACATTTTCCCTATCCACCTTACACTAAGACTGAACTTGAGGAGATACAGCTATATTGTCGGAGCTAAAAAATAATATACAAATCTACATAAATGACGGGCATAACGTTAGAGGGAGAGAGAGAGAGAGAGAGAGAGAGAGAGAGAGATCGGGACGCAAACATACAGCCGGCTACAACCCTAACATTAGTTTCAGACACAACCGCAATGTATCTTACTGGTGATGTCATGAAAAAACACTTTACAAACATATTATATGTATATTTTTCATTAATTTAAAAGGAAACCTATCTATCTAAATGAAACCATATAATTAAAAATGAGCGTCTGTGTCAGCACAGAGATTAAGCCTCTCATCGGAGAATGTGGATATTATGGTGTTTTTGAAGAAGATCTTTCACTAGTCTACACTGCAGTTATTTATTTAATTTTAGTTTACTTAGTTAAGATGGCTGCACTAAAGAGAATAGTTTTTTTTCTGACTATAGTCTATATTGGAGGTATTTATTTAATTCTAGTTGTTTACTCGGGTATCCTGACTGTACTAAAAATGCGATGACAAAGTTAATAAAGAAAAAGGTAAGATGTTCTTGTTATTAAGTGAATTGTCCCTTAGCATTGCTGTTAGCATGACATCAACCCTAACCCCACAGCAAACAGAAACCGAACCGTACCGAACCGAACCGTGGCTCCAAAACCGTGAACAGAACCGAACCGTGCCTTTTGTGTATCGTTACACCCCTAGTAGTGCTGCATAGTTTGAACACCACAGTGATTTAAAGACAAAATTAAGTCATGTAGTGTGAACGGTACAGCGATCTTCCGATGTTTAAAGTTATGTAGTGTGAACTAGGCTTTACGCCCAATAGTGGAAACACAGCTAATGTAGTCCTTCAGCTTTGTTAATCAGAATACTCAGTCTAAAAGCTTCAGATCAGTGGTGCATTTCCCAAACATAACTGGTTTTCAAAAGAGGAACCTATTGGCAAATTTCGTCTAACAATATTTTTGGGAGATTCATCACCAATGCAATTTAATTGTGATAGTTTTTATTTCATTTTTTTTTTATTTATGTGACAAATTAAAGGAGTATTCCGTTAACTGATCGACTTCCTATTATTCATCCTAACATCCTTTTCTTTCATTTGACTGCACAGTGCCCGAATCTTTCCCATCTCTCTGCATGTCTATTTTTCTTCTTCTTCTGTTTCAAAGCCAGCCAGCTCCACTCTTCCACCCTCACACCCTGTTCTCTGTCTCTCTTTCCTGTCCACGTTGCTCCTTCTGTTTTCGCTCTGGTCGTGGATTCGCTCTGTCCTCTGTTTGCGGTGGCCGCAGCCGAGCGAGACTCCCTCCCCCTCATCCTCTCGCCACCATGCCCTGATCTCCCCTCCGACCAACTTTGAGCACGTCTATCACATGAGTCCCGTCTCTGCCGGGCTCTATCTGCAGAAAGAGCCTTCCTCCCAGCAGAGCCTCCTTCAGTTCTCCTCTTCCTCCTCCTCTCCTTCCACATCCTCCCTGGGAAGGGTAGGCTAGAAACACCCGTCCCCGCTTCCTGTCCCTGTTCCCCATTCCCCATCCCTTCCCCACCACACCCTCCAGGCCCTCCACTTCCTCTCCTCCCTGTGTTTCTCCATCCCTGTCCTAATGCCCCCTGTCCAAATTCTTTTGTTTGTTTATTTATTAATTATTGGGTGATAAAAATGTTTCAGTTGAATCATTTCAGGGAATGAATGAACTTTAAATCAGTGCAGAAATGTGTGTAGCTCAATATAAAATGTCAAATCAATCATTAAGTGTGCTTTGTTTTAATGTTTGTTAGTAGTGATGCACCAATCTTGAGTTTTCATGGGTGATTCTGATTGCTGAATATTAAAAACAAATTGGTCCTTTCAATTCTGGATATTTTTTAAAAGGAACAATCAACTTATTTTTGAAAATAGGTTCATTTTATAAGTCCTCTAGGGTTAAACAGTTGAGTTTAAGCTGATCATTTTTAACTTAGCTTAGCATAGATCATTAATTCGGATTAGACCATTAACATCTCGCTGAAATGTTCTAAGAGTTTCCAAAACTATCTCATTTTAAAGCTTGACAAGTTGCTTTTTTCGAGGCTGATATGACTAGGAACTTTACTCTCAAGCTTAATCATAAAGGAACATTACTGCTATACCATGGCTGCAGCAAGCACAAGGATGTTCCTGCGTATCAAGAGGTTAAGTTCTTGAAAGAGATTGGCCAATTTAAAAAAACCAACAAGCAAACAAAAAAACTTTTGGCCAGCTGATTGGTGCAACTCTACTTATTAATGTTGTCCTGTTTGCTCGTAGTGTAATGCTGGGTTAATATTTATGCTAGATTATGCTATTTTGACTTCAATATTGTAAACATGACACTACATGTTGCTTTTTTGACCAATTATTGCATTAATTTAATGGGATTTCCTTAAAAAAGGCAGTGCTTGTCCTAAAACAAACCTCATATTAAACATTCTAAAGGCAGGAGTGTGTTTACAAAGTAAAGTACCTTTATTTATATTGTTTCACATTGCAGCACCAATATTACTTAAGTGGGCCTGTCACAACTTGAAAGAACCCCCCACCCATTATTATATAGAGCAGAGAATGTGCTGGGTCTTAAAATGTCTTAAAATTCAATGACCAAATTTTAGGCCTTAAAATGTCTTAAACCCACTGAAATTTTGTGTTGTATGTCTTAAATCATCTTTAATGGGTCTTAATTTTCCTATGTCTATGTATAGACATTTAGTATGCTAAATGACTTTTAATTTGTCAGTAACCTGGACTAAGCGCTTCCGGTGAACTGTATGCCATTACAAAATCAGCGCGTTTAAGGTCTGTTTTCTTTCTCCAGTGGCTGAGTGATATCCGATATAAAGTGAGGGTCCGATTGTACGAGAAGCACTGCATTAAAGTACATTTTCCCCCGCCGTGTCTTTACAATATGAGCATTTATTTTACCACAGTATATTCAATGGAGCTTCTGCGTTAGCCTGCCAATTCTGACGGGCACATGAGAGTAAATGGCCTTTTGTCTCGTTTTACGCTTGAGAAACTAAATGAATGCCAAAGTCTATTAAACTGATTGTATTTTAATTACATTACAACATCGATGCTGTAAAAGGAACCGTATAAAATGGAAAAAAATCACAATAACCGTTTACTGGAAGTTTATCAGTATGGGAAGAAACACTAGCTCTGCATATACCCTTTTGGGCCAACACTCATCCAGTCACTAACTATATATTTCAATAAACGTTTTAAGCAACATTTGTTTATTATGTCTATTTACTTAACATTATGGTTTAATTATCTTCCTTACAACAATATTTTTTTTAAATATTTTTTTTAAGGTTACAACTTTTAAATTTAGTCTTGAAAAACGAAAAAAAAAAAAAAACTCTTGAAATTTCTGAATCTTAAATTTCATCCATTATGGTTTTAAATTAGTCTTAAAAAGGTTTTAAAAGTCTTATATTTTACTTGATAAAACCTGTAGAAATCTTCTAATGTCATACAGATGGTGCATGAATTGAGTTTATGTCTTTAGTCTGAAGCCAGCATAAAGTTTTATCTGAGGCTTGGTAATAAACATTAAATTAGACACAGTTGGAAAAGATTTACACTGAACTCCTTGCTAATCAGGGCTGCCACAATGGCATATGTTTGTTATTGTGGCCTAAAGCTCTAACAGTAATGTTTTAGTATGTTTATCATTTAGAGTACTAAAATATAATCACACTCCAATGCTGAGAAATGCCTTTTTTATTGAGATTAACCTGCATTTAACAAACTATTTGTTGTTCTGTAGTTTAAAACAAAAACTGCATAATGTGATCTGCTTGGGTAAACTGTATTACCCAAACAAAAGTTTTATGCTAACAATTTTAAAAGCAAGCCAAAAAGTGTGAAGCCTCTTCCTGCACAAGTGTGTCTCTGTGGTCTTCTCTATATATGTGTGTTTGTGACTGTTGTTCCTCTGCCGCAGAGTGTGATGCCCTCTTCTCAGGATGACCTGTCTAAAGACAAACCTCGACCTCTGTCTAGCATCTCACGCCAACAGAGGAGCAAGACCCACATCACCCGTACCGCCTCAGGTCAGTGGCCTTCCGTCCACACACACACACACACCATATACGCATACTTGCTTTGAAGTAATGCATTTTATACTCCAGAAACTTCCTGTATTATCTAACCCTCCTCCTAAATTTAACCCTTACAGGGGACAAATTTTGAATGTTGAATGTTACTTTGTCCTCGTATTCCACCTCAACATTGTAATTAGTCATTGTAATAAGTCATACCAATGTCATTGTAGACCATTTCAATGCATTGATGTCATTGCCCCATGAACATTCCCTGCTTGTTATTAAACTGTTTCACAACTATAACAAGAGGCAAATTAATCATACCTTCATGTTAAAACAGCTGTCATAAAATTATTTATCGTTTTGGATTCTCAGAAGTTAAAAATGTAAAACAGTAAATACGTAAGAACGATTGTTATTTTTTTTACATCCCTCTAAATGGTCTACACATATGTGTGTCCTCATAAACCACCAAAATCAGTACACGCACACAAAGGCCCAACAGTGTGAATCGGCCGGTATAAATAGCTAAATTGTGTGCTTTGTTCACAGGAGGGGGAGACTTCGGAGGAGCAGGGTCGTCCCGCAGTATTTCTGATCAGGATCAAGACTACGAGCGAGAGGTAAGGACGCCCCTCAGGATATCAAATATAGATTCTTTTATTCGTCCTACTTTCTGAAAGCTGTCTGAGATGCATGATGGATGGTGAGAGGAGACTTGAGGTGCTTTGGATACTCTGTTTTCTTGTGTCCTGATTTTCGTGCTCTGTTATAACTGCTCCAGTTCTCACAGTGATGCAGACTACAGCTTTAGAGCTGAGCGATTAATCAAGGGATTAAGTGATTGAAATCGACATTCAGAACCTATAATCGATCAAATTTGTCCGGGACGATTTTTTCAATTACTTTCTCTATCGCGTGTGGAGTCACGTGACCCCGCTCTGTTAAACTTTTTTTATACTTCTGCAGCCACATCTGATCTCTGGTCTAATTGGACGATGGGCCCATTCCTTAATGTTTACTTTGCACTACTTTGACGCTGTGCCAGAGATGCCTTAAGAAGGCAAATTATCCATTACATTAAAATTATTATTTACATGAAAATTTTTGCTTACAGAAGATGCAGGAAATGCACTGTTTAAAATATCATTTACAGGGTATACAGGAGTTATTTTATATTTTAAGAGATGCTGCTTATTTTCTACTTTTAATATGAAACACACTCAGAATAATTAAGTTTATTTTCAAAAGTGCAATTTATTTATCTTCAGAAAAAAATGACAGTGGGTATTTAGGCAATGTGTTTTTAATTTCAGTTGTTCAATGTTGATGTAAATAATCATAGATGGTAGATGTGTTTTACCTTCAATTATTTTAAAATGAAGTGATGCACCTTTTACTTAAAAGTCTCTCACTTGTAAAATGTGAACATATTTGCGGTACAAACCTTTTAGTGAACTATGAGGGCAAAAAAATGTATGAATAATTAAATAATTGTTTGTTAATCGTAATCAGGTTAAAAATTTCAATTTTAAATTTCAAGATTTTTATTTTAGGCCGAATCGCCCAACCCTGTTAAGCAGTCTTTAAGTACTATTTACGTACTTTTATAGTAACGTTTTTGGTTTTATCTTTTATGCTTCCATTTTCTAAGATTTAATAATTATAAATGATAAATTAGTTGCGTTTGAATTTCAACACTTCTGTTTGTCGCAATTTTTTCCGTTTTATGCAGTATTTGACCTCATGTAGCTTCATTTTTGTTGTTTCCTTGGGTTTTTTTCTTTTTGCAATCAAACTTATTTTTATTAATTGTTCAGGTTAATTCTGGGATCCATTCATCAGCTAATGTTGTTTATATTTCTATTTTATTAATTTTCATTTTAAATATTTTTTTTTATAGTTTTGTTAAATTTAATACTCATAATATTTCAACTTAAAGGGCACCTGTGATGAAGATTATATATTGTAAGCTGTTTGGACAGAACTGTGTGTAGGTATAGTGTGTCCACAGTCTTATTGGGGTGAAATAAACACAATAAGTCTCTCTTTAATTTGCTGACATTAAAATAGGATCCAAATCCCTCCCATTTTTTTTAGCGTTAAACACTTTTGTTCTTACTGAAGTATTTCTTACAGTCGTTACTTAAGATCTGCTTCCTTCATGTCTGTCACTGTGCTGTTTATCGGAGGAAGCCGAGGTGGCGATTGAGGCATACTCTGACAGGCACATGGGAACGGTGGGCGGGGAGAACTAGCATTAAAGGCACAGGCAACAAAAACAGCTACACAGTGTTCAGAGCAGAAAATGCAGTATTCTGAAAGCTACAATAAATGATCTGATGGGGGTTTTGAGCTGAAACTCTACACAAACACATTCTGGAGACAAAAAAAAAGACTTTTCTTAAACCTTAAAAAGGGGTGAAATAGGTGCCTTTTAATTTTAGTTAAAGATTTAGTCATTTCGAATCTATTCTAATCTAGTCCATTCTAATAGCTAATAATGATCATTTTATTTCAACCACATAAAGTTAATGATAACAACACAAATGTAAACACCTACCCGGACCCAAGTGTGTTTTTTTCTAATTTTGTTTCTTTACCTGGTCTTTCCTCTGTAGCCCGACTCAGACTCGACCAAGCATTCCACCCCCTCGAACAGCTCCAACCCCAGCAGCCCACCGAGCCCCAACTCTCCCCACCGCAGTCAGCTGACTCTGGACAGCCTGGATCAGTCCCTGGATGGTTGAAAGAAAGAGGACGCGACCCTTCATAAGCGTCCCACACACACACACACACCCTGCATATCCACCTTCTCTGCAAGGACTTGCTCAAGAAGTGCCAAGACCCTTCCAGCTCACGGGCCCAAAGGTTTAAACGATAAAAAGAAGCCTCAATCGCCACAAGCAGAGAGTGTCAGGTGTGTGTGTGTCCGAAAAAGAGAAAACAAATCATCAGAGCCACCAAAATAAGAGGTAAAAGCCCCCCTCTGGTGGAAATTTCACGGTATTACACTACCCGGCTCAGATTAGCAGCATGACAGACTTTTATTTTATTTTATTTTAAACCTAATTTCACGCCATGCTCCTGCAAGTTGTTTTTTTTAATTGTTATTTACTTTAGTAAGTGAAAATGCATCACATCTGCTGTGTCGGAATTGCTTCTGGATGATTATTAGCTTCCCTTCAAATCGCTCAATTGAGTGAGGGGAAGAGACTGCTGTTTTTAAATGTATATTATCAGGATCACTCATCAAAGCGGCCGAAGAGAGGAGCGTTTTGGGATTAGAAACAAATGATCAGAGGATGATAAAGGACTGGGACATTCTTGTATAAACCAGTTGGACCAGTAACAGGTTCATCACAGGATCGTCTCATCTCATACGAGCAATAGATCACCGCCAGAGACTTTAAAGCCAAACCAGAGGGCACTTTTATTGTCATGTAACTCCTCTCTCTCTCTTTCAGTTGTGCATTTAAACCAGCCTTTATAAATATTCATGTTTTAACGTAGATGTTTCCCACAAAGATATCTAATTCAGCTTCAGAGGCGAACAAAAGCGACGAAAATGAAACTTTACGTATAGATAAGTGTTTTAATATTATTAATAATAATAATGAAAACAGAAGAGAACGGCACACGGCTACAACTATTCATAGGATTTCAGTAGTTCCTCTTAAGCTGCTACTGCTGCTTCGTGTGCTCTATTTAAAATAAAAGCGAGAAAAAAAAAAAAGAAATGTATATGTGATATGGTTATCTCATCATAGCCGTGCTCTGGTTCCCGATGTTGACACGCGCGATCCGTCACTCGTATCAGAAAGCTGCTATGTGTTTTTGTCTGTGTGTTAACATCGTGCAGGCGTGGCTGGCATATCCATTATCACTCAAGTGTGCCTTCAGTGCCAACTTTCGTTTCAGTAATAAACTGCGCTAAAGCATTTCAGTGGTGTGGACGAGGCCGACGGTGATGTGTTATGTTTTCCCCCCCGCCCTTCTGAAACACTGTAAGACACTTGCACACGTTTTTAGTACAAGGAAATGATTTTGTGTGAATGTTCTAATTTTTTTCCTCCTCCCTTCTTTATTTCCCCGTATTTCACTTGTCTGCTTCATCAGATGGACGTTTATCCTCAGAACACTACTGCTTTTACTTTAAAAGAAGAAGAAAAAAAACGAATCACAGGTTGAAATCTTTGTAATTATTGACTTGTTAGCCACATAAATTTGAACAAACAATAAAAGAGTACCTGTTGTGCTTTTTTGTTGAATATTTGTGTGTTTGGGAGAAGCTTTTTCTTTTTACTAGATGTAATGTTTCAATTCAATTCACCTTTATTTGTAAAGCGCTTTTATTATGTAGATTGTGTCAAAGCAGCTTCCCGTAGAAGATCATAGGAAATTGAAACTGTGTAGTTCAGTTATCAGAGTTTAGGTTCAGTTCAGTTTAGCTCAGTTCAGTGTGGTTTTAATAATCACTACTGAGAGTTCAAACACTGAAGAACAAATCCATCGATGCGCAGCTCTACAGATCCCGAACCATGCAAGCCAGTGGCGACAGCGGCAGGGAAAAAACTTCACCAATTGGTAAAAGTGAAGAATTAAAAAACCTCAAGAGAAACCAGGGTCACTTGGGCACGACCATTTCTCCTATGGCCAAAGAACCTTAGCGAAGACTCGTCCGTCCCTGGAGCGTCACGGGAATCACACTCATGTTCTCCAGTCCTCCATGACCACCACAGCAGCGGCTCAGGATACGGCCTGGTCCACACAATATGGAAACCTTGGGATCATCTCGTCGCTGGTCTTGGATCGAATCAGTGGCGCTGTGTAGTCTGAGGGCCTCGGGATGAGTATCCCCAGGTGGAAATAGAGTATAAAGAGAATAATTAATGCAGATGCTGTTCATAGTGTATATAAACGAGATGAAGAAACCTGTGTAGAGCACATTCATGTATCATATTGCTAAGTGATGAACTGAGTGTATGCTTTAATAAATAGATCATAGATAATAAATAGGTCTTTAATCTAGTTTTGAATTGGGAGAGTGTGTCTGAGCCTCGGACATTTTCGTGAAGGCTATTCCAGAGTTTAGGAGCCATAAATGAGAAGGCTCGACCTCCTTTACTTGATTTTGCTATTCTAGGTACTACCAGAAGCCCTGAGTTTTGAGATCTTAAAGAGCGAGTTGGATTGTAGCTATACAGAAGGTTGGTTAGATAAACAGGAGCTCGATTATTTAGAGCTTTATAGGTAAGAAGCAATATTTTAAATTCAATACAAAACTTAACAGGCAGCCAGTGTAAGGAGGATAAAATTGGGGTGATATGATCATGTTTTCTAGACCTGGTAAGAACTCCGCCAGCTGCAGTTTGTACTAGCTGAAGTTTGTTAATAGAGGATGCTGGGCAGCCAGCAAACAGAGCATTTCAGTAATCCAGCCTAGAAGTCATAAAAGCATGGCTAGTTTTTCTGCATCTGAGATGGATCGCATACTTCATAACTTAGAGATATTTTACACGAGTGTGTGTGTGTCTGTGTGTAAGAAGTTTTTTGCTCAAATACATCCTATGAATCCTTTATATTGTGCCTTTACAAAGTTTACAAACCTTTTCTTTAGGGGTGCATTTTATTTAGTTTAAACTATTTTTATTTTTTTTATTTAAATGTGAATGTAAAAAGATGTGGAAAATGGGATGGCAGTAAGAACAGCAAGTGGGTCAGACACTATTTGTTGAATTTAAAGTATGTTCTGGCCTTTTGAATGAGGCTGTAGAACAGGGCTATTCAATTACAAATTCAGTTGGGCCAGATTGTCAAACCAAGAAGTTACCTAAATTTGCGGCTTTGTAATGACAAATTTTTAAATCAACACAAACAAATTTATTGAAAAACAAGGCTTATTCGTTGTTTCACTTTTAACTTGGGTAGGTTTGCAGAGCAAAAGGTGCATACAAAAAGAGCTGAATTAACAGAATCTGAGGTAGATTCTTTTTTTTTCTCCACTTACAACAGAAAAAAAAAAAAAAAAAACTGACATAGGCTACATATCTGACCTATCTGATCAGCACAGATTAAAAGATTAGCCCAGTACACTATTCGTTGTATTAGTATATGATATTGTAAAATAAAACAACATATTGTCTAACAGTAAAACCTTCTCTGTGGTTCCATAAAGCTAAACAGACTCCACAATTTAGTTTTAAATCATAGTATATGGCACTACTGCTTTGTTGAAAAGATTCTTTTACCCGATAATGAGTATTCTGTCATCTTTTACTCAGCCCTTACTATGAGTTTCTTCTGTTATACACAAAAGAAGGTATTTTTTAAAAAATGCTGGAAACCTGTAACTATTGACTTCTGTTGTATTTTTTTTCCTACTATGGACATCAATGGTTACAGATTTTCAGATTTCTTCAAAGAATCTCCTTTGGTGTTCAACAAAACAAAGAAACTCATAGATTTGGAACCACTTGAGTAAATAGTTTAGGGAGAACTATCTCTTTAACTGAGTAAGGAGTCGTTTAGAAAACTTACAGAAATGATGATCAGAGCTTCAGTTTGATTCACAGGATTTTATTTGAATTATAAACAGCATATAAAAGCAATTCATTACAAAACAATTCAAAGAACAATACATTACAAAACAATTATGAACACTTGATTATAAAACAATCAGACTCTCTTATGACAGAACACCAGATTCAATTATAAAGTAGAAACAGTTGAGCAGATCTTTAATGACACTTTAGAGGAGAAATCCAGTTCAGTTCAATTCATCTTTATTTTTATAGCGATTTTATAATGTGCATTGTGTCAAAGCAGCTTAACATAGAAGTGAATTGAAACTGGGTCAGTCCAGTTTTCAGAGTAGAAGTTCAGTTAAGTACAACCATTTTTCCTATGGCCAAATGTCTTGTGCAGAGCTGCGGTGTTTAATTACCATTATTGTCATTAATTGCTCACCTCATCTCCTTAGTTCATATTCATGTTTAGTTCATATTGAGAACAGAAATGAAAACATTTTAGATGAAATCTGAGAGCTCTCTGACCCTCAAGCCGCACGTTCACTGTATGCATGTAACGCTGCTGACGTATAACCCAGAGGCCTGCGCGACTTCCTCTGATTTAAACAAAGCGTGGGCACATCTGAGGTAAACGTCAGCAGTGGACACACATACAGTGCAGGACAGAGCTCTCATGATTTGATGATTTGATCTCAAATATTTTCATTTGTTTTCTGAAGATGAAGAAAGGTGTCAGGGGTTTGGAGCTACAGCTGTAATTTCGAAGTGAAAATTCATTTATAAAACAAAAATAATCACTTGAGAAGTGCTGTACTGCACTGTATATGTGTTGCACTTGCTCACGCTGCTGATGTATAACCCAGAGGCCTGCGCGACTTCCTCTCATTTAAACAAAGCGTGGGCACATCTGAGGTAAACGTCAGCAGTGCGACACACATACAGTGCAGGACAGAGCTCTCATCAACAGTCCACGACTGACACTGAAGAAAAGGAAGGTCTTAGGGGTTTGGAATGACATGAGGGAGTAATTAATAACTTTAACAGTCTTGTGAAATGTCTGGAAATGCTGCTTTTCTCCTCGCTTCTCTAGTGTTTTCTAAAATGAAGAAAAACAATCAGAAACAACACAAAGTGATTTAGGCAGTAACATGGAGGGCTGTCAAATAAGACTCGAGACTCTAAAAAGAGCAGAAGAGAAAACACCAGGAATAGCATGAAGCAAAGAAAGAATGAAGATGTAGCTTTGTGCTCGGTGTGTTCCTCTACCTCCTCTTGTCTAGCTGCTGCGCAGGATTTGGGCTCGTTGGATTGAACCACTGGTGCTCTTCAACCTGATGTAACTGTAGCCGCTTCTCTGGATGGCGGACCAAACACTGGGAAATCAGCTCCAGGCATGCTGAAAAGTGTCACAGAGAGTGTGAAATATGTCTCAAGATTCATGAACGTGTTTAAATCTTACAACATCAAATGTTACAAAACATCCACAATTAAATAACTGTAATATCTACAGTGCCTGTAAGCATTATATTTCATCCTGTTTTACTCTTGACTGACATATTTCATTCTGTCTCCGAGGCTGAGATCGTTTTGAGGTGTCTGCTTACCTGAAGATAAGGTGAGGTCTGTCTTAAGTTTTCCAATGATTATCGAACGTGTGTTGGTAAAGGCCAATCGTCTGTGCAATATTTCATACAGGATGAGGCCTATTGTCCAGACGTATGCCGGGTTAGGAAAGAATGTGGGATCCCTCAAGATCTCAGGTGGTGTGTAAACTATGGCTCCTGTAAGAGAGACATTTTCAGAATTCAGTCATTTCATAAGACAATACTGTGACCAAAGAAACCAACACAAAATGCCAACTCGCCTCCATAATCACGGCTTTTGAAAGGTTCGCTGGTAATTGGTCGAGCACAACCAAAGTCGATCAGTTTGAGCTCTAATCGAGGTTGAATCACCAGGATGTTCCCCGCGTGGATATCACCATGGAAAACTCCACGCTCAGCGCAGAACTTGACGGCTTGGATCAACTGACGCATTAACCGCGAGCTTGGTTTTCATCAATGCCCGATGTACGTCTGACGTAACGAGCCAAGATCTGGGATGACTCTGCGTACTCCAGAATGAGATAGAAGTCCTTCTTATTCTCAACCCAGTGGTGTAATCCGATGATGCTGGGACAAGTTGGGTCATTCATCAACCTGAGCATCATTGCCACTTCCGCAAGCACAGGTTCGGAATGACCATCCTAGAAAAAACAACAGATTTTCAGATTTCTTTTTTGTTGAGAAAGACATTGATAGTAAGTAACCTATGTTATACCAGCACACTGTTTTCCTTTCTTCTTTTTTATTATGCTTTAAACAACAGATACATGACAATATAGTAAACAAAACAATGCCAGGGTGATAGAAAGTAAATAATAACAACAGTACAAACATAAATAAATTAAACAAACATAAAAGCAAGAGTATAAATAAATAACAATTCTTACAAATAAGCAGGACCTTTACATTTAATCAAAAATTTTGAAAATTGGACAGTTTTAATGGCCTTAGATTAGCACGATGCTGAATAGTGCGAAAGTAATTTTTCAGTTCCTTATAAAACACAGTAAAACAGGGTTTCATGTTGGAAAATTTACACTTAAGAATATGAAACTTAATGAACAAAATAAATAGGTTAATAACAAAAACTTTGTCATATCAAATGATCATAATTAAAATATCCAAAGAATATGTTTTTAAAATGCAGATTAAAATTAAAGAGTACCTTTTTTTTCTTTTATAAAAACAGACGCATCATACCAAAGCTTTTTAACATAACCTCAGTGCCAAAAGATGTGGGGTACAGTTTCCAAATGCAAAGAACAAAAAGAGCAACTTATATCAATATCCCTTTTAAATTTACTGAGGAAATGTTTAACCGGGTACAATTTATGAATACGTTTAAAATGTATTTCTTTTATCTTATTTGTAACTAAAAATTTGTGAGACAATGACTAAATACTTTCCCATTTAGGAATTCTTACAAAATTATTCCAAAACGTAATAGAGCTAGGTTTAAATACAACTTGCTTTAAAAAAGAGAGCGAATAAATTTGTTATTTTTAGGCTGTGAGAAACTAATTTTACCACACACTGCATCAACTAGACTGATTATGGGCTTATAAATGAAGTTACACCTCTAAAAAAAGGAAAGAATATTAGAATTAACTGCAGAGAAAACAAGAGAAAATTCTTTGGAGGTTACAGGAGAGTTAAAATGTACAAGAAACTTGTCATATCGTCTCCTTAGAATTATATGGTTCTATCTGTGTTCTGAATGATTTTGAGATATTGAGCTTCAAAGTTTTTGCATTCCATAGCAAACAGTATATGTGTAAAATTTGTTTTTTAAATAAAAAGTCTTAAAATGTAAAAAACTTGTATAAAAAAAACAACCCATAATGTAAATAAGTTGTCATTTAATAAGAATTTGGTAACTCAATTTTGACAAAAATGTCAGATAGAACCTTATAATTCTAAGGTGACGATATGTCTACAAGTTTAGTTGTTAACTAAAACAACACCCTTTTCAAATCACCTCTCCAAAATGATACTCTTGCATTTATACAAAATACATCTACTGTTCCAAATAACATAACGTTGTGGTGAAAAATTGTGCTTGTAGATCAGTTTCCACGCCAACAAGGCTTGAGCATGAAAAGCAGAGCTTCACTGGCAATTTCTCAATTTTATTAACGCATAATAATGTAAAGGAAAGACCTCCAAGTGGGTCAAAAATACAATTGGGAATAAAATTCCAGAGAGAAGGTTTATTCAAATTCATTTTAAGAGTATTATTTACAGAAGAAAAATCCAAAAAGTGAAGACCCCTATTTTTAAGGGAATTTAAAACAACAGACTTACGGTATGTATAGTGTACACGATTCTTCCATAAGAAATTAAATAAAGTATCAATGGACTTCACTGTTTTATTATCTAGATATATGGTTGAAGCAAAATAGGTTATTCTAGAAATTTCGTCTGCTTTTGAAAGAAGAACTCTGCCTCTTTATACCCGCACGCTCTGCATTGTTTGCGTGTTGCAGGCTACGTAATTACGTAGGATTGCATGTTTTTGGCTGGACCATAGACATATTAAATACTTTATATTTATATTAATATACTCACTCTCTCTCTCTTTATATATATATATATATATATATATATATATATATATATATATATATATATATAGAGAGAGAGAGAGAGAGAGAGAGAGAGAGAGAGAGAGAGAGAGAGAGAGAGAGAGAGAGAGAGAGAGAGAAATGTTTTTATAAATATATATAAATAATATATATTAATTTATTATCTATAGGCGGAACCACAGGCTGGGCCACTTAAAGGGTTAATTCTAGGTTGCATGTGGCCCACGGGCCGCCAATTGAATATCCCTATGTCATGTCACATATTAAACAGTTATTGTTTTAAGTTTAAAATTATTCATTTAAAGTTACATTTTCTGTATAAATTTAATACATTTTTATAAATTAATTTTTGTATATATATTTTGAAAATGTGTTTAAATATATACACATATACTTAAACATACACACAATACTAGGACAACTTACATTTATGCAATTGGAAAGTTGAATGTGGTTAGCAATGTCACCTCACAGCAAGAAGGTCACTGGTTCGAATGCTGGCTGGGCCATGAGGCGGTTTTGTGTGGAATTTGCATGTTTTCCACCCGTGTGCATGAGTTTCCAAAAGACATGCAGTAGGTGAATTGGCTAAACGTGAATTGGCCATAGTGTATGCGTGTGGGAGAGAATGTATGCGTGTTTTCCATTATAGTGCACTGCACACTATATAATGTTTCCAGTGCTGGGTTCTGGATGGACAGGCATGCGCTTCATACAACACATGCCTGAGTAAAAGGTGGTTCATTCCACTTTGGTGACCCCTGATACTATAAATCCGGGACTAACCAAAGGAGAGTGAGTGAGTATGCCAGTTATAAAATTTTGCTGTTTTGCTGTAAATTCTAGTATTTTATGTATTTATATATTATCAGAATGAGCTTTATTCGCCAAGTGTGCGCAAACATACAAGGATTTTTTTTTCAGGAGCTCAGGGTATATACAGTACATGCATATCAATACAAGAACACAGAATGACATTTAAATAAGTGGAAAATAAAAGATTAAAAATTATCTCTCTCAATATATATATATATATATATATATATATATATATATATATATATATATATATATATATATATAGAGAGAGAGAGAGAGAGAGAGAGAGAGAGAGAGAGAGAGGGAGAGGGAGAGGGAGAGGGACAGACAGACAGACAGATAGTTGGAATCAAAACCAACTGATTTTTTTTTTATTAAGCCTATAAACAGTGTATACAATTTATACATACATCAACAAATAGGCAGATCATCTTTAACAATGAAGAAAAAGAAAAAAAAAAGAAGAAACAGCTAAACACAGGGGGTATATAAAAAATACATATTGAAAAGGCAAAATTTACTCATTAAACATAGGGAAAGAACCGGAGACAGATGAAGTTTTAAGAGCCTTTTGGTTATGAGTCAATTGAATCTGAATTGAATTTAGCAAGCAGCAAAATTAAGTTCACCACATACAACTGTTTACTTTTAGGTTGTTCATATTCAGTAAAGCCCAAGACTTCATGTTTCCAATACAAAGTACATTTACTATCAATTTTACTTCGAGTAAAATTCAAGACATTTTTTCCAAAATATTTTTGTAAGTGGACAGTACCAAAAAGAAGAAAAACCAGTTCAAAACAGTCATCACAAAAGGAACAGTTGGAGGAGATATCACTTTTATATTTTTTCATTTAATGACGGTCCGGATAGAATTTATGAATTATTTTATAAGAAATCTCTTTTACTGTATTTGTTAGAAAATAACTATGAGGAAGCATCCATACCTTTTTCCAACAAATATTATCCACTGCATTATTCCAATAAGCAGTCACACCTGGTAGACTAATACTACTCTGCTGAAATAATAAACGGATTATCCTATTATTATTTTACAGGGAGAAGCAAAACATAACCTTCCAATATAAGAATCGACCAAATTAAGTGAAATTTGCGATAAAGTGACGGTACCTCTTAATAGAGAAACAAGACCAGATGGGATACATCCCATAACTACAGAAAATTCTTTTGGAGAAACAGGAAATTGAAAATGTTCTAAATTCTTTTTATGAAAATAGTAGACCTTTGAAGTTTATTAATTGGCCAATCAACAGTATATCTTTATCTAACCAACTTTTTAAAAATATAGATTTATTCTTATACATAACATTCCCGTTGTTCCAAATAAAAGACAGATGGGGTGAAAAGTTGTGCTTTATCAGTGTCTAAGCTAGGAGTACTTGTTTATGAAAATCATAATATAGCTGGTAGCTTTTCAATTTTAAAGTTACACATGAGAAGAAACTCATGGAATAAAATTCCACAAACATGTTGTTTTTTTTCCTAAACTGCTTAAGCCAATTAACCTTGAATGTGTAACTTAAAGTGCTAAAATCCAAAAAATTCAGAGAACCAACAGAATTATTAGCCCCCCTGTTTATTTTTTCCCCAATTTCTGTTTAACGGAAAGACGATTTTTTAAACACATTTCTAAATATAATAGTTTTAATAATTCATTCCTAATAATTGATTTATTTTATCTTCTCCATGATGACACTAAATAATATTAGTATATAATATTTCCAAGACACTACTATAAAGGCTTAACTAGGTTAATTAAGTTAACGGCAGGTTAAGGTCTTTTATCCTTTACCAGTCAGACTTTTATTTTGGCGACATGTTGGAACCAGGAAGTAGTAGCTAACAAATCTGACGTTTCATGGGTTGATTTTTTTCACTGTAATATTCCGAAGGTAAGTCTGTATCGAGATTATAAAACCATAACGATACGTTTGTTTCATAAACATCCAAATCGCAGCATTGTATCAACGCACAGGAATGAATGTTTTTAACATTACACGTTACATTAGCGAATCATGAAACGTCGTATTGACAGTTTCTGACAACAGCAGAGTATAAGGATAATAAATTAAGAGACAGCTGTGTTAAGTGCGTCGGTTAGGAGCTGATCAAGTTTAGACACATCTGTGAATAAAAAGTGTGTGTTTAAAGATCAGAGTGTGTTGATGCAGTGAGAGACCTGCAGCTCCTGCTGTTTGCTCAATTCAGTCAGTGTGTTTTCAGATGACACGAGCCAAACCTGAGGATGATGAGTACTGGAACAGCTCCAAATTCAAAGCCTTCACCTTCGATGATGAAGACGATGAGTTTTCACGGGTGAGTTCAGCGTCTTTCTGTGGAGCATTATCGTTTTTTTTTAACCACAGTATCATTACTGAACTGTATGGCCCTGTCACTCCTAAATGCTTATTATTTAATATTATAAAGACAACAAGAGCTTTTCAAAAGTAATTTGTTAGCTATTGAACTGCTCTAAACACTACCGGTGTTACGGTTTAACTGGTGACCGTGTTAACTGGTGTCCCTTTCCAGATGTAAGCTATTCACGTTTCCAGATTGGCAGATTCGTCACTTTTTCACAGCAACAAAACATGTCCATACCAAATAAAGATTCTCATTACTTGGTGTCAGTGTCATTGTGTGCATTATTGATTTTAATATCTGTGTAGCAGAACAGTATATAACCAAAGTAAATAAAAAAAAAAATAATTAGAATTGACATGTCTTTAACAGGATTCGAACCCGTGTAGTGAAAAGGTTTAGTACACGTATCAGTCAACTTATCTAACTGAGCTACTCAGAACTTCAAACGAAACGGTCTGTTTTAATATCTTTGTCAGTTAACATGCCTTGCTGTGGTTGTGGACCCGTGTTAACATGTTTCCATCGATGTTAACATGTTTACATGCTGTTTAGTTACATGTATTCGCGTTAACGTGTTTCTACAAACTCTCCCGCTGATAGAATAGCTCTCTGTGACTAAACGATGCTTCATCAGTTGCTCAAACCATGTTTTTTCTTAGTTCTAGACTCATGTCTACCTGTGCCTTTGGAGTCGTGTTAACTCGTGACCCATGCTCATACATGTAACGTAAATAAAGATTTTATCCAAAAAAATGATACAATGACGATATTATTATGCAACATATTATGTCTAATATATATAATATATATTTCATATATAATATTATGCAACAGAATATTAATTGAAAATCGCAACATTTCAATGTATGATCTTGGTCACATCTGTATCAAGGTACTTATGAACATGATTTGGCTACATGCGATAAAATTACTAAAAGCTGCTAAGCCTTACATTTCATCAGTGCTTGATAGCTCAATTAGATAGCACGTATGTTCCAATCATGCTTCTCTTTTGTTAGTAGGTTCGAATCCACATACGAGTTTTGTTTATGTAGCCTGATTTTTTTAATTCTCTTTAAAATAAAATGTGGGGGGGGGGACTGCGATTTATAACGTATGCTTATTTAGTGGAACATCGTAGTCATTTAGAGCTATTCTGAGAAAACACAGCTCGTTTAACTTTGTAGACACAGACTAACACGAGTCAATGTGACTATTATATTCTGATTGCATAATATTCTAATATTCTGTTGCATAATATTATATATGAAATATATTATATATATATTAGACATAATACCTTGCTTAATAATATCGTCATTGTATCATTTTTTGATAAAATCTTTATTTACGTTACATGTATGAGCATGGGTCACGAGTTAACACGACTCCAAAGGCACAGGTAGACATGAGTCTAGAGCTAAGAAAAAACATGGTTTGAGCAACTGATGAAGCATCGTTTAGTCACAGAGAGCTATTCTATCAGCGGGAGAGTTTGTAGAAACACGTTAACGCGAGTACATGTAACTAAACAGCATGTAAACATGTTAACATCGATGGAAACATGTTAACACGGGTCCACAACCACAGCAAGGCATGTTTTAATTGACAAAGATATTAAAACAGACCGTTTCGTTTGAAGTTCTGAGTAGCTCAGTTAGATAAGTTGACTGATACGTGTGCTAAACCTTTTCACTACACGGGTTCGAATCCTGTTAAAGACATGTCAATTCTAATTATTTTTTTTATTTACTTTGGTTATATACTGTTCTGCTACACAGATATTAAAATCAATAATGCACACAATGACACTGACACCAACTAATGAGAATCTTTATTTGGTATGGACATGTTTTGTTGCTGTGAAAAAGTGACGAATCTGCCAATCTGCAAACGTGAATAGCTTACATCTGGAAAGGGACACCAGTTAACACGGTCACCAGTTAAACCGTAACACCGGACGAGGTTGACAGGTCTGTATAACAAACCAGCCCAAAGGCCAATTAAAATAGCCCAAAACAAGCCTGATGACGAATACGAGACTGCCATAGCTAAAATATTCACTGTTCTGACTTATACACACTTTTTCCACCCTTAAAATCACTACTTGTAATCATAATTATGTTTCGTTTGCGTAAAGAAGCTCCCTCACGTAAGGTTCATGATTTACCACCTTAACAATAAATAAATAAATGTATAATTCTGCTGGAAAGTGGAAACTATTAGCAACAATTTTATGTAGACAATAATTATTTTGCAGATGGTGAAATAAATAAAAATAAAGATTTTTTCAAGTGGACAACATGACGAGGAAAATACTATATATATATATATATACACACACACACACACATACATACATACTTATTCATTCATTTTCTTTTTGGCTTAGTCTCTTTCACAGCGGAATGAACCGCCAACTTATCCAGCATATGTTTACTCAGCGGATGTCCTTCTAACTGCAACCCATCGCTGGGAAACACTCATACACTCATTCGCATGCATACACTACGGACAGTTTTAGCTTACCCAATTCACCTGTACCGCATGTCTTTGGACTGTGGGGGAATTCGGAGCACCCGGAGGAAACCCAATCGAACCGGCAAACATGCAAACTCCACACAGAAATCAGAAATGCCAATTGACCCAGCGACCTTCGTGCTGTGAGGCGACAGCACTACCTACTGCACACCGCGTCGCCATATACATACAGTGCTCCGCATACATAAGTACATCCTTCACAGATCTCTCTTTTAAATTCAAATTTTGAATAGGAAGCTTTACAATATTATATATCTAATGTGCATATACATTAGATTAGTCAGTACTGAAGCCAAATCTGGAGCTTATCTAACAAAATAACTGAACGTTCCAAAAACTAGTACACCCAAATTTATATGTTAAAGAAAAATATTAAATACAAATTTAAAAACGAGGAAAAATCAAGAGAAGCAAGAAAAATAGAAATATTTAGTTAATTTTGTAGGTTGTCATTTTTTATTTTGTAATATTCTGCTTGAATTAAATTGTATTATCTTTCAATTTCTTAATATGTTTGGTGACAAATGATATTTTAATAAAAATAAAAATGCACCAAAATACTCTGCCTATGATCACTGAGAAATTGATCAAAATATTCATTTTCAAAATGGGGTGAACTCAATTATGCTGAGCACTGCGATATATACATATACATATGATGGCTTAAAACTCAATACTAGAACATTGCAGAGACTCAACCTGTTAAGTTAAACGAAGCTGTTTTATTTCCAACATACACTCGTTCATTGCTTGTTTCATTAATATAAAACTACGGGCCATGACTTGATTGATTGTTACACAGTGAGTTTGTATCTATTTCTCCTGTACAAACTCACAAAGCATTAATTAATGAAATGCAGCTTATTTGTGCATTAATGGCTGTCAAGTTAAAATAAATGTTTATTATTCAAAGCAGAGTAAGTCACTTTTCAGTTTTAAAAGATCTGTTTCTCCAGCAAATGCAGTTCTGTAATGGCGCACAATCGCATATCTTCCACAAGATGGTGCCATTTATTGTGACTATTGTGTAAAATATTGACTTTTAAATATTTATAAAATCCAGAGAATCTATTAATAATCTCTGGATTAGAATTTTCTGTGACTGTTTTTATTATGTAACAGATACAATTTCAAAGTTCAGTATCACTTTTAAAAACTGCTAGAAATAGTTAAATAAAAATCATTCATTTATTTTCCTTCAGCTTAGTCCCTTCATTCATCAGAGGTCACCACAGTGGAATGAACTGCCAACTTATCCATCATATGTTTTACACAGCTGATGCCCTTCCAGCTGCGACCCATCACTGGGAAACATTCAAACCCACTCATTCACATACATACACTACGATCAATTTAGCTTACCAAATTCGCCTATAGCGCATGTATTTGGACTGTGGGGGAAACCAGAGCATGCAAAGGAAACCCACTCTAACATGGGGAGAACATGCAAACTCCACACAATGCCAACTTACCCAGCTGGGACTCTAATCAGTGAGCTTCTTGCTGTGAGGTGACATTGCTAACCACAAAGCCACCAATTCACCTGTAGTGAATCAAGTAAGAATTAAATAAACATAATGCAAGTGTGTATCAAATCAAAATGCACTGTGTGTATTTTGCTAGTGCACATAGTTAGTTTTAAGGTGCACAATTAATCTGTGCATGTAATCAACTGAAACAAAATAATTGTTTTGGCGATTCTTAATTTAAATCTTTGCTCTGGAGTGGCAGTTCTTCTCTGATGACATCAGTTTGATGGATTGGGTATAGGTACACAAAATATGGAGAAACAAAAGCTCAATATTAATCCTACTTAATATTCAGTTTCAGTTGGAAATATCTCAGCAAACTGAAATAAAAGCCTGCTGCAACTTTTACAGAGACTTCCAATGCAACATTGTTGAAGAAAACCTTCCTTGAAAAATACAATATAGGCCTGTTTTGAACATACTGCATAACATAAGTTTAAATAAAATAATCTTTTACAAATTATTTTATTTTATTACTTATGTTTAAAAAGTTGTACATTTAACATACTTTTTGTTTTTGTTTTTTAGGCTCATCTTAGGTCAGACAGAAAATAACACCGTAAATACAATAATATAATAAAATTTAATAAGAAATAAAATTGATGCACATAAATAAACATAACGTGTCATATAAATCAGGCACTGTTACATTTCACCAAACAAGGACAAAAGAATTATACACTAAATAAGAATATAAATAATAAGGTCAAATATCACACATACACAAACATACATGCATAAGGTGATATATATAGATGCATAAATAGATAACATGATAATACATGAAAATAATAATAACAATAAAACATATGGCGGCACGGTAGCTCAGTGGTTAGTCCTGTTGCCTCAAAGCAAGAAGTTGGCTGGTTGGAGTACCGCCTGGGTCAGTTGGCGTTTCTGTGTGGAGTTTGCACGTTCTCCCCATGTCAACGTAGGTTTACACCGGGTGCTCCGATTTCCCCCACAGTCTAAAGACATGCACTAATAGCGAATTGGGTAAGCTAAATCGTCCGTAGTGTATGAGCGTGAGCGTTTATGGGTGTTTCCCAGTACTGGATTGCAGCTGAAAGGGCATCCGCTGCGTAAAACATATGCTGGAATAGTTGGCAGTTCTTTCCGCTGTGGTCATCCTCTGAAATAGAGACTAAGCTGAAGAAAATTGAATGAATAAAGCACATTAAACATGCGTTTACACAATACTTATAATTACTTTTCCTCTGATGTTATTTGCAAATGCTTTATAGCACTGGCGTTTGGCCCTCTCAGAGATTCACATATTTTGTTATGTGTTTATCTAACAGCTGAAAGAGTCCAAACGGGCAGTGAACAGCATCCTGGTGGATGATGATGATGATGAAGACGATGTTGAGAAAGTGAGCTGGAGCGGGGAACCTGTGGGAAGTACGCAGTCCTTTGTCTGGTCTTGCTGTCTTCAATGTCTCTGCTTCATCGACAGGAGGATCATCCCTTTCTGCTTGCTTGTGTGTTTGTTTTCTAGGCATCTCTTGGTCAGTGAGGGAAACTGCCTCCAGTATCCGCTCTGGGAGTGAGCAGAACTTTCCCAAAATCGATACCGCCCCTTCACTGTCCAAACAGGGCTCTGGATACTCCCTGAGCTCGCTGTTTAAAGGTACTGTATCCTGCTTGAATCTTTAAGTTCAATCATTATGGATTTAACAATCTGAGCCTGTTTATATTCCCTCAGCCAAGAGCAAACCTACTGCTTTCCAGTCCTTCTCCGAATGTAAGTTATATAGGAGGATTTATGGTTTATTTTTAATGTGTGTGAGTTCTATTGAAGTGTGTGCTGTTTACTGTTTTTTTAGCTTTTAGTGAAACATCTGCTAGAACATACGCACCTGAGCTGAGGAAGCCCAAGTCTGATGGAAAGGTAATTTATATGCTGATGTTTGGGGTTAGTTTGGCGATTTGAGTCAGCATGATTTTCAGATGTTTTTAAAATAAATGTTTTGGATCAAACCACAGTACACATTAATCAGAAATATTATTATAGTTTAAACTATTTACTGTATAAAATAAATGTTTATAGTTTAAACATTTTCTTAAAAGTATGTGTTTTTGTATGTATTTTTAAAAGCTGAATTTCCAGCAATACTCCAGTATTCAGTTTTAATCATTGTTTTTTTAACATTATAACATTTTTTTGTATTATTTAGATTTTATTGTCACTTTCAGTCAAAAAGTATTCTGATCAACAACAAAAAAATGTCTTTCAAGCATCATTTAAAACATTTTATATTTTCTGAGCGAAAAATAATAAAGGCTATCATACATTTTTGCAACGATTTACATCAAACATTCAGTGTAATAATAGTTTATATTCCAAAAAACTAGCGTTCCTAACATTGTTAGAATTAGAATCATTTGATGGCACATTAAAATACTCTATTTAAGGATCACAGTGCTGAAAATATGAATGAATTGTCATTTTACACCTTGTCACTATTCTTTCAACCACAACATTTTATTATTTTTTATTAGTTTAATATGATCATGTGAGTTTTTTTGTTATAAATTTAAACAAATAGGTTAGAGTCAGTATTTAAAATATTTATTTCAGTAATTTTAACATAAATATAATTTATAATGATTGTCAACAGAACTTAATATCACTCATATTTTGACATTTTATTTTCACAGAACCTGAAAATTGACACATTACTTGCATTTCACATGGTTGCTATACATCCAAGTTAATTTAAGTAAATTTTATGTGGACACTGTAATGGGACATCTCATCCTCGAATCAGAACAATAGCAAAATCCCGATTCGTGCATGCTTGGCTAAACAAAGTTTCTGACATTCATATTTCTTATTTTACTCAGGATTTTGTGAGTGACCTGAGTCCAGAGGAAACCATTAGGAGAATGCAGAAAGGACGGGTAGGGGGCAGCAAAGAGCTGCAAATCATATATTTTCCCCTGCAAAGTCCATTTAAATGTGCAACGTCTGTTATACAGTATATTTCCATTCATTCATTTCCATTTTGATTCTCAATTAAATATAGGCACAGAACAGTTAACAGCTGAAGTCAGAATTATGAGCCTCCTTTTAAATATTTATTTTCTTTTTTAAATGTTTCCTTAATGATGTTTAACAGAGCAGCGACATTTTCACAGTATGTCTGATAATATTTTTCTTCTGGAGAAAGTCCTATTTGTTTTATTTCAGCTAGAATAAAATCAGTTTAAATAAAAAAAAAAAAAAGCATTTTAAGGTCAAAATTATTAGCCCCAATTTGTTTTGATAGTCTGCAGTACAAACCATCGTTATACAATAACTTGCCTAATTACCCTATCCTGCCTAGTTAACCTAATGAACCTAGTTAAGCTTTAAAATGTCCTTTTAGGCTGTATGGAAGTGTCTTGAAAAACATCTAGTCAAAAATGATTTACTGTCATCATGGCACAGATAAAATAAATCAGTTATTAGAAATGAGTTATTAAAACTTTTATGATTAGAAAATCTTCTCCGTTTAACAGAAATTGGGGGAAAAATAAACAGAGGGGCTAATAATTCTGACTTAAACTGTATATGACCACAGAAAATCAGGGTGTGTTCACACTTGTAGCTCTTTCCTTTTGGTTTTTTTTTTAACAAAAATGAAATATAGTATGTTTAGTCCTGTTAAAAACAGTATATGTATACCTATATCGTCTGTGCTGGACTCAACATGCTCAATTATATATGATGGATATATGATAGAAGAATTCATGTAGATATGATAATTCTGTCAGACGGGTGTGAACAGTGTCAAAAACCCACCATGAATTTCTCAAACACATAAACAAAAATCTGCTGCATGTACTTTAGAAAAAAAATAGAAAACATTTTCTGGAGGATTCTGTCTTTCTATGGTCATATTGTGTGATATTGTGTCTTGTTTTTGGTTTGTTTAGGCATATTTGGTCCGTCTTGCATTCATATTTCAGTTGAGCTGCACCAGAGTTTGTTTGCAACTGGCCAGAGATCCACATTCTTGGCATCCTCTGTCATTGTACAGATACTGTGCTCCACAGTTTTGGTATCCTCTGTCATAACCACCATTTGTTTGGTGTGTGTGGACTACGGTTTAATGGCAGTGTTTACACTTACTGTATTCAAATGAAGTACACTAAAATAGCAATCACACCAGAGTTTATTTTAATCAAACAACTGTGAACACACCCTTAGTACTTTAGGAACTTGGAAGTCACCATGCTTTTTATATTGCTTTTAGAAAGCATGCACTTTTTCTCAACACAATACATTTGAACAATACCTGGCAATAAAAAAAATGCTTGTTTTTCAGGCTTTTTCTATGGAAAAGTTCCGCTCTCTGCAGGACAAGCTTCTGCTGCTGGATGAAGCCGTTTCTGTTTATGATGGCAATGTCATCACTGCTGTGAGCTGCACATCACACTCAATAACCCTATATGGAAAGACTGCTGTGGCTTTACAATGACTCATATTAGTAGGAACAGTGTTTTATTTATGTTGCTTAATCACTGATTATGTACATTTTCCTCCTGCAGGTCTTGATATATTTAAAAAAGTCATTAAGTAAAGGTAAGATGTTTTGCGATCATTAGTTGGCTTAGTGTGGATTAAATTTAAATAAATCTTTTTAATAGTTTTTGATAGTAAATACTATTATTAAATATAGTATATAATATGGGCGTCATGGTGGCACAGTGGGTATAATGAGGGCCTCACAGCAAGAAAGTCGCTGGTTTGAGCCTCGGCTGTCTCAGTTGGCATTTCTGTTTGGAGTTTGCATGTTCTCACCGTGTTTGCGTGGGTTTCCTTAAGGTGCTCCGGTTTCCCAACAAGTCCAGAGACATATGGTATAGGTGAATTGAGTAAGCTAAATTTGCCGTAGTGTATGTGTGTGAATGAGTGTGTATAGGTGTTTTTCCAGGGATTGGTTGCAGCTGGAAGGGCATCAGCTGCGTAAAACATATGCAGGATTAGTTGGCGGTTCATTCCGCTGTGGCGACCCCAGATTAATAAAGGGAAAAGAAAGTGAATGAATGAAAACTACGATGTTTGTATTTAATATTATTTTTATATTATTTTCATCATTGTTGCAGAAATCCTCTTTCGAGAGTTAATGCCGAGAGAAGTGGCTTTACGTCATTACATCCACTATTTGAAAGAGATGGGAGAGCAAAAGCTGTTGGTGGAGTTACTGAAGTGAGTTCACTGTTTATATCTATATATAACTTCCCCTCTTCACTTATGATCATTTAATACGTCTCTCCATACGGTATATTTGCATTGGCTGTTTGATTTGAACAGTTCTATTTTTGCGTGCAGTTTATTTGACTAACTGCCTTTGTCGCTTTGGTCACATGATTGTCTTTTAGGGCTCTTGGCAGGACAGAAGATATGGCGGTAGGTACCAACTGCACAATCATAAAACGCACCTGTCATTATACTCATAGCTCATACACGGATGACTCGGTGATCAAAATATCTGTCTGTGTCGGGGAGAGCCCAGTCTTAACCAATAGAAATACGAAAACTTCCTCTTTTATGTTTGCACATCTGTTGCTCTGCCATTTTTCCCATGTGAATTTTTCTTCTAGATAATTTTATTTAATGTGTATATGTATAAAACTTATTAAAAATAACTATGTAAGAGAATGGTGTCAGACTAGCGCTGATAATATAATCATAATAATAGCTTAAATATGTCTCTGTCTTACAATAAAACTTAAAAAGCATCATTTGACTAGAAATCACAATATGCTGTTAATTTACTTGCCTTCAGTCAATCCAAGATGTACTGTAGGCAACTATTTATTTATTTATATATTTATTAATTTGTTTATTTATTTCTTTATTTTTATGGTCACTTTAACATTGAGTCCTCTCATACACCCAGCACAATAAGATGCGAGACATGTATGGCGTTATTTGTTGAAATTTTTGCGTCACATTGTTTAAATACCAAATCCATTTGCGTCACTTTGTGGATTCATGGTCTAGAATGGTGGTGTGTTAAGACACATTGTTGGCACATTGCTATTTTTGAGGAACTGAAATAGACAGTGTCATTGACCAACTAAAAGCCGGTCTCAAGTCCAACGAAGAGCGTGTTAGTTATGCGCCTTTGCTCGTCCAAACACTTACACATTGCTTAATACACACAGAATGTACAGCAATGCACAAATATCCATACGAATTAAAAAAATAGAGGATTAAAAATATATATTTTCTACGTAAACATAAAAACCACTACCTCCATGCCTTCTTCATCTCGGGGGGGCTTTTTTCAGTTTATTCATGACAATTAGCATTTGTATAATGGTATTATTATTAGCACTATTATTTATTATACAAATTTCTATATTTGTTTTAATAAAAACAAGTTTAGATTTGTCTGCCTGTTGGTTTGGAAGACGTATGCGTCACTATATGGGGCATAAGAATAGGACGTGTGTTTGGATATGACTCAGTTTATTGACCACACTTAGTATTATTTATTGTTCATTTATTCATTTCCTGGAAATTAGAACTGAATTTAGAAATAGTTTTGAAGCAAATCTTTGCGCTTAACAAGCAAAATTAAATATGAAGGCTAATGAATGTCTTCAGAGGAGCACAACACCGTTTGCTTATCCACGATAGTAGAGTAAAGTAAAGAGAAAGTAAAGATGCCGAATGCAGGAGGCTCAATCTTTATCCTTGCGCTTTTTCTCGCTAGTGAAGCGTTCAATTTTTCCTCTCACAATGTCTTCCATGTAAATTGCAAATGCCCCATGGCGTGACCCAACTGACTCTTAAAAGGAATATGCTCAAATATGCTCAAAACACACCTATAACTCATTAGGAGAATAAGCACAACCCTGTTAGACTATGCGCCGGCGCGCAGACCATATTTTTTTGTCTTTAAAAAAGCTCAAGCGTATTCGGACACGCCCTTAAAGTCCCCATGAACCGGAAGCTGCGACTGTTATGTTTTTACTTATGTGACACAGTTCCTAGAAAAACAGAATATTAAATGAAAAAACTGGGTGTGGCTTGTTTTTTTTTCTACTGCGAGCTGATTGGATGTAGTAAAGTAGGAATTTCATTCAGAAAGATTGGGAAAAGGGTTTTAGAAGAGTTATTACAACCTAACAGACTCCTGCTCACCATTTCTTTTTTTGTCAAAACTGACAGTGGAAGCAGCGTGGTTTAATATGTTAGCCACGCCCAGTTTCTAAGATATATGTAATCTGATTATTTAACTAAAATAACAGGAAGTGCATTTTCAGATTTCAATTAAATATTAAAATAGCAAACATGTTTTTTCTTAATGGAGTGCACAGATGAATTGAAAACTAGCAATGTTAGCTAACAAAATCATATGGTTAGTTTTGATCTCTTGGGGACTTCAATGCTTTTGTGCCATGTGTTTCGACTTTAGACCTAGATCTTTAAATTAGAGCCCTACAAGTGTATTTGTCCACCTAAGTGTTATTTTGCACATCAGAAAAGTGAAGGCTGTTTTTAAAAAAATCAAATGTGGGCATTTCTTAAAGTGCAACGCTCAGCACTAAGCATAAAACATGACATGAGGCTTACATTGACAACAACAGAAAATAATGATTTTGCATTGTGCAAAAACACTTTGCTGGACTCCACCAAAAAGAAAGTTTTAGCTGAAAGTGTGGTCGTTAAAATCACTTCAAACCAACAACTTGAATGCTCCGAGGATGTGTAAATGAAATTTATTTCATGTGTGCATGCATGTAAATCATCATTGTCATCAAGGGTTAATAAAAGTTTAGATTCTTTTATTTATTTAAGCTTTATAGAAGTGAAAAGAGGAAGAAATGTATTTTGTCACATTTCTGCCTGTCTCATTGACATCATTAAAATAAATAAAGTTAAGAGAGGAAGTTAAACATTATTTTTATTTTCGTTTTTTCTCAGTTATTTGAGTGTTGTTCCTGTTTAATAGCACATGTATTCAACTTTCTTCTGTTGTCCTTACACAGTTAATGCAATACAAAGAGCACTTGAATATTAAGGATGAAGGCAGAAGAAGAGACTTTCTCAAAAGTTGCCTCAGGTACAGAAATCTTTCAGCAAAGTTAAGAAGCATCTTCTGCTCATTTTGTCTTTTTAATGATTCATTTGAAATTACTGTTTGTTCTTAGCCTTCCCTTTTCTCAAGACGATTCCACTCATGTTCAAGATCACTATACCCTCCTTGAAAGGCAAATAATCATTGAGGTGAGTCCATTCACTCATTTATGTCACTATCAAAAGTCAGTTGTCAGAAGTCACCACTGCAGAAATACAAAGACAGTCTGGATAAATTACTTTGAATGGGAGGAAGTGCAATATGGCACTATTCCTGCCTTCTAAGTACAAGAGCCAGTTGTTAATTTGTCATGCCATGTCCTGAGATGGTTCAAACTAGAAATATTGTAATACTATTTGTGCACAAGATACAACATTTGTGGGACAGTTCATATAAGATTTTGATGTCGAGTTAAAATATATAATTGAATTAGCAGTTGTTGCAAATTTGATTGCGGAGTGAGATCACACTTACTATAGTTCACACTTTATAATAATAGTGTTATTAGTCATTAACACTCAGGGCCGGAGTGGGACTCCTTTTCAGCCCTGGAGTTTCAAGCCTCACGCCGGCCCACCTCGTTTCACGACTGACTATTTTAAAATAAGGTCATTTCTAATTCAGTTTCTAATTACACTTTCACGTCTTTTTTTTTTTTGAGAAAACAGCTGCTTTAGAACTTCAAATGTTCAACAACCCTAACAGTATTATATGTCTTAACAATAAAAATGAAAAAAATAAATTACTCAGACGAGAATCAAACCCTGGTCAGCGGCGTCGTAACCTAACGTGCTTACCACTGGACCACAACAGCAGTACTTAAAGAGACATCCGAGTTATATCATCATTAACCTGCAGGCTGCATCTTGCTCACGAGGCTGAAAATAGATAAAAAGAACAGAGCTGCGGTAAAGAAAATTAAGAAATTCAAATTAAGAAGACTGTGGTCAAGTAAATAAATTAATTAATTAAAAAAGTGTGACTGCTGAGAGCAACAGATTCTGGTGCAAGAGACACCGGCCCTCGCGGGCAAAAAACGGACAGGCCGATCGGGAATTCTCCCGGTCCTCCCGATTAGCCCGATTAGCCGATTAGCGAATAAATAAGTACACCACCTTTTGAAAATGTTTTTGTTTTTAGCCATTTCTCAGTGAGTATAGCCAATCATTTTAGTGCATTTAAACAAAATAAAAAGTTACACCCATTAAAAATTGAGATTGGTCACGTAACTCATTTAGCAATAGGAAGATGATACATTACAGTTCAAACAAGTTGTTGCAAAAAAGACAACTACAAAATTTCAACTACATTTAGTATTTTTTATGGTTCTCTCTGTTTTTTTTTGCTTATTAAAATTGTGTTTATTATTTTCCCATAATAAATAACATTACTTTGAGTGTGATTAGTTTTTAAACTTGAATGTGATTTTACACTATTTTACACTTAGGACCCTATCATACACCCGGCGCAATAAAGCGCAAGACATGTTTGGTGCAATTTGTTGCTATTTTCAGACCAGCTCAACTTAAATTTTCACAATATGCATAACGTTACTTAAATAGCAAATCCATTTGCGTTACTTTGTGGACTCAAGGGTGTGCCGGTCTATGAAGGAGGTGTGTTAAGATGCATTGTTGGCGCGTTGCTATTCTGAGAAATTGAAATAGACTGCACCTTTGACCAACTAAAAGCTGGTCTAAAGTATTATTATAATATTAGTATTAATAGCAGTATTATTTATTATATACATACTTATATTTGTTTTAATAAAAACAAGTTCAGATTTGTCCATCTGTCTGGTTTTGGAGACGTATGTGTCACCATATGAGGGCATAAGAATAGGACATGTGCTTTTATATAACTTCTTTTATTGACCCCACTTATTATTATTTATTCACTTCATTATTATTGCTCTTTTATTCGATTGCTGGAAATTAAAACTGAATTTAGAAATGTTTTTGAATCAAATCTTTAATTAAATTAAATTAATTTAATTTAAATATGTAGGCCAATGGATGTTTTCAGTGGAGTGCGTACAATACCATCTCAATATCAATGGAAATAAAAGAGTAAAGTAAAGAGTAAAAGTAAAGTAAAGAGAAACCAAATGGAGAAGAGGCCAAATAGAGGAGGCTCATTCTTTATCCTCAGGCTGCAGATTTTCTACTTACAAAGTCCACCATGTAAATAGCAAATGTGCCATGGCAAGACGCAACTGACTCTTAAAGGGAATGAGAGATGAGACTCTGATTGGTTTAATGCAAGTTATGCTCAAAACACACCCATAACTGATTAAGAGAATAAGCACAACCCTGTTAGACCATGCGAGACTGTATTTTTCTGTTCCTTAAAATAGCAAAAGTGGATTCGGACACACCCATAATGCTTTTGCACTATGAACTTTGAATTTTGCGCCTAAATTGTTAAAATTTAGACCTTAGCAAGCTGTCTATTAGTAATATGTATTTATTAATGCAGTATTTAAATTTCTGTCGTGTATAAAAACAGTAGTTTAGCAATTAAGTCATTTGTTTAACTTACACGGACAAGATTCCGCTGTGGGTGATGTTTTGTGGTCAGATGCTAAATTAATTCAGCACGTGCTGATTTATGATTAAAAAAAATGAAGATGTCAAATTGAAGTCATACAATTTAAAAGGTAAAAAGTGTCATTTTTATCGTACCGTAAGCTCCTATACTGAAAATAATTCTGCACAAATCCACAGATTATTTACAAAATTCTGTGCAAAAATGAAACAAATAATAAAAAGTCTCCAGACTCTGTCTGGCCTAATTTTTGGTTTGGAGACATTATGGCCTCTTTAACACTGCATGCTTCAAGTAACATGGGCAGATATGGCCCATGTATGTGTTTGCAGGAAAAATTCACATGGATTTCGATTTACTTAAATCAGATTCAGGCCTTGTTCATATGTGAAAATTTTCCGATATCCGATATGAATTTGTTCCTCTTGTGTCTGCAGTGTAAGCAGGTAGTTCGGATTGAATGACGCTTTCATTTCGGAACAGACTTCAGCAGAGTCCCAGACCTAAAATCTCACACACAAGGACTAAACAGCTTTTATTTTGTCACATAGCACAAGTATTTAAGCATGATTTACAAGAGAGAGAGAGAGAGAGAGAGAGAGAGAGAGAGGAAGAGAGAGAAAGAGAGAGAGAGAGAGAGAGAGCGAGAGAGAGTGCAACATCACCAATATAATACATGCCACGTAACCAATATAAACTAATATAAAACTGTTCCATACATCGCATGCATAAATCAAGCCATGGACATTACATTAAGAAGCCTACTGGGTTAAAAAGGCCTAGATTAAATTAAAATGATCAAATGAGAACCTTTCTGTCATAAACTATAGTAAAATCCAAAATAATAATAAAACAATTACTCCTGCAAACATACTAAATACATGAATTGAGAAAGACCGCTCTGTAATTATCAGCTGCCAGTCAAGGCCTGCTCTGTTTTTTCCTGATCATTGCGCCTGCTGTGTAAATGCAGACAATCTATATGAGTCACTTTTAAAAGACGATGAAAGTCAAAAAAATTTAATTACAGTCACAAAATTGGAATTGACCATCAAGATCTGCAGTGTAAATGCAGCCTATGTTATTTCTGTAAGCTGATTTACATGATCTTTGGGCATGTAAAGATGCTCAGTGATAATTCAGTGTGTGAACACATTGAGTCAAATGTGTCAAGTTATTTTTGACTAAACATGTAGCTGTAGAAACAACAGAAGTAGCGTACGAGCAGTTTCCCAACTCTGTTCCTAGAGGCACACCAACAGGACATATTTTGGATGTCACCCTTATCTGATCCATTAACTTCAGGTTTTGGAGTGTCTTCTAATGTTCTGATGAGTTGATTCTGGTGCGTTTGATTAGGAAGAAGCTGAAGATGTGTACTGTTAGTGTGCCTTAAGAAACAGGGTTGGGAAACACTGGTACAGAGTACTGTAATATGCAATTGTATAGTAACCACTGTCACTCATGATTGGAATTACATATATGTCAATGACTGACCCTGTTTTAAATGCTGCTTTATGAAACAAAATGACTTGAAAACACTGACTTTTATTCGTTTGTGGATATTAAAGAAGGAGGCCAGAAAAGTGTGCTTATGTCACAGAATTGATGCGAAGGTTTCTGCTTTGTGTTTTCGCCTCACCTTACGGAGCGGGTAGAGAAGTATTTCCTCTTAAGCGCAGCACTCTTCCTCTTTCCTGCGGGTGGTTGATGGCTGATGGGTCTCTCTGTACAGAGGGAAGTCAGAGGGATGGGCTTTTCTCAAATTGGGTTACAGGGCAGATGTTTCCTCAGATTATGAAACGCGTGAAAAGCGTGCTTTATCATGAGCAACTTCTAGCAAATGTGAGATTCACTTTATATCCATCAGGTGTTTAAGATAAAAATTGTTTTGTTTGTAAATCATTTAAAAAGATTTTCTGACATGCATTTTCTGTTTTTAACACCCTGTTTCTGCTGTGATTCAGGGCAAAAAATGAATCGTATTCGTGAGCTAAGAACTGTGTATGTGTATATACAGTTGAAGTCAGAATTATTAGCCCTTCTGTTATCTTTGCCATGATGACAGTACATATTATTTTATTAGATATTTTTAAAATTAGTTCGACTTCAACTGTATACACAGTATATACACTCACTGGCCACTTTATTAGGTACACCTTACTAGTACTGGGTTGAACCCCCTTTTGCCTTCAAAACTGCCTTAATCCTTTGTGGCATAGATTCAACAAGGTACTGGAAATATTCCTCAGAGATTTTGGTCCATATTGACATGATAGAATTACATAGTTGCTGCAGATTTGTCGGCTGCTCATCCATGATGCGAATCTCCCATTCCACCACATCCCAAAGATGCTCTACTGGATTGAGATCTGACAACTGTGGAGGCGATTTGAGTACAGTGAACTCAAAGTCATGTTCAAGAAACCAGTCTGAGATGATTCACGCTTTATGACGTGGTGCGTTATCGTGCTTGAAGTAGGCATCAGAGGATGGAAACACTGTAGTCATAAAGGGATGGACATGGTCAGTAACAATACTCAGGTAAGCTGTAGCATTGACACGATGCTCAAATGATACTAATGGGCTTAAAGTGTGCCAGGAAAATATCCTCCACACCATTACACCACCAGCCTGAACCCGTTAATACAAGGCAGGATGGATTCATGCTTTCATGTTGTTGATGCCAAATTCTGACCCTACCATCCGAATGTCGCTGCAGAAATCGAGACTCATCAGACTAGGCAACGTTTTTCCAATGTTCTATTGGGCAATTTTGGTAAGCCTGTGCAAATTGTTGCCTCCGTTTCCTGTTCTTAGCTGACAGCAGTGGGACCCAGTGGTCTTCTGCTGCTGTTGCTCATCCGCCTCAAGGTTGGAGGTGTTGTGCATTCAGAGATGCTCTTTTGCATACCTTGGTTTTAATGAGTGGTTATTTGAGTTACTGTTGCCTTTCTATCAGCTGGAACCAGTCTGGCCATTCTCCTCTGACCTCTGGCATCAACAAGGCATTTGCGCCCATAGAACTGCCGCTCACTGGACATTTTCTCTTTTTCGGACCATTCTCTGTAAACCCTAGTGATGGTTGTGCATGAAAATCCCAGTAGATCAGCAGTTTCTGAAATACTCAGACCAGCCAGTCTGGTGCCAGCAACCATGCCATGTTCACTGGACTTTAAGTCACTTAAATCACCTTTCTTCCCCATTCCGACGCTCTTTTTGGACTGCAGCAGATCGTCTTAAACATTTCTACATGCCTAAATGCATTAAGTTGCTGCCATGTGATTGACTGATTATAAATTTGCGTTAAAGGGCAGTTGGACAGGTGTACCTAATAAAGTGGCCATGAGTGTACATGCACACGCATACATGAAATTCTTAGCTCATCATAAATCATATATAAATTATAATGAATTATTCATTTGTTTAGTGAGAATTATTATTTATTTGGTTCTGTAGTAGTATATATTTGATTATGTACCGTAATTATGTATGTTCTGTTGAATTTGTAGTAAGAACGAGTTACTATTTTTTTTTTCTTATTTACAATATTTACAAGTTTTCATGTCTTTAAAAAAAAAAATATATATATATATATATATATATATATATTTATTTATTTTTTATTTTTTTATTAATTTCTAAACAAATATGTATGCCTGTTTTATGTCTTATAGTTTGAAACATTTTAATTGTTTAATGTTTTTATAAGGCTACTTATAATTTTCTTTGATAGTATCCTGTAGTGCTTTTAAAATTGTTGTTCAGTACGATGTTTAGTTTGAATAAACTAATTTACTTTGCAAGTAAACTTGTAACTTCGTTTTTTTTTTCTTGGTTATTAAAAGTCGAAGATGTTATTCATAATTGACTTAAAAGCTTTCATTTTTAGTTGCTGTAACCTGCATAAACTAATATGTAGTGTACAATATTGTGTGGGTAAACAGATTTGTAATGTCAAATTTGACACATTTTAGCTCTGCATGGAAGCTTGATTTTTGTTAGTGGGACACGGTGCAGGGACATTTACACTTCCTGTGTGAGTAGGTTTGTTTTTTCTTTGTTAATACGAGACGCCGGATGTGTGAAGAAGCCCTAAATACATGAGAAAATGCCTCCCTGAAGAGAATATTGTTGCTGAGGGTTTATCTCAGCAGGTGCACAGCATTTGAAGTGTTATCTGTGTTTTTTTTTTTTTTCAGGCTAGTGACAAGAAGGCAGATACAGACATCTTTAAAAAGTTCCCCAGAAAAGCGTCCATCCTTAATATGCCAATCATCACCACTCTGTATTACTCCTGCTTCTACCATTACGGAGAGCCAGAGGTACAAGCGCATGATTCACTACTGCGATATGATGATGGATTATTTGCTGAATGTGTTACATTACATACAGTATTAAAATACAATATAATCTTACTCTATAAGTACACTACACTGAACTGAATCTTTCAGAATCCTTCAGAAGTCATTACTTTGTTTTGCTGTTTAGCAAACATTTAATTTATGATAATTAAAAATTAATATAATTAATATTTAATTCAGGGATTCACGATATATCGGAGGCCATATCGTTATCGGCCGATAAATGCTATTTTTAAGATTATCGTTATCGATCCGATGTCTAAATTTGGCCGATATCTTTAAGCCGATATATTACGTTATTGTTGCCCCGCACGCGTGGGCGGAACATGTTCAGACTTGTTCATGGATCTCTCCTCACTGATTATTCCTTCAAAGTCCGTCCTTTCTTCACGTGGCATTGCTGTGCGTTAAAAACTCAGTAAGTAACCATTATCCTTATCATTGTAGATATGTTTGATTGAGTGCCATTGTGTATTTTGCTTCAAATCGCCTCAGGAAAAACATTACATATGAAAGCCTTTCCAGCTCTGTCTCTTTGATGTGTTAGATATAGCAGGGAGAATTACTTATTACTCCAAGGCCGAATAATATTAGTTTTGGGGTTAATTCTTTTAGTTGCAGCCGGTGAATGAACGAGGACCCGAAAAAAGCGCTCCTTTTCTGTCTCTCTCTCTTCGCTTAACACACACACACATACACACACACCAAACTGACCTGCACACGTGACGCGCTAAACAAAAACTTTACGGAAGGTTTTTAATCTAATATAATTATTTGTTATTATCAACGCGTTGCTTACCATGTGTTGTTGATGATTGTATTCAGTTTGATCGGAATATTCATATTGATTATAAAGAGCGCGCGAGAGCTTTCACCACATGCGTGCACACACATTGATCTGACAGCCTTCACACACACATAGATCTTGAGCCTTCACAGATCAACAGGGGAGAGCCTAGGTGCACCGGTCACTGAATCCAGCATACGGACCACACGTTCTGCCTTTATATTCTGCTCTGTGTTTGTCATAAAGTCATCTGAGCTCAATGATCAGGTTTGTATCAAAATCCGAGGGCAAATCTGCGCCCTCATATCGATTTATCATAAACTTTTCATCGATCATTTTCCCCGTGATTGACAGCAAGAACGAACACAGAAACGATGCTACATGTGTTCAAAAGAATCTAAAACGCCAAATACGATGAATTTATGTCGCATTTTCTAAAATAATACATTCTGTATCTAGCTTATCACTTGTACTGTGGCTCTGAACTGTCAAAACACCTCTAAAAAAGGCTTTTTCGGACATGAAATATTTGTACACATGTATATTACTGTAACCCGTTTTATTCAAGAACATTTGAGCTGGTTATAGTCCTTAGCTCTTTAATTTTCATCTTATTTAAAATATTTTTAACTTGCTTGTTAATTAAATCCCATTTTGTTATTTAATCTTTTTAATTTTATGCAACAGTCAATTTGCATGTTAATTTGCTATGAAGAAAATGAAATAATGTATTTTTTGCATGCTGATTTGTGTGAAATCGTGAATATAGGTTTTATTTAATTGAATATATCATTTTGAAATAATAGCTTTTTTGCTTTGAGTATAGGCTATTCAGTTCAAAAGAGCAGAGTTTCTGCTTTTATGAAGTTTGCTGTATAAAAATATAACATTTTGAAATATTTATAATTATCGGCCTATATATATCGGCTATCGGCCTCCAAGTCTGAAGAATTATCGGTTATCGGTATTGGCCAAAAAATCCATATCGGTGCATCCCTAATTTAATTAATATATTTCATCTAATTAATATTTTTTGTGTAATCACTCCAATATGTCACTATTCACTGTGTTTTCCATGGAGTACTATACTTTATTTGATGGTATTTACACCCAAATCAGGTGAACGCTGTAGGAAATACTACAGTTTGCATATGTGCCTTCCACTTATTAAGGGACCAAAAGTAATTGGACAGAATAATTATCATCAATCAATCTTTCGCTTTATGTTAAGCAGGTTGCACACCAGAAGCGCCGCTCGGCCGTGCGCCGCGCAGCGCCATGCATTTTAGAATTCTAAACATAGGTTTCTATCAGGATACACACACCGGCGCCGCAAGTTGGCAGCTGTCGGCGGCGCCTGGCCACGACTCAGGACGCAGTTCATTTTTCAGCCGCGCCACAGAGCGCCATCTGATTAGTTTCATGTTAAATATCATTTGAATGTGCGCGTCTGGTGTGTGATACTTTAAACTGTCATGTACGCACCGTGTCGCGGCGCTTCTGGTGTGCGACCTGCTTTACTTGGTTGCAAATCCTTTGCAGTCAATTACAGCCTGAAGTCTGGAACGCATAGACATCACCAGATGCTGGGTTTCGTTCCTGGTGCTGCAAAGCCAGGCTTCTACAGCAACTGTCTTCACTTCCTGCTTGTCCTTGGGCCATTTTTCCTTCAGTTTTGTTTTCAGCAAATGAAATGCATGCTCAATCGGATTCAGATCAGGTGATTGACTTGGCCATAGCATAACATTCCACTTCTTTCCTTTCAAAATCTATGTGGTTGCTTTTGCAGTATGCTTTGTGTCATTCACCATCTGCACTGTGAAGCACCGTCCAATGAGTTCTGAAGCATTTGGCTTAATATGAGCAGAAAACTTTGCCTGAAACACTTTAGAATCCATCCTGCTGCTTTTGTCAGCGGTCACATCTTTAATAAATACAAGAGAACCAGTTCCATTGACAGCCATACATGTTCACACTATGACAACACTACCACCATGCTTCACTATTTGGGATCATAAGCAGTTCCTTTCCTTCTCCATACTCTTCCCATCACTCTGGTACAAATTAATATTGATCTCATCTGTCCATAGGAATTTGTTTCTTTTTGTGTTGCTGACCTCAGTAGTGTGTTCATTCTTTTTAAGAATGTTGCAAACAGTTGTTTTGGCCACGGCTGATGTTTTTGCTATTTCTCTGATGGATTTGTTTTGTTTTTTTCAGCCTAATGATAGCTTGCTTGACTGATAGTAACAGCTCTTTGACTCCCATCTTAAGAGGTGACAGCATCAGATTCCAAATGCAAATAGCACACTCTGGACCTTTTATCTGCTCATCGTAATTGGGATAATGAGACAATAACACACACCTGGCCATGGAACAGCTTAGAAGCCAATTGTCCAATTATTTTAGGACCCTTAACAAGTGGGAGGCACATATGCAAACTGTTGTAATTTCTACAGCATTCACTTGATTTGTATGTAAATACCCTCAAATTAAAGCTGACAGTCAGCAGTTAAAGCACATCGTGTTCGTTTCATTTTAAATCCATTGTGTTGGTGTGTAGACCCGTTACCATGAAAATTTACAGATTAGTTACAGCATATTAAAGACAGATATTCATATGCAGATATTTTCCCACAACTTTTAGAGTTTTCAAAACTAAAGTAACATTTCAATAAAAAAAATCAATAAACTATTTCTATAAATGTAGTCTAAAACCTTTAAACCTTCATTTTATCAATGTAATTTGAATGAATTTCCATTTTCTATCTATCTATCTATCTATCTATCTATCTATCTATCTATCTATCTATCTATCTATCTATCTATCTATCTATCTATCTATCTATCTATCTATCTATCTATCTGTCTATCTGTCTATCTATCTATATGTCTCTCTCTCTCTCTCTCTCTCTCTCTCTCTCTCTCTCTCTCTCTCTCTCTCTCTCTCTCTCTCTCTCTCTCTATATATATATATATATATATATATATATTAGTGCTGTCAATCAATTGAAAAAATTTACTAATTAATCATAAACTAATTACCTAATTAATCACATTTTTTTGAAAATTAATCGTGATTAATCTCGATTAATCACATTTAAAAGACTAAAATCTGTAATTTGTGCTATTCAAATGTAAAATTAATGTGTAATTATGTAAACTATGTAAATTCAAAATATAACTTTATTAGAATTTATTTTTAACTTGTAACACCGATTTTTTTCAAGTAAACAACAAACCCACAATAAACCATCAAGATCCTGGCTTGACAGCAATATTTATTACAGAAATTAAAATACAGGCATGTTAATGCCATTTGAATTTTAAACAATCAATGCCAATAAAGAAAAAATTATTTCCAAGTTGGTTTCTGAAGCAGGTCGCACACCAGAAGCACCGTGACACGGCGCGCACATGACAGTTTAAAGTATCGCACACCAGACGCGCACATTCGCATGATATTTAACATGAAACTAATCAGATGGCGCTCTGTGGCGCGGCTGAAAAATGAACTGCGTCCTGAGTCGTGGCCAGGCGCCGCCGACAGCTGCCAACTTGCGGCGCCGGTGTGTGTATCCTGATAGAAACCTATGTTTAGAATTCTAAAATGCATGGTGCTGCGTGACGTTGCTCGGCGCGTCGCCAAGCGGCGCTTCTGGTGTGCGACCTGCTTAAGTGAACTGTCACTTATATATAAAAAAACAGGCATTGCAAATATGGAATATTTATTTTATATATATTGTAAAGTGTTAAGTAAATTTCCTTTCCCAATACTGGGTTGCAGCTGGAAGGGTATCCACAGTTTAAAACATACTGGAATAGTTGGCAGTTCATTCCACTGTGGCCACCCCTGATGAATAAAGGGACTAAACCAAAGGAAAATTAATGAATAAATAATTAAACTTCCACATATTTCCAGATGTTCAGTCTTTTTCTTGTTTGTTTTCTTCTACAGGGAACTTTTAGCAGCCCTTCGAACATTAGAAAAACCTTCAGGGTAAGAAAAACAGAAATATCTACCAATTTATACCCCATCAAAAGTCTAAACACACTAACTCTCCTTTTAAAACAAATACTGTTATAATTACAATTTCTTTATAAGATAATATTAAGATAATATTTCCAGTCCTTAAAAACAATTCAATTAAGAATGTCTAAACATGTGACTAATCTTATATCGCTAAAGAAATAAGTTAGTAACAGCTTTTTAAAAAAAAATAAAACGTAATGCCGTTCTTGTGGCAGATTTCAGAAAAGCAGTACATTACCACAGCTCTTGGTGCGAGAGCAAAGTTGAAATCGTGGTTTGATGTGGATAGTCTGTTTAACACCAAGAACTGGCTGGGCTACACCAAAAAAAGATCTCCCATCGCCTTTCACAGAGTGGTGGACATCCTGCAAAAGAACAGTGCCCCTGTGCAGGTATAGAGCGACTCATGTTCATTAACCTCTCTGTCTATTCCAGCATGCACTGCAGTTTGTTGTGCTGTGATCTGCAGGTGCTGCAGGAGTATGTGAACCTCATCGATGACCCAGAACTCAAGCTCAGTGTGGCGCTCAAATATAAATGCCATGACATCATCATCAATGTGAGTAAACGCTTGAGTAAAAGGCTTTTCTCACTTAGACTTCTTTTGTTTCTAGTCCAGTTATCCAGAAATTCCTAATTCATGAAACTATTTCTAGACAAGTAGAAAATGTTGTTTTGTTCTTAGAAATAACAAGTCAAAATTAAGCGATTTATGCAAAGTAATGTTATCTCAAAGTGAAAGCAATATTAGTTTTCTTACCCTATCGGAAGTCTATTTTGCTTGTTTTAAGGAAAAACAAGCTTAATTGTGATGTTTATTCTTGAAAACAAGACAATATTTTTTTTATTGTCTAGAAAATGGTTCTTTAATTAAGAATTTCTAGATAATTGGCCTTGGCACAAATTTTATTTAATAATCAACATTAAATAAAAAATGTGTTTTATAAACATGTCAATGAAACATTAAGAAGTAGGGCTGGGTCTTCTCAGGGAAATATGGTGTAATTTATAGTAAAACTTCGAAGACCAGAGGGCGCTCCAGTGGAAAATCATTAACACAAGAAGAAACCCAGGAAAACCCCTTGGGTATCAGCACAAAGCAGCATATAGTAAATAAAAAAACTGATATTTAAAGGGATCGTTTACAAAACATTAAGAGCTCTGCTTTATTGATCTAGGCGCAAAGTCTGAAGCACATGGCGCAAAAGCAATAAGGGCTTGTCCGAATCCACTTTTGTTATTTTAAGGATGGAAAAATAGGGTCTGCGCCATGGCACATGGTCTAACAGGGTTGTGCTTATTTTCTAAATGAGTTATGGTTGTGTTTTGAGCCTTACGTGCATTAAATCACTTCCTTTAAGAGTCAGCTTCGTCACGCCACAATACATTTACTATTATTTACATGGTGGACTTTGTTAGTGGAAAAACGCTTCAAAATCTTCACAATCTGCAGCATGAGGATAAAGAACGAGCCTCCTTCATTTGGCCTTTTTACTTTCTTTTTTCTTTACTTTTACTCTTTACCTAACTCCTTTAACGTGACCATCGTGGATAAGGAAACGGTGTTGTATGCACTCTATTGAAGACATCTATTAGGGGGGGATCACATCGAACATGATTTTTCGTTTCAAAAATGCGAAGCGCACCACACTGCCTTTTCGTTGATGAGAATTAATTTTTTATGTCGCTAGCCAACGACTGATTCAGCTGCGTAATATGCGCGAGTGTTGCTGTTGATATTAATATAATTTCAAAACTTAAAAATATTGTGATATTTAAGATTTGTGAAGTCATACAGCTCTGGATAACTCAAAACGGCAACCACAAGTCTCTCCTCCATCTTCAAAAGTCTCTGTAGTTGTTTTGACAACACAAACACTGCTGTCACCTCAGGGAAAACCCCGCTTCTGCTTTCATTTGATTGGAGAAAAAAAACGCGACTGACATAACATGCTTTTTTTCACTCAGAGTTGACTTTTTTTTAACTGCAAGCGCACGGCGCGCAACAGCAAAAATGCAAGGCATGCAGGGCGCATAAGCAGCCCACAAACCCCTTGCAGCCTTTAGTAAAACATTCAAAAAAAGATGCCTCTCAACGCAAAAAAAGCATGTTCGGTATGATCAGTATGATTAGCCTACATATTTAATTTCATTTGTTAAGCGCAAAGATTTTTTTCAAATTCTATTTCTAAATTTCATCAAAAAACTTGAGTTATATCCAAACACACATCCTGTTCTCATGCCCCATATGGTGATGCGTCTTAAAAACCCGACAGATGGACAAATCTAAATATTTTTATATACAAATATAAATATGCATATAATAATAGGCTTTTTTGTCTTTGTAGAAAATAATATTTTTCTAACATTTTTAATTGTTTAATTTTTTTCATATATATTAACATAAACATATTGTGTACATAGTGTATTGCTGTACATCATGTGTGTATTAAGCAATGTGCAAGCATTTGGACATGCTTAAGTGCATAACTTAGTTTTTTTTCAGTTCCTCAAAACATTACCGCACCAACAATGCTCCTTAACACATTAGACCGGCACACCCATGAGTCCACAAAGTGGTGCAAATGGATTTGCTGTTTAAACAACGTGATGCAAAACGTAAAAATTAGGGTTGTGCTGGTCCAAAAACAGCAACAAATCTCGCACCATACACATCTTGCGCCTTATTGCGCCGGGTGTACGATAGGGGCCTTAAGAATTACTCACCATTTACTTCTTTCAAACCTTTATTAGTTTCCTTCTTTTGTTGAACACTAAAGAAGATATTTTGAAAAATGTTAAAAACCTGTACCCATTGAAATCCATACTACATGCATAAGCTTTCCCTACTATGGAAGGTACAGGTTTTTAGCTTTCTTCAGAATATCTTTATTTGTGTTCAACAGAGTAAAAAGAAACTCATTAGGGTTTGGAATCACTTAATGGAGAGTAAATAGTGAGTAAATTGTCATATTTAGGTGAACTACCCCTTTAAGAACCCAAATCTGATTAAAAAAACGAAGAATACGAAGAACGAAAAAATATGACGGAAATATTTTTAACTCCTGACCACTGCAAATTGTTACATGTTGTAACTTATCCATGTTTTAGGCATGAAATAAACACTGAAATAATCTACATGTATCTGACAAACAGTCTTTATTTCAGTTCGTTTTCAGTGAACTTTGATGCATCAATTGTATCCATGTTTTGCTTTGTTTTTTTTCCTTCCAGACATACAGAGACCTAAAGGATCGACAGCAGCTGATAGTGTACAGAGAAAAGCTAGAGCGAGACTCACCTGAATACAGGAAGATTCAGGAACTCCTCAACAACGGGGTAAGAGGAAGTGAGCCGCCATCGATGAATCACTGTATGATTCACAGTTTCAAAACACATGGTGTGGGTAGATTTAGGGAAAAAAGATATCTTAAGAAATACACTAACAGTAAGTTTTCAGGGTCAACCGCAGGGTCTTCATTTGTTGCAATGCAGTGTTGTCTTCCTGTAAACTGAAATGTATTCCCTCTCTCTGTCACTTCAGCAAATCAGATGGAAAAACTGACACAAGTCTTAAATGAGGCAGTGGTTGAAAAGTATTGTGTCAAAACTCTCTCAGAGACGATATTACACACTATCAAGCTGCTCAATATGGAGACGGTTTTAGGATTAAACCTGGACATCCTTCAGAAATTTCAAAGAATCATCACGAGGAGTCATTCTGGAGTGATTCGTTCGCAAGTGTGATTGAACTGCCAAGTGTCCTTCTGCCAACTCTACAGGTGAACATTCATAATGAAACAAGGGAGGCTGTTGGTGGTTACTTTCGTGATCAACATGAAATTCAGTTTTGTTTGCCCATGTGTACATTATTGAGCATTCCACATCATTTTTTATATTAAATAATATAAAACACTGATGCTGTTTTGTGAAGTTTATGCAGGCTTTACATGTCTGACTGAAGATGTGAATCTTAAAAGCTGTATTTGACTTTCATTGGTGAAGCTTTGTCAAGGCTGTTGGGTAAACCACAGAGTTTTTGTAAATTCACAACCACAAATAGAGCATCACAGCATGAGCTGCCAGGAAGTTCCTCTTCTGAAAAGATCTGGGGACTTTCATTCAGTCACATTCACAGCTTAAAATGTTTTCATGTACAGAAAAAAAATATAGATGGGTAAACCATAATGACCAGTATGGTGGAATGTAAAACCATGAGTGGATTCTCTCATAGCTGGATTGTACTAAAGACTTTAGGGTTTCCTAATTTCCAATAACTTATTTTTCATTCATTCAGTTTTCCTCGGCTTAGTCCTTTTATTTATCAGGGGTCGCCACAGCTAAGTGAACCACCAACTTATCCAGCATATGTTTTATGCGGATGCCCTTCCAGCTACAATTCAGTACTGGGAAACACCCATACACTCTCACATGCACACACATACTGTACACTATGGCCACCACAGATCTAATACAAATGCCTTGGTTAGGGTGGCAAGACCATGGTTATATTATGATTGTCTACTTTTTTTTATTGTATTTATTTATGTGTCGTAAGCAAACCATGGTTGTTATTCTTTTTTAAGGTAGTAGCCAGGGGGGTTCGGGTGGTTCGAAAGACCCACCCCCACTGACAAAGGTTCAGAATTTGTCCCATACATGAGCTCAGTTGTCCTATTTTGACTGCTGTGCTATCATAAATTGTAAAAAAAATAAATAAATAACCAATCAAAAAAGGCTTTAAGACGCAGAATCCTCGACAAGACTGAATCCTTCAGACTGAAGCAACAATGTGGGATGTCGCTTGTTGGATGACTTCATCTAATCAGTTTTGTTCAATGCAAGCAATTATTTTTCATGACTCCAACATCCAGCTGTGCAAGAAAACATCGAGTCTGATGTAGGTGAAGTGGTCTTTCACTACTGACATACTGTATCGTTGTTAAATAGAGAAAACATTTTAGAAGTCACGTATAACCAAAAATTGAGCAATAAAAAGGCGCCAAAATTGGCTTTTAATAAAGTTAATTTTAATACTAATTGGGCTGTTGTTGTTATCTATGAATTTTCTAATTTACTTTTTTTTTAGAAGAGAGACTAGAATAAATATCATTTATTATCATTTTTTTTATTATTCTACTGGCCAAATTCAACAAAAAGGAAAGTTGTGCTAGTTTGCTATTTGCGTAATAAATAACAATAGGCTACAGTTTTAAATGTAAAACTTTAACAGATTCTTATTTTGTGCTAGTGGTATATGATGTAATACATTTGTATGTTAAAAAACTTTTTTTTTTTCATATTTCTTTATTGTTAATTTTTTGGAAACATTTTTGGTCCACTTTTTAGAAAAAAAAAAGTAATACCCCTTTTACTAGGCTGGCCACAGGCTTGGTAGTAGTAGCATTGTACACTAGTCACTGGCCATAATGTTACTGTGAACTGAATCTAAAGAAACGGTAGCCTGTGAGTTTCATTTGTGATGTTGCCAATTTATTACACATTTTTTAAAAGTTGGCAGCTTAATTTTTTTTAATTTATGTGAGCTACAAATGAAGATATTAAGAAAAATTGCTAATATTGTAAAAATGGTTTTTTCTAATGACATTAAAAATGCAATGAAATAGCAAAAAAAATCATAAATAAAATTGTTGCGTAAAAAACTATATCTACTATCTATAATTGCCTGTGTAAATCTGAGGTGCACTAGAGAGATGACACACTGACATAGCCTAATTATAGTTCACTAGAAATGATACTTGTTTCTTCTTTGGGTTTTAAATTGGAACAGTTTTAATGGTATAACTTGACTTTTTTTTCTAAATTGTGACAGTTTGATAAATACTCCCTGTATCCGGGGGGGGGGGGGGGGTTGTGTGGTTTGAAAGACCCACCCCCCACTGACACACGTCCAAAATTTTCCCCATATATCCTATATTGACTGCTATACCATCATAAATTGTAGAAATAACCCACCATCAAAGGCTTTAAGACCATGCAGAATCTGATGTAAGTGAAGTCAATTGACCTTTCACTATTGACCTACTGTTGTTAAATAGAGAACGTTTTTCAGATAACTTTTAATCTAAATCTTGGAGCTTATTCTTGAAACAAAAAAATTACCAATGAAAAAGTGTGAAGCACCAAAAGCAGCCCATATTTAAGTTAATTTTAATATTAATTACGCTGTTATTGTCATCCATGAATTATCAAATGTACTTTTTACAAGAGAGGCTAGAAAAAACATGAAGCTCTATTATCATTCTTCTTCTTATTATTATTAGACTTAGGGCAGACTTAACCAATAAGCAATGTAAACAGCGCCTTAGGCCTCCGGGGTATTAGGGGCCCCCAACCAATGCCAAGAAGCCTATGTTAATCATATAGCTCTTTTTTACGTTTTCTAGCATATGTTATAAAATCTTTCTATTTCTGTTACGATTTTAATGTTATTGGTTCTTTTCAAAACTGGGGGCTCTCATGAATAATGGAACGTTCCGTCCGTACTGCACACGCACGAGATGTGAGTGCAGCTCTTTAATCAAAGACACTACTGCCAGCAAAACCTGCAAAAAAAATCCACTTTTTGAGAAAAAAAGAACCTCCCCTTTACTCTGTGGTCGATCGTTGGTTGACCTTAATTTAAGTTAAAAGCGTATTTTAAGTTTATATTTTAGCCATTAGGATGTGTAAAGCTAATTTTATGATAACATTTGGCTTGTATGTTTTATAATGGATGAGTCTGTCTTTGACATTTTTCTTTCTAAAAATGACAATGAAAAAGACACACTTTGCCGTTTCATGTGACCTTTATCTGACAGCATGTCTGCGGCTGAGCATCATCATACACTATTCGGAGTCCCCTCGCCTCTTTACGCACAAACACGTTCAAATCTTTCCAGGTAATAAAGGGCCACTTTGCGTCACAGCGGTTATCACTTTTTAAATTCATTCAGAACACACGTTCATCTCTGTAAAAGAAGAAGTGCGAGGATCACGTGGTGGTGTTTGGATAAGTGTGTGCGCTCGTACTCCACGTTGCCCATCATGATCGTCATCAAAAGAACACACGCGCTGCGCTGAAGAGCCGTCATTAGCTCCACTCTGCTGTAATTTCACTGAATATGGATGGTTAGTGGACGTGTTCTCACAACATTTAGAGGTAAGAGCAATGCCATTTTACGCTAAATTTTTGTAGAAATGCCACTTTTGCTCTTAGATGTTGAGAGGTTTTATGCTTGTACAGGTAATCTCAGTCTGAAAACAGGACGTGTGTTTTCACATGTACTAATGTCTGTACGTGTATTTGAGTTATCTGACTTTAAATCAAACCTGTAAAATGAAACAAACAATAGTGATACAAAATAGTGAAACATATACTGTTGAAAACAGATTCCGCTCAGAAAATGTTTGCAAATGTAACAAATATTTACAATAAAATGGCAAAGTCAGACGGCTTAAACTTAAATAATTTTAAAATAGACACATTTTTATTTAAAAACATTGAATTCACAGACAGTGAATTATTTTTCAAAACATTAAGCGTCAAAAAAAATTGAAAAAGTTGTGTATAGGCTATAAACATGCCAAGCCCTGCAGTATATCTTTCAGGAGTGAGGTAAATAAAATAAAAAAAATACTGTGTTAAAGCGTTAAACTTCAAACACAAATAAAATTAATAATTATTATTGAACTTAAGAGGTTTGATTTTAATGTCAAACAAAGGAATCATGAATATTTAATGAAGATGTCAGCTTAATTTAGACTCATCCATCATATATATTATATTTCTGTCTTTAGACATTTAGTCCATTACTAATAAATAAAATGCAATTCAGACCATCAAAAATATTGGTCTGTCATCTAAACTGTGTAAAGCATTGTATGTCTGATCATGTTTGGGTTTGTGTGAATCGGCCTTGAGCGTCTCTTAATAAAGGCCTCATAACACTCGAGTGAGCATCGCCAGTGTCTCGACACTAATGAAACCTGACGAGAGAATAAAAGCTTTCATCTGATCTAGAAGTCACAGTGTCTGTCTTTACACTTGCACAGTGATTTCACGACTATAAGGAGGTCAGAGAACACAATCAAGATGAATTCAGAGCTTATTGTACGTGTCCTTTTTTTGTATACACTGTAAAAAAAAAAAGCTCGGTTGCACACAATGTTGAGACAACATGAAGAAATTAAGTTAACATTAGTTTTTACAAATTTGAGTGGATTGAACTTGAAACAAATAAGTTGTCAACAACAAAACTCAACAATTGTGTTGATTCAGCTCATTTTAAATAAATAGTTTAATTGAACATCAAACATTTGTTTCTATTGTATGTTTTTCTTGACACTGACCTTCAAGATTACGGTCAGTAGGTCAAGTGCAATAGTTCAGTTCTTGTGCATTTTCAGGGATTTTTCCAGATGTAAAAAGTGAGAAATGAAGGAAGGGAGTAACTGTTAGTCAGCTAGTTATGTAAACCTTCATGTGGGTGGCTTAACTTTCATTACTGTTAAAAAATTTCTTTTTATCTTGCTTAATAAATGTCCCTACTGCTTTTCACACTCATTTTAATGTCCTGAAATGTCTCAAGTTAAGACGTTATGAAATGTTTCATATAACTAGTTAAGGAATGAGTGTGGTTTGGCCGTTTACGTTCCCATGCACTTGATTTTTTTCCCCACTCCTCATGGATGATGGAGTCTTGATGAATATTTTAGTGGCTGTCTTGTCTAGCTGGGGCAAATGTAGGGAGTGGTACGTTGTGCTGGGGGAGATGAAGGGAAATGGGGGTGTTTTACTATGAATGAGACAGGGCAGAGACTAAAACACCACATGTTGTGTCGTGTGGTTAGATTGAAAGGTTTTAGCCTTCTGCAGCTCGTCTTTGTTCAGGTCAAAAGGAAACTGCTTTGAAATATGTAAAAGCTCTGCTGCTGGATCGTCCAGTTCAGTTGTGTGCATGTTGAATTGGTCATGTTCTGTATGAATTAGCAATACATTTTCAGATAAAATTAAGAACATGGATATTAATTTATATACAAATAGAAAAGCAAGTGAGGTCACTTTAAGCATTATCTGAAGCTCAATTTGTTGATTTGAGTAGACAAGTTGATTAGAACAAATCAGCACATTTATTTAATGTTTATTTAAAATGAGCATTTACTTTTTGTGTTTGATGTCATTTTTGTTTACATTTTTGGTTCCACTTTATATTAAATGGCCTTACTGTGTAGCTACATTTAGTCATTGGAACAATGTACTTATTATGTACAGTTGAAGTCAGAATTGTTAGCCCCCCTGAATTATTAGCCTCCTGTTTATTTTTTCCCCAATTTCTATTTAATGGAGAGAAGAGATTTTTTCAACACATTTCTAAACATACTAGTTTTAATAACTCATTTCTAATAACTGATTTATTTTATCTTTGTATTTTATTCTAGCCGAAATAAGACAATTAAGACTTTCTCCAGAAAAAAAATATTACTTTCACTGTGACAAACTGTGAAAAATTTCTTGCTCTGTTAAACATCATTTGGGAAATATTAAAAAATTCAATTGAGATTGACTCAATAAGGGAACGTCTCGACTCTCTAAATGGAAAAAAAACCCCTAGATGATATGTACTGCAGAGCTGTTTTAAAGACAGGCATTCGTGGTTCGTTACGATCTGTATACAAAACTATAGCAACAGCGACGTCCGTGACACTCTTAAGTTTATTAACTGAAGGACTTTCATGCAAGTGGACACGGGTGTCGATTATAAATGGCGTCACTTGCAGAGGAAGCGTGGGGTCCTGGGAGTGTAAGCCAGAGAGTGCAAGTCTAAGAGTGCAAGTGCAGATCTGCAGCCAGACCCTTCTCGTAGGGACGGGAAATGTCCTTGAGCTGGGATTCAAACTCAGGACGCCCTGAAATGCTACTGCACCATATGTCAGTGTGCTAACCACAAGGCTATTCCATCTACTATTACTCTACTCTTAACGCTAACCCCAAGTAATAACAACAGTGGGTTTTTTTTGAAAATTGACCTCGCTGCGCATGTGTATAGGAACAGCAGATGGTGGCCATAGCAACGACAAACAGCAGGAGATCTTGAGCACAAAACGCATTAAGGAAGAAGCAAACTTTACGTTTTTAACATGGTTTTGGACACAACATGTGAATAGCCCCATACAGATTTAACCTGAGAGATACAGTACAAGCACTGATCTGTTATAGATTAGTGTTTACAGGCCACGCAGAGCGATTCTAAGTTAAAACACACAATTACATACATGTTTTGCAAACTACAGAAAACGAGACAGCAATTTTAATCATACTTGCATGTAGGAGAGAAGGAGAGACACTGAGCATTTGACGGAAGAAGAAACTGGTCCTTATAAACTGTAAACAGTTAGTGAGAAAGTCCCATTCATCAGTAGTCTTTGCTGATCGTTTCTTTAATAACAAACTGCCAGCGAATTGCACGTTGCAGTGAAGTTATTGTATCAATCATCAGAAAAATGACAGGAACAAACACGGCACTTGATATACTGTATATGAAATTTAACCCCTACAGCTGCATGTCTTTCCATCTCTCAGTGATAGTAATCTTCGCATAATGATCAATCCTTTGGTTCCTTAGATGCACATGCACATTCACATTTTACAGAATCCATCATATTTGACGATGTCCTGTATCAACGTTGATGCGTTCAGGCAAAAAAATCTGAACAAAGGATGAATCTCAGTCGACTCGAAAGAATCAATACTTTTAAACATGGTGCACAGTGCACTTTCAGATTTAAACCTTCATTAACTTATGCCCCATTCACATGGGGCTTCAGCGTCAACAATTCACAGAGCGCGTGTCTAAAGTTGGGGCTGACGCGATCGTCATAGCAGCGTCAGCCAATGAAATTAGTCAGCAATAGGCCACTCTCTGAACTGGTGTATTTGTATACAGCGATCTGATTGGCTGATGCTTCCATCAGCACTTGAGAAGTTCAGAAAGTCCTACCCTCTACAGCAAGCAACACCACTGAAGCGGTGCCAACAGATCCACAATGCAGTTCGGCAATGTCTGACGTCACCCATTCAAAGTGAATGGGAAGCGTTGACGCTGACGCCTCGTGTGAATGGAGTGTTAGAGCTGTGTTATGGGTGGTTATTTTCAAAAATCCATAACTGGGGCTCTTTAAAATGTTTGCAGTGTAGCGTATTAATTGTATCAATAATTTTTTTTATTCAGCTCCTCAGATGCATTTGAGGGTAATCTATATATTGTACACAAATCAAGACATTTATCCCATGATTATTAATATGTTTGTAATCACGATTTAACTCCGAACCACCATTTTGACATCAAATTCCACATTTTTTAACACACATTATGCATTGATACAATTTTATTTCATCTCTTAATCTAACATCTTTTTTTTTTCCTCAGATATGATGCATGCAACCACTGTTGCACAAAGCATCATGACCAGCATGAACCAGAGTAGTCGGGCGTCCTGTGAAATATCCCATGAGGCGGACCGCATCCCGCTGATGGTGCTCTACATTGTGGTTTTTATCATTGGTCTGCCTGCCAACTTGGCCACCGTCTATCTCACCCTCCACCAGGTGTGTCGTAAGAACGTCCTCGGGATCTACCTGCTCAGCCTGTCCATATGCGACCTCACGTACCTCTTCACGCTGCCTATGTGGACCGTTTATGTAAGCCGAAACCATGAGTGGCCATGGTCCTCATTGGCCTGCAAAATAACAGGCTTTGTGTTCTTCAACAACATGTACATCAGCATCTTTCTGCTCTGCTGCGTGTCCATCGACCGCTACGTGGCGGTGGTCTACGCGATAGAGTCTCGTGGTCTTCGGCAGAAACGTATCGCGGCTTTTGTGTCGTTTTTGATCTTCATAGTGGTGGGCTTGGGTCACTCGCCTGTCTTCATCATGCGAGAAGGTCAAGTAGAAGAAGGGAGTCACCGCTGTTTTGAGCCAAGCCAGAGCACAACGTTGGTTACGGGGTTTAACTATGCCAGAGTTTGCATTGGATTTTGTATCCCGTTGGCCATCTTGATCTTCACCAACAGGGCCATTCTTGCCAACGTTCAGGCCAGTACGGGCCTCCAACCCCATCAGAAAGTCAAAGTGCGCTATTTGGCTGTGGCGGTGGTGGCGTTGTTTTTGATCTGTTTTGCTCCTTATCACATTATCTTGCTAATGCGTGCCGTCATCTTCCACTTCCCCAATCTTCAAGGCAAGTGTCACTTCGAACAGCACATCTACACACCCTACAAAATCTCATTGGGACTGTCAACGTTCAACAGCGCCATCAACCCCATTCTCTACGTGCTCTCCAGCAACAACATTCGTCAGGAGATCAGACGAGGCATAACGTCAGTGTGTGACAGAGTCCTCTCGAGTCAGCGCTCGACACACAGCAGCCAGCACAACATGCACAGCTCCAGAAGCAATTCAGAGCCCTTCCCGATCAAGGGCGGTCAGATGAGGACGGTTTGTCCGACAGCATGATCAAATGGTAGAGTTGAACTTTTGGATTGTTTGCTTGGTGTGACAGGGAGGACCATCCTTGCAACGTTCAGGACAGTCAATGTTGAGGAACGTTTCTTTTGAACAATCTTGCATTACTTGTTACAAAGTTGCTAAAAGTGGTACTAAAATAGTGTGTTGCGTTACTTTTGCATTACTTTTTCATCTGCGCTAGCTTGCTTGTTAATAATGTTGTAACGATACTTGCATATGGAAAGAAAATTGAAAGCCCTTATACACCAAACATTGATTAAACTAAGGCCCAAGGAAATATACATTCACATCTGTACTGTTACATGAAGGAGAAGAGTGTGTGAAAGCATTGAATATGACTCTTCAGCAGGGAACATGACATTACATTTCACTGTTTATCCATTTTAATAGTACAGAAGGATACTGAATCAAGTGAGCTGAGTAAATACATGTTCACATTTAAGATCCACATTGTTTCACACAAACACATCTAACACGATCTCAGGGCAATTCGTAACTTTCTCATTCATACACTTTAGTATGATTTGCTCATCCCCCAATGATGGTTGGGTTTATGGGGTTGGGTTGGGTGCTACATCTTCATTTCAAAATTGTACATTTTCATACGACTGAACTTGTACAGATTAGCCACTAAACTGACAAAACCTAAATAGTTACGTTTATTTATGAGATTAGGCTGGCACATTTGCCCCTAATGCTGATTTTTTTTCTAAACAAGAGAGCTGTCAGGCAACAAATTTGGCATTGTTGGTTTTTAAAAGTAACTCAAATAATTCCTTAGAAATGAAAAAGTAACTATTTTACTAGTTACTTGAAAACATAGTCAGATTTTGTAACTTCGTTATTTGTAATTCGTTTTGCTCAACATCAAGAATAGACTTCCAAACTTATCTGAAAAAAAAATCTAGCCATGGCTGTAAGGTAATTTTTTTTTTATCTGTTTGGATCTGTACCGCACTATCTTGCTCATGCAGATCATCACCCTGAAATATTGTTAACTTTTTCAATTGCTCCATTAACCCCATTTTCTACATGCTCTCTAGCAACAACTTTTAACAGTCAGGATAATGTAGAGGCATTGCATTGATGTGTAATACAGCCATCTTGAATCACTACACAACACAAAGCAGTCAGCACAGCTCCAAAAACAATTCAGAGACCTTCCCAACAAGCTTGCCTAACATAACAACATGATTAAGAGGGCATTATTGGTCTTCAATATTTTTTGCCTGCCAGGCCATAACATGGCCCTTGTTCAGGCCAATGTTAACCTCCAACCCCACTAAAAAGAAAAGTCCACTATTTGGCTGTTCCAGGGTACCATTGTTTTTTTTTTTTGTTTTTTTTAACCTGTAGTGCTCCATACTACAGCATTTTTTAAATTGTCGACTTTCTCCATTAAAGCTTAAGAACTGACATCCATCAGGAGATTAGAAGAAGTATGGTGTTGATGGCATCTTTAGTCAGTGCTCACCACAATATGCACAAGTGCAAAACGAATCCAGACCAGAACCCAACCAAACAACCTCATCTAATGAGGACATCAAAAATGTTTTTTGCTCTGTGTGCACTAATTTAGGAGACTGATAAGAGTGCATGGTATTGTTTAGCAGTTTGGTCATTAATGAGACCAACAATGAAACCTCAAGGTTTGCCACAGATCTTGCAACAACAAAGTCAAAGGTGAATTTCCTCTGTAAATATTTCTTGGTATATTTCACACTTACCCAGAATGTTTCCGCTCAGTTTGATCTGCAGCCTCTGATTTTCTGGTACTGGACTCTCCTAGTGATTTATTTTTATTTTTGCAGATTGACACCCCCTTTGGTGTTTTTATAAGGTCTTTCTCTGAAATCAATGATCTCACAATAATAGCTGATGCCAAACAAAGTGTGGTTCATTTATAAACTAGTTTCGAGAGGATCACGTGCTTATGATTAAATATGACTGGTCCCGCATCAGCTTCTCATATTGCACCATTCAGATGAATACTGACTCACTATAAATAGCCAGAGTTTTCCACCTCAGTCATCTTCGTCTTAAAGAATCCCCCTTTCCACCCCTACTCCTCCCCTTCTCCTGATAGGGCGGCACGGCAGCCCAGTGGTTAGCACTGTTGCCTAACAGCAAGAACACCACCGGTTCAACCCCTCACCGGGCCAGTTGGCGTTTCTGTGCAGAGTTTGCATGTTCTCCCCGTGCTCACGTGGGTTTTCTCCGGGTTCTCTGGTTTCCTCCCACCTTCCAAAGACATAAAGCATAATTAAATTGACTATTCCAAAGTAGCATCTTAAGACAAACTCATAGCCATTTATATCTCAGCTATTCCTAACACGTTCACAAGCAGCGGAGTTCTCGAGACCTACCTGAGCTTTAACTATATTCTAAGCTCAGGGCTCTCTCCCGGGACAGCATGCCAAACACGCTTTATTATCAATCATCAGCTAAGTGTGAACTCTTGAAATGTTATTTGTAAAATTATTTGTGTGAAAATTACCAACAGATGTACAGATATGATCACTCTGTTCTTACCTGTGGGCTTTCACAACTCTAAACACAGATTTTGACCCTAGGTAAGGTATGTTTCACAGGTGAGGTTGGTGTCACTTTTTACCTGAGGTTATGAAAACCCATATTGTAAAGTTTATAGTGTGCAGTGTGAAAAGATGCTGTGTCAGTATGTTTCAAACCCAAGATAACCTAGGTATAGAAAGACCCTTGCTCCGTCCCAATTTGCATACTTGCATTACACTATACTACAAGTATGGACTTTTTTTTCTGAAGGAAAAGTGTACACTTTTAAGTGTGTAATTGAAGAGTTTGCAAGCTTTGGGACATACTACCTCCCTGTTAACAGATCGTTATGTTGCTTTGTTAATGTACATCCCCTGTCCACTGTCAATCATCTCTCGACAAATCATCCACAATTCTTTCCTATGTAATTACCTACCTTACTGGAGAAGCAGGAGAAGGTTAATCTGCCATTCAGGGGTCTGGAATCCCTGCATCTTTGGATAAATATCAATTCAGAGTCAGTACTAGAGTTCGTTGACGGTGTGGCGGGGGTCTCCATGCTGCCCCTAGCAAAAAATTGCACATGGCTAAATCCGGCACTTTAAATTGGCCAGATATTAATAGTCATTCAAACAACTTTACAAAAGCCTCTCTACTTAAGAGGTCTTGCGCATCTGCCATGTTTATAGTTTATTTACACTTTTTACCTGAGTTTGTAGTTCTAATCAAATCCACATCCAATTGTGGCCAATATTTGCAGTTAGATTATGGACGGTTCTACACTTCGAATTTTTGCTGGAAATAGTACCATCTGGGAACCTTTGGCATACTCCTCAGCTACATTCATTTTCTTGTCAGCTTACTCCCTTTAGTAATCCGAGGTCGCCACAGCAGAATGAACTGCCAACTTATCCAGCACGTTTTTACGTAGCGGATGCCCGTCCAGCCGCAACACATCTCTGGGAAACATCCATACACTCTCATTCACACTCTTACACTACGGACAATTTACCCTACCCATTTCACCTGTACCGCATGTCTTTGGAGGTCGCCACAGTACTAATTCTATTTTTAAATACTATTTAGGATGAGAATTGATGAGCGGCACAGTGGCACAGGTAGTGCTGTCGCCTCACAGCAAGAAAGTCGCTGGTTCGAGCCCCTGCTGGGTCAGTTGGCATCTCCCCGTGTTTGCGTGGGTTTCCTCTGGGTGCTCTGATTTCCCCCTCAGTCCAAAGACATGCACTATAGGTAAACTAGGTAAGCTAAATTGTCTGTAGTGTGTGTGTCCTGGTCCACCAGATTGGGTGTTTGATCGTTGTGCTAACGTAAAAATTAGATGTTAAGAAACACCAAAATGGTGCGGCTAAAATATCAACTTTGATATAAATGGCCCTGGGAGTAAGTAAATAAGTATGCCAGTTGGGACAAGGCTCCAGGGTTATTTATTTAGCCAATCAGATTAGAGCTTGCTGTTTTGGCAAGAGATTAACTTTTTGTGTGCAATAAAACATCTAATGGATTTTAGGCATCAACTGTGAGTGACATTCAGCCTCACTGTTTGCATTCTCAAATAATTTACTGTAATACAAATGCAGTGGGTCAGTTTGTCAATGTTCTGTGCCATGGTTAAACTGCATGTATGTTGTAAAAACGTTGTTTGGCAAGTTAATGCACAACCTGAACATGTATATAACTAACTTATTATTTTTATTAAGTTTTGTTTGTTTTTTTATATATATTTTTAAAATGTATATGTTGCATACTGTGTTTTTATATTTTTGTCATGCTGTTTTAATGTATTTCATAAATATACATAATCTGCATGGCTACTGTGTGGCTTTTTAGTGTGTGACACTAATTTTGCTTGATTCTGACAAATTAGATTCTAACAATTTGCATCTAATATTTTTTTCAAACAATCACCAGTAAATTATAATCTTTTTAGGATAAAACAGAGACAAAAAGCTGTTTTATCAACTCATCACGATGGACTTTAGATACTGTAATCTTAAAATGACAAACAGAAAGCATATACTGAAAGCCGTTATTAAAAAAAAGGTTTCTTTTTGAGGACACGAGGGCTTTAAATCAGATAATTAGCTGTTTCAGCATTATATACCGGAAGCTGTTGGTTTCAGTGATCTGTTTTGCTGAAAAAAAAAAGTGTTGACATATTTGTGTGCTCTTTTAAGTGGGTCAGAAACCCTTCAATTAGCAAAAGGAAAAATGCTGATTACTTTCAATCCATCCCTGATTAAATGTTGAGCAAGTACATCATTGCAGTACGCTTCCTCAGTCCTACTTTTGAGTGTAAAAATGCATGTGATGGACTTGGTGTCTTGCAAAAGCTACAAGCCAGACATGCACATGGTCATCTGGTATGTCTGCCCTCTGGCTTCCCTGTAAACATCCTGAATTATTAACATGAGACCAAGATGAGCTCCTAATTGGCCCTTCCCCTGGTGAATAATTAAGCATGCAGCAGCTGCCATCAACCAATAGCAAACAGTCAGTTCAGTGACCCCGCCCCTGTTGTGGTGCGCTCTGCATCTGGCTGAGACAGAATGGCATATTTTGACTGACCGCATTTTAAACATCACCTGTCTCCGGCTGTGATGATCATGAAAGCTTCATTTCTGTTTGTACAGGAAGTGACAGCTATTTTTGTGAAGTATGGTTGACAAAGAAAATAGTCTTTTATGCAGTACAGTAAATATGGCAGAGTTGTCTGGATTGTTTGGCCTAAGAGTTTAATATATGTATG